AAAGACCCCCCGCTTAGCCTTTAGCTTAGAAAATAACCTTATAAGGAGGCCTAGGCTAACCTTTTCGGCCTTTTACTAGCTCCTCTTTAAGGCTAGCTTCTTATTTTCCTTCTTAAAGAGGACTAATAAAGTAGACTAAGATAACTACCGCTATAGCTAAGGAAGGTATATAGCTAGGCACCTTATCTTAAGGTGCCCGAACTATAAGAGGGAAAGAGAGGTCCTTTACTAAGCTTCTAAGGGACGAAAGGAGGCCCTTAGCCTACCTTTTCTCTATAGCTCTAAGGAAGGAAGGGAAGCCCTTCTAACCTTCTTAGCTAAGATAGAGATAGGAACGGCTAAGTAGCTCGAAAAGGAGTAACCTAGGGGCCCTAAAGCCCTTAGGGGGGGGGGATTACCGCGCGGGAGGAACTAGATTAACCTTTCCTTTATCTTTACCTTTATAGCTACCCTTTCCCTAATTAGTTATAAGCCTCTAGGCTCTATAGCTAGCTAGGACTACTAATAAGGGCCTAGGCCCCTATTAGCCTCGCTATGGCCCTAGAGGCCGCATGCGAGTAATAATAAAAAAGAAATCATCCGTTACTAGGCAACCGCTGCTTCGGCCACCCGACTACTTAGCCGGCAAATGTTACGACTCTATCGGTGGTACCGTGAGTGAAAATGACCCCAAAAGTCGCCTTGTCCCGGGTCCTTATCCTAATATTTGTTATGGATAAGTAACCCACGTCTCGGACATCATCGCGACCCAGCCGGTCATAGAAGACCCGTAGAACTTCACCAGTGCCCGCGTCGGGTGTCAAGCTCCGAGCATATCGTGCTTTCAGATGCAGCCATCATTACCGGTCCTCAATCGTGCGCTAGGCGTATAGGGACGGTGTCGATATTATCTCCATATCTTTCAATGCCTTGCCGGCTGCCCCATTTCTGAGAATAGTCGCTAAGATCGTCGTCAAGGGCACCCTGCGTCTTGGAATACGGCAACACAGGCAACTAAGGCCTTTAAGATTTTAGCAGCCAGGCCAACGGCATCACAAGCGTTGCCGATTTCGTGAAATTGATAGCTCGAGGCGTCGAGTACGTCACTGCCGCCCGCACCCCAATAGGAGGGGGCATATCTTTTAAAGATTATCACCGCTTCTATGGCGTCGCTGAAGCGTCCATTCGCTCTAGGCTGTGTCGGTTTTGAGCCAAAAAGGCTTCAGGAATGATGCACCATTATCATCATCATACCCTCTTATGATCAGAACCCTGTGGTCCCGGTACCCTACGCTAACCCAGTAGGTGGCAGCTTATACGAGTCGACGACTTAGGGGCAGACCCCAGGAAAGGACTCTAAACCTCACTTTGAAACTCTCGGTGGCAATATCCCCTCTGCATATGCCCTCCTCTCAAGCAGGGGCTTGAGAGCATAGTGGAGGGTGTAGGGGTTTGAAAGAGGTGAACTTAGCGATGCATGTCTTAGTCTATCTATTAGGACGAGTGAGGGGCTTTATATATGTATAGATGCCCCAAATAACTAATCGAAACAAGACATTAAGATGTTCCTATATATAAGTCGAGCCATTTGCATATCCCTCTGCTAGGAGCGTCATCTTGGCCCGGTAGACCGCTTTTCCGGTTCTTGGGCTCGTTTCTTGTCAAAACCTCTATTCGAATAGCAGGGTAGCGGCCTGATTAAGGCCTTCAGAGTAGCTGGCACTTCTACCCCTGCCTGCTCCCAGACTGTTCCTTTCAATAACACAGATGCCTTTATGAGCGCCGCGGCCTTTAGAATCGACAATACGGCTCTTTTGACGGTTACATGCGATATTCAGCACTCTCCCTCCGTTTTCATGCATACTGTAGGACTTAATGAATTCGTTGGCGGCGCCTTCGCTACACTGAGCTTTGGCGTTAGTTCCGTCGTGTTCGGGTCGAAGCGGAGAGCTGAAGTTCAGGTCAGATCTATACCTCCTAACCTCAATGCAACGAGGCCTCCCTCTTAGCTAAAGTATATTTTTGTAACGGTTACGACAGCCCGTCGATGCCGAACCCTTACCATGGAGTTGAGAGTTCCCTCACTATCGCAACCGTCCTTGACTCTAATGGTGCCTGAGTTAATACTAAATCAACCGATTTCGGCGTGGCCTTCCCAGATAACTCTACATTTTGGGTTCCCAGCAAGGTGGCAGCGAGCAGGCAGAACCACCGGCCCTGTAAGTAGTCTAACCCTAGACTGGCCACTCGACCACGACTATGTGGTTCCTGCCGATGTGTCGGCGGGGGGCTAAAGTCGTCCATGTCTTAAGGACGACCATGACGTGCGTGAAACGGATCGCATTACGATACAGTACACCTAAAGCTCGGCAAAAAAAGGAGGGGATGGGCGTAGATGAGCATTCACGTTGCAAGCGGTTTCTCTCGCAGCCCTAAACATAATGTTACTGGCCAGAGTGCGCAACAATATTAGCATTAAAATTATACGTGGGGCTTCTCGCAGGGCTTTCTTTCTGTTGAACTCTCCCCGCAAGGCAGAGAAGATGAAGGCCGCACGTCTCATGTGTGTATTAAAGAAGCAAACTGTTACTCTTATTAGAGGAGAGGATAATCATTAAACATAATTCGATTCATCCACAATGACTTATTAAATCTAACTGACCAAGGTACCCTCCCCTAATTGCGACTCCCAAGCCGTCACAGATCTTAGATAACGGAGTTGCCACCATAAGGTTTGAGTTCGGGTCAAGAATACTCTACATATATGTATATATATGTAACGTGCCTGAGGAAAGCACGGTCCTTAAAGGGGTTCTCTCGCGCGTGCCTACGATGCAATAGGCAGCTGGCTAATTCCTTATACTGGCTACATGTGGGCTAGCTACTGCGTCCCGTGTACCTGTAAGGGCCGGCATTCCTTTAGGTATTTTGTCTTGGACTTGAACTAACAATAATTTCAAACTTAGTACTTCCAACTCGCCAAGTAGCTTACAATCATCTCGATAACGACTCCTGATCCGCTCTATCTGCTCCGCCCTATCGATTCCTTGTTCTACTCAGACTATACTATCACATAGCCATGGCGGGCTTTGCCCAAACCGACATACCGCTGAGTTCGACAAGTTGTCCAACTTCGTCCCTGTTTTAAAGAACCCGAGGCCCTGTTCCCAGCCAACGTCGAAGAAAGGGGGTACCTTTGAGCTGTTGGTTTTTTCTGCTGTCCTCCACATCCAGATTACCGGAAACCCGCTCCCATTAGATTCATACTAACAGCTCTCGTGCTCGACCGGGGGGCTGCAATTGCTCGACGGCAGTCCCAGTGGTGTGCAGTTGCGAGGTAATAGTCGCTAGCAGCCTGATGACCCTAGGGCTGCCACGACAAAGCCTGTGCCTCGACGCCGCTCTAGTCGACAAGATCAAGCAGGCTGTACAGAGGATTTTGGGTTTTGCTGGATGGGAAGCACAGTTGTACCTTCCCCCAGCCATTTGGCCGAGGTTGAAGCAGCGGTCCGGATGGCTGGCGAAGGCTAAATTAGCTCTACGTGGCTTAAATCAAGACGATTGTCGACTTATTCTAGTGGTTCAACGGTAACTACGGCATATACCTCGAGACGATTATGTCTACGGCAAGGAAAGGAGTCCTCAGGTAAGTAGGCAAGCAAAAACCAGGTAGAGAGGTGAAGGAAGAAGAGAAGGTAGGTGCTAAGGAAGTGAAACGATAACAAAAAATTATAAAACTATACTTAGTCCCCGCTGGATTAGCACTCCTGGATTCCATGTGGCCCCTGAATAGAGGAAGCATCCGCGCTTAGATCATGCCTCTGCTTACGCCCGCTCGCGCCTCTCATGCGCTCCGAACAGGAACGGAGTTAGGCCGTCGAGCAGCCACCGTGGCGGCGGCGAGCAGCCAGGTCGCTTTAAGCGATGCAGGCCGCCTGTCAAACCTCCGTTTTGTCTCATTGCGGGCATGGGCCCAGCCAGCTGGGGGTTCCAGGCAGATTTGGAGGATGCAATCGATGGGGTTAGAACAAGTGTGGCCCAGGGCTCCTGGCCGACGCTTTCGGGAGTTATCCAATCATGGAAGCGCTCTGACACTTCTTACCCAACACAAGGCGAAGCTCAGCATCGTACAGGGCGCAAATTCCCGGCTCCTCAGTCCCGTCCCTGGGTTGGACGGAGCGGGTGCCTAATAGGACACACTGAAGTAAGCGCCGCGCCTACCAACGCCGGAGCACGGAGGACGAGATTAACGATACCGGCCGGGCCTTGTGTTGAGTTGGTCAGCTTGCTGCAAGGTACACACGAACGTCGCCTCCAGGATTACTTTACCTCCGCTCCAGCCGGGGAGTCTCTGTTGCTGAGAAGCGTCGAGTACAGACGTAAACGTGGACGCCACGTGCAAGGGACCGATGCACCGGCATGGCCAACACATCCCGTTCTTGTGGGTGCCTTGCCCCTTGCATCCCCCCGGCGAACATGTTCCCAAGCTAGCAGCTGAATGGGTCTGCAACGACAATGGCGTCTCGCCGATCACCGCCGACATGAAAAGCTGAGACAGGCAAACCCCTACACGACCGGGCAGATGACTCTTGGCGCCCGGCTTTCAGCGCAGCTCACCAGAAATAGAAAGAGAGCGAGAGCGAAAGCGAGTGGGAGAAAGTGAGAGCAAGAGTGAAAGTCAAAGTAGACCAGCAGCGCCAAAGCGACCCAGTGACCTATGATGGTCATTCCGTGGTCCGTCACGGACCGGGAGTTCGGGGTCTCAAAATGACGAGTTATTCTATCCCATGGAAATGGAGCATGTATCCTATAAAGGCGTCCGTCTTGCAGACATTCGGCCCAGAACACCCTCTATGATACGTTCCGAGGCCGGCCTAGGTGCATCTATCCGCTGCGGGCAGACTGAAGCTATACCTGCCGAGAGACCCCTTGGCCATTACACCAAGTCTCTGGCTTCTGAGCGCTCACCATCGTGATTCTGGGCTCTCGTTCTAGCCGGTCTCTACGGCTCACCATCTACGATGCTTCTTCCACGGGACACGGCGGCGCACATAGCGCTGCTGTCCCTCTCCTGTCTTCCGGGACTTGCTTCGGCCGCTGCCACAAACTACACCTTGCCAAACGAATGCAGGGCCTTTCCAGGCAGTCGCGATTGGCCGTCGACGGGGGTTTGGAAGAGTCTCAATGAGACGCTCGGCGGACGACTCCTGGCCCCTGCCCCGCCAGGTGCCGTTTGCCACCTCGGACATCCTACCTACGACGCCGATCAGTGCCCGAACGTGCAGAGGAACTGGAGCAGCTACCAATGGCACACCGAGAATCCCGTCTCCGTCATGCGGGATCAGTTCACCAAATATTCTTGCCTGCCCGACCCCAAGGTGCCATGCAGCGGTCAGGGATATCCTCCCTACGTGGTTGATGCCTTCACCGCAGAGCATGTCAAGATCGGGGTCGACTTCGGTGCGCCTGCCCCAGAAGCTCCCCTTTAGATCCTGATTGCTGACAGCCAGGTTTGTCTCGCGGACGTCCATGTAGCCCGAAAGCACAACATCAGACTCGTCGTCAGGGGCACTGGCCACGACTTCATCGGGCGCTCCATCGCCCCGGGCGCGCTGTCCATCTGGACCCACCACATGAGTGACATCACGTTCCGCCCAGGCAAGTTCAAGCTCGCCGGCTCCAGCAGGGTCCTTCGGGGCAACGCCGTGACCGTCGGGGCGGGCGCGCAAATGTTCGACGTCTACAAGGCCACCGACAAATACGGCCAGACGATTGTGGGCGGCGCGGGGAAAAGCGTCGGCATCACCGGCTACATGACGGGCGCCGGCCACTCGGTCTTGGCTCCCCGGTTTGGCCTGGCAGCAGACAATGTTCTGGAGATCGAGGTCGTGACTCCGGCCGGCAAGCTAATTACCGCCAACGAGGACCGCCACCCTGATCTTTTCTGGGCCATGAGAGGCGTGAGTGTATCGGCGATGAATGAGTCTGGAAATAATTGCCCATATGCTAACTGCGGTCTCGTGTGTTCACTTGATCCAGGGCGGCGGCTCGACCTTTGGAGTCATCACCAATATCACCATGTGGACTCACCCGTCGCCAAAGATCACCAGCATCCGCTGGATGGCCGTCACAGACGCCAAGAGCCCCTTTTTATACGATCTTGCCGCTAATGTCCTCTCAAAGTTCCCCCAGCTTGTGCGATCCGGGATCTCGGGGTGGAACTTTGTCACCAACCACATCGCCGACCCGATTCCCGAGCCTGGCCGCAACGCCACGGGGCCGCTCGCTGGCGCGTTCGGCATCACCCTGATCCAGAACTCCAACGACAGCAACGTTGCCCAAAAAGTCTTCAAGCCGGTTCAAGACGTGATCCAGGCCGAGTGGCGCGGGAAGGCCAGGCTGCTGCTCCAGACGAAACAGTATCCCTCGTTCCTGGCATGGATCACGGAAAACTACGACATGAGTCCCGCCGGCAACAGCTCGTGGGCCGTCTCACGACTCTTGGATGAGAGGGCTCTGACGGGCGACACCAAGGCTCTAGCAAACGCGCTCAAGGCAGGAAGCAAGCCCAGTGGCAGCGTCATGGCCTTTCTCGTCTCCAGCAAGGGCGCCAAGAACGCGAGGCCTCGAGGGGGCGGGAATGCCGTCAACCCGGCCTGGCACTCAGCTTTTGTGCATGCGTGTAAGTCCTGATCCGCTTTCGCTTCGGCGCATGGGTAAGACGAGCTTCCCTGTTTGCTGACGTGTTTCGAGCAGTGACGGTGGCCAATTACTCGCCGTTCAACAAGACAGCAGAGCAGGATACAATTAATCTCCTCGACACATCGTTCCAGCCGCTGCGTGATCTCACGCCGCAGTCTGGGGCTTATGTTAATGAAGTAAGCATTTATATCCCCCGTCGTGTCTCGCCTCACCGAGGGGTGTCTGACTCTGGACGTTGCAGGCGCTACCGTTCGAGAAGGACTGGCAGCACTCATTCTGGGGTTCAAACTACGAGCGACTGGTCAAGATTAAGCGCGAGGTCGATCCAACCGATGTTCTCTGGTGCTCTCCCTGCGTCGGCAACGAGCGTTGGCAGGAGCGCCATGACGGACGCCTCTGCCAAGCAAGGGGAGAGAGACACGGCTGAGTCTAGGGACTGTGGATTATTCTTCGCATAGCTCGGCCTGTTGCACTGATGGCGCCTTTTCATTTAACAAGACTTATAGATAGTTAGACGGAGCACGAGAACGGATTGAACGTTGGTCGATATTTCTTGACTCTCCAAGCTTCCGCGCAAGGGACCTCGCGGGAAGAATGGAAGGGACCAGCCGCCATGGAGAGAAACAAGTTTTTGGTGGCATTGGAAGAGCCGGGAGTCTGGCTGTGCGTCAGCGCCGTGTCAACCCTCAGAAATAGGTGCCAGGCCGCCGCCGTGGCACGTCCATGATCTGACATGGCTTGCCGCCGCGTTCCTCATGTCGGTAGGTTTCTTGGCGCTAATCAATTATACGGCTGTGGTAACTTTGAGTCTCTCGAGTCCGTGCGTAAGCCGCGGCCCTTAACATCCATCTCGTCTTCGGTCCTCTAGACCGAGGCCGTGGCGTTTCTCACGCCGGATCAGGCGTCACACCGTCGACCGTGATGTCGCGGGGTAGATGAGGAGTAAAAGGGGGGGGGCACCGCCCGCTGACGAGCGCATATGGATGGTCCGCTGCACGCTCGGCAAGTGCTCACTTGTGCAGCAACCAGTGAGTTTTCCAGACCCCGAAGCCGGGTCGTGGCTTGTATGCATTGGACTGAGTATGCATGCGTCGCAGTCTCCCCGGTCCCGAGCACCGTGGGGAGCATTAGGGTTTGAAGAAGGTATAGCCGCCTAATGGATTCACGACGCACGATTCTCATCGTGAATGAGCCCATTGGCGGTTAGCAGCTGCCGTATTATGACTAGTAGACCTGCCGGGTATTAAGCAAGGGGCGCATCAAGTCTTGTCCAAGTAGCGGGATCTTGATTCCATCTGTCGTCTCATCGCTGCCGGCATAGCTCAGGAGGTACTTGGGTCGCATCAAGGTTGCGGCTACATCCCAATACGGCCTCGGCGCCCGCTGGCTGGGAAGAGGCATGTTGTGTGTGCCTACGTTGTATTCTCAAACGCCTGTTGAGACAGACATATAACCCAGTTCCGTCTCCAACTCGAACAACTCAAACTCAAAGCTCTATCCACATTCTACCTCTCCCTCTGCATAGTAGCCATGGCTATCGACCACACGTGCCTCATCGTCCCCAAGGACAAGTTCAAGCAGTGCCTCGACGTCTACCTCGCGGCCCTCAAGCCGCTCGGATACGGGCAGCGACATCAGTACGGCGAAACGCTCGTCGGCCTGGGCTCGACCAACGACCCGGTCATCGCCGATTACAGCCCCAGTGACTTTTGGGTCGTCGGCCAGGACAGCTCCTCTGGGCATGCCGCTTTCCCCATCCACCTCGCCTTCACTGCTGCAGGCATGTCTGGCACCTCCGTTCTTCTTGCGCCCCCGTCCCGGCCCGCCCCGTGCCTGCATCACGGCATCTTTGACGTTTCAAGTACTGACCCTTGATCGTTCAACAGACAGAAAGACGGTCGATGACTTTCACGCCGCCGCCATAAGGGCCGGAGCCAAGTGCAACGGGCCCCCCGGCTTGCGAAGCCACTACCATGCCAACTACTACGGCGCTTACATCCTCGACGCTGCGGGCAACAACATTGAAGCCGTTTGCCACAAAGCCCAGTAATTGGGGTAGTGCGCTTTCCCCATACCCTTGTTACGGAGTCTGCCGCCCACGGCGGACACAATTGCGATGCCCCTCGAGTTGAACGAGAAGGAGGGGAGCTGGCAGCCACCACGCCGGCATCATTTGATGACGAGGGACCAACTCTCAAGATAAGCGCCATTATTCAAGGGGACTCACTCGCTGTCGCAGGTAAATACAGGGGGCTGGCACTTATGACGGTGGCGAAACAGCGGCGTTCTCTTTCTCCCATGCTCGTGAGCTCTCCCAAGTGTATATTTACATCAGGTGCCTTTTGTCAAATACACTTGAGCGGGCAGACTCGCGGGCTTCGCTCAGAGTGCCTTCTAGCTTGCTGTATTGGAGCAAAGACGCAACCAGGTTACTCGTCCACACACGTGCCTACAACGAGCCCGAATGTGAGGACTTTTTGTATTGTCAGGTTCTGTGGAGACCCCTATGCCCGAAGGCAGGTCCAATATCTGTGGTTTGTACGCTTCCTTGTTGCCGGAAACTATCTAGACCCCTATTCCTAGGCCGACCCGAAAAGGCCGGCGTCCTCCACCATCTTCTCCAGCCTGGCTGCCGTCTCCCCAGTCTGTTCCCCGAGCCAACCCTCCGACTTCTCAACCATCATCTCCCACGCATCCTTCTGGTCCGCCAGTCTTGTCCTCAGAAACACCACGGCGCAGAGCGTCGCCAAAATCTCGGCCTGGCCGACGCTATCCGTGGGCAACTGCATCTCCGCCGCCGTCTTCTGTGTCACGTCAAGAATCTTCTCCAGCTCGGGGCTCCATTTCCAGCTCCCGATAAACGTCTGGAGAGACGCAAGACCTGTGAGAGGATCGCTGTGGTCGGACATACCCTCACCTTGAGCGCCCTCGTCTTGCAGATGGACAGACGAAGGTGCACCACCTCCCACCAGGAGCCTTGGTCGATTTGTTGAATTTTTCCCCCGCAACGGAGCCAGGCCATCATCCAAAAGTCCAAACCTTGTATCCTCATCATCTCCGCTGTTCAACACGTATGAGCTGCTACCAAAAGTCACTGGTGCAGCTGCAGGTGGGGGTGCTGGCTTAGAGTGCATCATTGACATTGGCATCGATGCGCACATGGCCATTGGAGCAGCACCCCCGAAGAGTGACCCGGACGAGCTTGTAGGAGTTGCAGCCGCAAACATCTGCAGGTTTCGGGGAGCGGAAGCGCCAAACATGGCTTGTGGCGGCTCCAAGTCTTCGGCGCGAACCACCTCGAACTCTCCAAGCGTTCCCGCCTCCTCATCATTGGTGGGGCCGCGGGATTCCGTCTCCTTAACAGCCACAAACGAGCACCATTTCCCGCCCACTCGATACTCCACGCCTAGCCTGGCGCCCTCCCGGGCGATCATCTCGTCGAAATGAGCCGCAAACTCCTCTCTCAGCAATTTCCCGCTATTGTCCTCGGCATGAGCGATCCAGCCCCCATTCTCTTCGAGCTCTTGGATCGCTTTGCGGGCAGCGAGTTGGTGAATCGTTGTACCCTTTTCAGCGAGCTTCGTCACCGGCACCTCGAGCCTGAGCGGCCCGTGGGCGGACATCCCCGTGAGGACGACCGATTTGATCTCGCGGCTGGGGGTTGAAGCTGAAAGCATGACGTAGACTGTCGCTCGGTTGAAGGGGAAGAGCGCGGGAATTTTGAAAGGAGCCTGGAGATAGCGAGGCGATGCAACCTCGGGAAGCTTGTTATACCCATTGTCGTCGCAAGTAGGCGCCGTGGTCATCTCCATTTCGTCGTCCTTAACATCTGGATCATAAAACAAAATGGGCTTCTTGGGTAGCTTCGACTCTGCAGGCTTGCTTGCCGTCGCGTCATCTTGCTCGGCGCCGATGGATAGGCAGTCGACTTTCTCGACGACCTCGAAATCTTCGTCGTTGGCCGTGCGATCGTCACCCGTGGGCCCTTGGTACTGGATCTCGAGTGCGCAGTCGTTGATGTGCGGCGCCAGGGCACCCTTTAGCATTCTGATGACCTTCTTGTCCATCTTCTCGTTCTCCGCAACCTTCTGGGCGAAGCCATTGCCGGCCCGCGCTACCCCCTGGATCAGGGCCGAGCTGGCCTCGTCGCCGACCCCCAGCGTAAAGACCCGAATCGCACCTGCGCTCTTGGCAACGTGGTCGTGAATCATGCTGAAGAGCTGGTTCTGCTCCCAAATTTCACCATCGGTAAGCAGGAAGACCTCGAGGTTCATGTCGGTGAGTCGCCTCCGAAAGGCTTCTTCCAGGGGCTGGTAAATCTCGGTTCCTCCATAGTCTGCTTCAAATGATTTGACATGTTGCACGGCTTTGTCCAGGGAAGACTGATCGTAGAATTGAGAGTTTTCCCAGAGAAAGGTGAATCTCGAGCCGAAGCTGCAGACATTGAACCTGACGCCCACAGGCAGTGACTTGAGGAAGATTTGCAGGGCGGCAACTAGATTCGGAATCTTTTGGCCATCGCCCATGCTGCCGCTCCGATCGCACACGAAAACAACTTCAGGCTTGCTGACGGGGAGGTTGAACCTGGGCACCAAGGTTGCCATCAACGCTCGCCTCTGAAGGTCAGGATGGGTCTCGAGGATGGCCGTAGGGCTGCCGAGGCCGTCGGCCACTATCATGATGACAAAGTCCTTTTCCAACTTGGAAGTGCCAAGAGCCAGTGTCGCAGAGGCTCTTTGCGGTGACGATGGCTTGCTGGTGGCAGTTGACGTCTTGCCAGTGTTGACGGAGATTGGGTGTGACGGCGAGTGGACATTCGTAATGAAGCAGCCATCGGCCATTTCGGCGTCGACGGTGATGGATATCCTTCCACCTCCCTCGGCTGCGCCGGGAGCCGTGCTATGGGGGGTGGTGCCAAGGACTTGATTTCCATCATATCTGGGCGCAATGGTGGTGGGAATGGTCAAGCGCACGGCATCTGCCTCGGCGTCATGCTCGAGTTCCCCGAGGTATGTCATTTCAACCTTGACCTTCTCACCCGCAGGGACATTGCCGATGCTGGCGGTAAAGACGTCTGAAGCGCGGAAACTCTGCTCCAACAAGCCAGCCGTCTCGCCGCGGCTGGCAGCATCTTTGTACATCTTCCTGGCCGCCTGGCGCTCTTTAACGACAGCCTCGATTTTGCGGTCGCCGACAGTGTACACGAAGTTGACCACCGTCACGCCATCGTAGAGGGGGAAATCATAGCGGACCTCGTCGAGCCCCCTTTTACTGTCCGGGTTGATAAATGTTTGCGTAAGCGTGGTGCGCGAGGAGGCGGACAGGACGGTAGCGTGGGCGTCGACGTCGATGACGGGGAGGAACTTGCGGTCGGAATCGCGAATGACGAAACAGCCACGCGGCGGCAGCCGAGGCGCAGGAGGATGGAACAAGTTGACCATGATCAAAGTGTGTAAGTTGGGGGGAGGGTTGGGGGGAAGTGGTCTAATTGGTGTACTCGGCCAGAGACGACTTGGTCCCAAGCATGCTGAGGGCGAGGTCGTGGAGGATTTATACCTGAGCGCCAGCGTCTTGGTGGGCTTGGGATGGTGATGGCGCTGGCCGCCAAGTTCAGCCAGTCTCCAAGGATGACTCGACGCCGATGAAAATCAGGGCCGAGGCCTGGGCAGTAGCTGTCTCCAGGTCTCCCCTGAATGACACGGACTTAATAAAGAGGAGACGCGGCGACAAAGTACTCTGAGATGATGTGAAAAGCACGGCTGTCCGCCCGCAAGAAGTCGACACAGGGGAAGAGACCGGGCAAGGGAGAGAGGGCAGACCGATAGGTTGTGAGGCCGCCAAGTGGCGGGAACTTCAGCCGTGGCCGCAGCAACCTCAAAGGCGCGCTGGCACAGTCTGGACTCTGGAGGCCTTCCCGGCTTGGTGAGCTGCGACTCTGGCACTATGGGGCCATCAATGAGTGACGTCATATCAACTCGCGCTCTGCAGGCGCGGGAGTTCGTGGCATCTGGCTCGCTCGTCAGCAACCCCAACTTCTAGGGCATTCAAGTACCTGTAGAATTGCACGAGAGACGACACCGGGAGAGCGGGCCATGATGAATGTATGCTACCGCGGATAAGCAATAACTATAAAACTAGCAGACAGCCACCCATTATGGTCTGCGCGTGCGCTTGCCAGATCCTGCCCTGACCTCGGGTATCCTACCTACATATAATTCGGGTACCACTACTGTAACATCGCCACTGGCTGCTCCATATCAGCAGGGCTTCTAACATCATCTGGAGTGCCCTTTCAACATGGCCGCGGCTCAACACTCCAAGCCCCCCCGCCCCTCTCCAACAGAGTACTGGGAGAGCTGTCGTTTCCCAGGCTTCCACATCGCCTCCAAATCATCCGGCCCCGTGTGCATTCCGACAGTCAAGTCCCCAATACATCAAAGTAAAGCAACTTTGGGCAGATGATCGCCCTCATGCCTAGCCGATGAACCATTGCTCGTCATCTTCTCATGGCCCGCCTCGTCGGCAGTCCGTGTCATCAGCACGTGCAGCACGTCAGGCCCTTGGCTTAGACATAGTCTCGGCGGCCTTTCGACCGTCAATACTGCGAGTCGTGTCCCGATCTCCAGCTCGCGATTGCAGAGCGCTCCTCGCTCGTACGTCTGCTTCCCTTGGGAGCGGCAATCGAGCTTTGCGCCGAGCTCATCACCGTATCAGCAAAGCTCGTGTCCGACTCCTCTCGGCTGCTGGTGGGGGTGAAGCTGCGACTCGCGGCGGAGCCACCACGTCGCCCGTCTCGTGTGCTCGCAGTCAAGTGTTCGGCCTCGTTCTACTCGGCAGAACGCTCCTGGTTCGCACCTCCTTTCCAGAGTCCATAATGGCCCTCACAGTTCTTCCACAGCTTGATCGTGCCGTCTTCCGAAGCGGTTGCATAAAGTTTGCCGTCGGGGGAAAACGAAATGGACCATATTGGGCCATGATGACCCTTGAGCGTCTCCAATTCAACCTCGTCGTCGTATCGGATGACCTTGGCCCAAGTGCCGGGCTCTTCCCCCACCACCACCTTGCGTCCCTTGACGTCGAGGGCAACGCTAGCGATAGAGCGTGGCAAGGCAATCCGCTTGAGCTCATCCATGGCTCGGTTACCACCCCAAAAGTAGGCCGTCTTGCCGGCTGCGACGGCGAGCACGGGCTTGCCGCCTCCAAGGTCGTTGGGCGACGCGTAGTCGGCCGATAGCGAGACCATCTCGCAAGATTTGATCTCTCCATCAAGGACCTCGTGGTGGATGCATGCGCGGCTGGGGAGGTCGAGCCAGCGAAGAGTCTTGTCCGATGCCGTCACGACAATGTTTGGATCTTGGGTCCAGCAAATGAACTTGATGGAGCTGGTGTGCACGCCCTCACCGATTTCAAAGCCGGCAGATGCCGGGATCGTGGCGGGAGTGTCGGGGTGCGAAGCAGTGAGCTCTGCGAGGTCGAAGACGCGGAGTTTCTTCTCCATGCCGCCCGTAGCCACGAGATCAGAGTTGTCGGGGGGGTAGGCAACGGCCCGGACAATGTGGTCGTGCTGCAGCGTGACAAGCTGCTCTCCCGTGTGGGTGTCCCAGATCTTCCTGAATTTATGCCATCAGCGAGACTATTCCTCGGATTCAGAATGGCAGGTTTTTGTGGTAACGCACGCGGTGAAGTCGGCTGAGGCAGTGGCAGCGTAGGTATGGTCGGGGCTCAACCTCGCTTGCCAGACGGCGCCCTTGTGGCCCAAGAAGGTACCTATCCTAAGGCGTCGACAGTAAGCATCGACGGTGGCATACAAAAAGTCGCTTGGTGAAGGGGGGGGGAATACCAATCTCCGTTGATGCCATCACGAAGCATAGGGTTTCCGTCTGGTGTGGGATCAGCGTGTGCTCCGACGCTTGAGATTGCGCTGCCAACCTTTGCAAGCCGAGATCATGAAATACTGCCCATCCTTCTCAAGGTTGGAAAAGCTAAAGTGTGGCACTGGCCGGGAGTGGCCATGGCATGTCAATGGGACGTAGCTGCGAGGGCTGTCTGTCGTCATGGCTGTCGAGTGGGGGCGAATGCACGACGTCGGCGGCGTGTGTGCGAGAGGCGCAGCTGGTGAGGGTGTACGGTGCAAAGATTCGATTATGCCGATGGCACAACCGAGGGACGCGGAGGTTATGTTCAGAGAGCAAGGCAAAGGCAGATGGCAGGGCGTGTCGTGATTGGGGTGTGTATTCGCAGCGTGAAGTCAAATGATGAAAGGAGCGGGTGCGCCCGACACCTCCGAACGGTTGTGAATGTCGCGGGTGAGAGTTTGCAACAGCCGAACTGCGGTATTGCGAAGTCGGGGTAGGCGGGCGTGTCTCGAGCTCACAACAGGGCGAGGCGGCCTGCCAGGTTCAGCGAATCGCGAAGAAGCGGTTTCGTCGAAGCGCAAGGCGGCTGCGAGTGGCGGCTGAAACGAGCCAAGGTAAGCCTTGACGGGAGATGAAGGGTCACGAGAGCTGAAGTGAATGACTGCTTGCCAAAAAGGAAGCGATTGCCTGAAGACGTGGCGATGGCGGAGGCAGGGAGAGAGAGGTGAAAGAGGCGGGAAGTGCAAGTGGCAGTGGGACAAGGGAGGTTTTGAGGTTTCTCGTCGGCGGGGCAGTTTCGGGGGCCTACAGGCCTAGGTACCTGCCGCCTAGGGAGGAGGGGCAAGGTCTTATCGGCTTATCAATGTCGCATGGATCATCATCTCGGCACCAGGACTGTCTACAGAGCAGCGACATAAGCTTCTCTCTTGAATGTCCTTAGCTGTGGGTATATACCTTGCCTTTAATAGTCTTGTAACTCCTTATAGAATGGATTTTTTTCTCAGGTGATGGGCAGACATGGACCTGCTGTCGATGCGTTCGAGAGGCATCGTAACCACAACTGCGTACCCGTGGTGTCCATCGGCTATGGCTGTGGATTGCCGCTGACAGGCCAACGCTCATGTCTCATGTTGTCCCTGGAGGCGGGGTACCTACTACCTTAGGTAGCTTAGCTGTCATGTCCCAGCATCACCATCTCACTAAGCAGCGTCCACTTGCTTCCATTGACGTCCGCAATTCAAAACACCGAAGAGCCGAGGCACTGCTTTTCGAACTCTGCCCTGGCGCTTCCTCTTCGCATCTCACCTTGACGCTCCGCCGTGCCCTGGTCCCCTCACCGTATACCTCGGTCGTCAATCACCATCGCCCTTGCTCGTCGTCCAGAGCCATTCCTGCTCCGTCGAAGCCGACCGCCCTCAAATTTGCACGTTTCGTTCTCTTGGTCGCCAAGCTTCTGCCCGGTTAGCCTTGTGGGGGAATCGAGAGCAAATCGTGTGAGCGGCGCCTACGATGGCGGGCGACTTCAAGCTGTCGGCGCAACTCATGGGCCACGAAGCTGATGTCCGTCAACACTTTTCCATCTCTCAGACACTCTGCCGCATCTGAGATGGCTAACACCCTCGCTCCTAGGTACGAGCCGTTTGTTTTCCCTCCGACAACTTCGTCCTCTCCGCGTCCAGAGACTGCACTGTACGCCTCTGGCGCCGCGGTCCCAAGCCACCGCCGTCCTTCGAGGGCACTGTGATAAGCCGGGGATCGGAATACATCAACTCCTTGACCTTTTTTCCACCATCAAAAGGGCGGCCAGACGGCCTGGTCGTCTCGGGCGGCAAGGACACCGTCATTGAGGTCAAGTCGCCGCGCTCGTCCTCGGCTGACCACGCCGAGCGCCTCCTCATCGGGCACTCGCACAATGTCTGCGCCCTGGACGTGTCCCCCAACGGTACCTATCTCGTTTCCGGAGGGTGGGACGGGCAGGCTCGCGTCTGGGACCTTAATCAGTGGGAGACGAGGCTCATGCTAGGAGGCCACGAGGGCATGTCTGTCTGGGGCGTCGTGGCCCTGGATGACAAGACGGTTGTTACTGGCTGCGCAGACAAGAGCATCCGAGTATTCGACCTGAGCCGATCCACCAGCGGCGAGGTCATGCCAAAATCAACAATCCACACCCCCGACGTCGTGAGAGCGCTATGCAGGGTCCCGAGCGGTCACGCGAGTGGCGCCGACATTGCAAGTGCTAGCAACGATGGCACTGTGAGGCTGTGGAAGCTGAATGGACAACAAGTCGGCGAGCTCCACGGCCACGAAAGCTTTGTCTATTGCTTGGCAACCTTGCCCTCGGGCGAGCTCGTCAGTGCCGGTGAGGATCGAACCGTCAGGATATGGAGAGGCTTGGAGTGTGTGCAGACAATCACCCATCCGGCTATCTCCGTCTGGGCGGTTGCGGCCAACCCTGATACCGGCGACATCGTCAGTGGCGCCAGTGATGGTGTTGCTCGCGTCTTCACCCGTCGTCCGGACCAAGTCGCCGACCAGGAGACTCTGACGCAGTTTGAAGAGTCGGTCAAGTCCTCGTCTATCCCCCAGCAGCAGGTTGGCAACATCAACAAGGAGAAGCTCCCCGGCCCCGAGTTCCTCACGGCCAAGTCGGGCACCAAGGAGGGTCAGGTACAAATGATCAAGGAAAGCAATGGCAACGTGACTGCTCACCAGTGGTCGGTAGGCCAGCAGCAATGGATAAGCGTAGGCACCGTCGTCGACGCCGTCGGCAGCACCGGCAAGAAGGTGGAATACAACGGACAGTCGTACGACTTTGTCTTTGACGTCGACATTGAAGATGGCAAGCCTCCCCTCAAGCTTCCGTACAACCTCTCCGAGAATCCGTACGAGCGAGCTACCAAATTCCTCGGCGACAACGAGCTTCCCCTGAGCTACCTGGACAGCGTGGCCAACTTCATCACCGAAAACACAAAGGGCGCGACGCTGGGTCAGACATCCCAGCCCGGCGGGCCAGACCCCTACGGCACCGAGTCCCGCTACCGGCCCGGGGAAGCGCCGCAGCCTCAAGCGCGGGTGCTTCCCCAAAAGGAGTACCTGAGCATTTCGGCGGCCAAGTACGAAGGTAAGAGAGTTTCGCTGAAGAACAAGGCATCTTCCGTGCTAATCAAAAGCTGCCGCAGCCATCTTCACAAAGCTCCTCGGCATCAACAAGAATATGGTTTCGTCCGGGCGCAAGGACGCTGCTCTGAATCCCGGCGAGGAGTCGGCGCTGCGGTCACTCCGGGAGGCGCTCGAAGCCGCGAAGCCAATCACCTCCCAGGCGCTCGAGTTGGTTGTCCGAATCGTCACGCAATGGCCGTACAGCGATCGGCTGCCGGGCCTGGACGTCCTCCGCTGCGTAGCCAGGTATCCCCTCGCAGCACAGTACTCGGGCCTCCAGGGCAAGACACTACTAGACGTGGTCATTGGCTCGTCGGTCCCCAGCGGCGAGGCGCCCGGCGAAAACGCGGCCATGATGGGCGCGCGGACCGTTGCCAACCTATTTGGGTCGGCCGACGGCCGCAGCCTCGCCAGCGGGCAGGCCGACAAGGCCCTTGCCTTTCTCGAGCGCCTCGCGGGTATCGACGGCGGCGAGCCCGTGGGCAGGTCGAACCGCAACGTCCTCATCGCGCTGACCACGTCGCTCGTCAACTTTGCCGTCCTCGCGCAGCGGGAGAAGCTGCTCTCCTCCACCCAGCGGCGGCGCCTCGTCGCCCTCGCCGGCGCGGCACTCAAGGACCAGGCCGACGCCGAGGTCCTGTACCGCGCGCTCGTGGCACTCGGCACGGTCCTGGGGGACACGGCGCAGGCGGCCGGCGGGCTAAATGTTGCCGAGTGGATCCACGCCGCCAAGGGTCGGTGCGCGGAGGAGAGGGTGCAGGGCGTGGCCGACGAGTGCCTGAGCCTGACGCGATGAGGGGACTGGCGGTATTTGGTTTCGCGGGTGAGCGATGGGCAGGTTAAGTTAAGGGGCGACTACAGCAGCAACATCAATACACATGTCATTAGCTTGCAGGAGGGCAGCCTGCACGTTGAGCTGCTTGCTGCCTCGACCAAGGCCTCTATTCACCGCGTGATGGATTGAATGAATGAAAGACTCATTGCTATTGTGTGCCCCCAAGCCGCAGAGGCCGAAGAAGAAGAAAAACCCGTGCTTGAGGGATCTCCTACCGAGTCCTCTCATGGGTTATGCCCCCGAATGAACATGGTATGGGAACAAAAAGAAGCGCTTTCGGAAATCGAGCCTGCGCCAATGGGCTCAGCAGCGGTCCTCCCAGCGTGGTTAATATCCAAGAAATCGGCCCGGCAGGTTGTCCTTGACCCTAAATTTGTGCGCCCCCATTCTGCATCGACATCATGGCCGCCGCGCGTCATCTGTGAGAGACGTGTGTATGTACGTGTGCGTTTGTGGCTGTGTGCGCGTAATCATGGCAAGAATGATGGTTCGTTTGTTACAGAGGCGCATTGCCAGGCACCTGCTCGGCAGGTGGTGTAACGCCACGCCCGCTTCTCAAGGCTGCGTGGAGCTTGTGCAGGTTATTTCTCACAGCAGCGTCCCGAGGCAGCCGAGGAGCAGCAGCGGCAGGCAGCCCGCCCAGCCGAGGGCCCGTGCCGCCTCGACGGCCCCCGACGGAACGGCACTTTCGGTATGGGGCTGTTTTGTGGTGATTGTGTACATGTCAGCGAAGCCCAAGTCTGTCGAGTTGTAGCAGTTTGTCTCGTTGATGATGGCGATGCGCGAGTCGCCGGGGTCGGCAAAGATGATGTCGACACACGAGTAGAGGGCGGCGCCGTGCTGGGCCAGCTCGACGACCTGGATGGTGGCCTTGTCGCCGGCCTTGACCGTCGTGTTGGCGGGCAGGGGCACCTGGGGAAGGCAGACGGTGCCCGGGAAGGGGTTGTTTGTCGGGCCGATGAGCTGGAAGGGGTGAACCATGGGGTTGGACATGTTGATGGGGCCGCCGTCGGGGCCCTCGGAGCCGAGGCCGAGGTTGACGTAGATGAGGGCGTTGGCGTGGCCGCGAAACCAGCCGGGCTGGAAGGCGACGGCGCCGCCCGTCGTGGGCCAGTAGGTGCGGTTTTTCGTCAACGTGGTGCCGCCGCCTGGTCGAGGGCCGGATCAGTCTGAGGAAGGCAGTCTGCGGAGAGGGGCCGGGTGGACTTACAGGGATATATCCACTGCATGCCATAAGGGTAGGTCTCGTTTGTAATGAGATTGTTGCCCCGCCAGCCGGGATAGGTGATGACGCTGTGAGCCGAGGCGAGGGTCGCGAGGGCCAAGGCTACGAGTACACGGGACAGCATGGCCCGGGGATGGCCGGCCATGGCTTGTGTTGTGGAGGGAGGTTCAGGCGCTACAGCCGCTTTTCATGCGATGGCGCTCTCGAGGCGTGCACTCGCTGCTGGCGCCTGGCCGATTGGATGTGCCGTAAGCAGCTCCTGTTGCGCGGATAGGTGATGCCGCGGGCGAGGTGGCGGTTTGAAGCAGCAAGCTCGATGGATGCCGAGGCAGACGTGTGAGGGTCCGGGGGTAGCTCAGAGCTCAGCCGCTGCAGGTGCAAATCATGATGCTACGGCTTCTCTTCAGCGAGGAAAGACGAAAGACGGCGCAGGGTGAGAGCGGAGGGAGTCCCAAGTTTTAGTGATTTCGTCTGACCGGGTCCATGGCCAACGGGTCCCTAGACGGCGAAGACGACGAATCGGACGAGGTGCGGGCGCCGCGCGCCATGGTGCACGGCAGCAGCAGCAGGGCGGCGAAAAGGGCCAAGAAGAGGTGTGCGGCACGGCAGAACACACACAGTTCGGCGGGCAAATGCCAGCGACCGGGGATGAGATTTTGGTCGACGAGGCGAATGCACGAGGCCAGCCAATGAGCATGGGCCAGATGCGTGTAAGCGCCGTCGAGCAAGTTCTGCGTGCCACTGCATCGTCCTGGCCGACGGCGTGTGGTTGGACAGACGTTGCTAAGCGCCCGGGCAGTCGTTGAAGTGGAGAGGGGATGCGACGGCAGCTAAAGACGGCCACGAGCCAATCACGAGCGGCGGCGGCGACGAACGACCAACTTGTGCGTGGGGATTCTGAGGAGGGAGGAGGAGGAGGATGGGGAGGAGAAAGGCGATCGCAGGCGCAAAGGGGCGGAAAGTCTGGCGCAGTTCGGGCAAAGCTCGGCAATACAACCCCCGACTGGCACGAGGAGCGAACAGACATTTGACGGCTGTCGCTACCTATTCTGCCATCAGCTTGTCTTGCCGTGCTCGGAGAATCACAGCTTGCTTTTATGGCGTTATAGCTTCGCCGGAAAGAAAGACCAAAAATTATTTGCGTTTACTGAGCGACCTCGGAGTCCTTGTCCAGGCCATCATCCCGGCAACGTCGTGCCAAGGTCTTCTCACCCCATCAGCTTACCCTATACCGAGGAGCTCGTGAAAAATTCCCCGACTCCAGACCTCATGCCCAACAGACCACCGCCTCACTCTATTTCATGACATGTGGCGGAGACAAGGAGAGAAAGAGCATCTAGCAATGCCAGACCCTTGACGAGTCGCGTGGGGCTTCCCGCTCACGGGCTCCCCATCAAATGCCCTCCCCAGCTTGACAAGTCGGTGCATCCAGACATCGCGGCTTCAACCAACCCTCCGCAATGCCGTTACGCCCGCCGTCGCCCACAGCTGGCCGAGAGTCCGAGCACTGGACCTTTGTCACGCACAAAAAGACCAGCAAGACCTGCAAGAACCGCCGCGCCGCCACCCGACCCGGAGCCCTGTCCCGTCTACCGCATCCACATCCTCCTCCTCATCAGCCGCTCCGCTCGCCACCGGCCATCGCCGCCGAGTACCGCCGCATCCGCTCCACCTGGGACTCCTCCTCGTCGCCCTGCTGCGCCGCCCTGCGGGTGCTCGCCGCCAAGTCAGCCGCTGCCGCCGCCCGCTGCGCCCCGGTCTCGCGCGCCGTGTGCCTCGGCATCGGTTCCTTTGACCCCCCCGACGGCGGCTGGGAGGCCAGGCGCCGCACCTACCTCCAGCTCATTGCCTTTCTAGTCATGGTCGACGAGCTCGGTCCGCCATCTCCTCCCCTTCGCACCCCCTGCTTGGATAAGAAAAATCGAGAGCTAACGCAGACGCAGAAAAACACATGGGCCGAACCATCCCGTGCATCTTCCAGGAACCCGTCTTCACCTCGGCGGACCGGGACTTCATCGCCGGCCTGGGACACCACGTCGTCGACTCGCCCGAGGCATGTGACCGCGTCACGCCAGACACCTTCCTCTTCGGCATCCATCTCTACCGCCCCATCTACGCCATGGCCCTGCGGAACCACTTGCCTGCTCTCTTCGTCGGCACGGGCTGGGACGTGTGGGATCAGTGAGTGCCGTTTCCCTCTTGATTTCCGCATCCCATATTATCACCATACCCCCCGCTGAACAACTCTCCCGCAGGTTCTCGCTCTCGGAGTCACCCGACCTGCTCCACCTCGAAGAGATGGAACGGACCTATGCAAAGGCCGCCTTTCCTCAAGACTCGTCCAGCACCGCCTTTTCAAGCACGTCCGTCTACTGGCGTTCCGCTGCGTCCGCCCCCGCCCAGCCCGCAACGAGTCTAACAGACCAGACGAGCAAACACCACCAACACGACACCCTTCCACCCGAGACAAAGGCTGAGAGCGTCACTTGAACGGAGCTTCTGCCTTTCCAAAAGCAGTGGACACAGCGATGGACGACGTCGATGATCGTTGCCAAAAAAAAGCATCGGGGCCAACGGGCTGTCCTGGGAAGTCTAATCGCCACACTGAATGTCCAGGCGGCACGAAGCTGTCAAGTCTGCGACCTCTAGAAGCTTCATCTTGCTCATCCGCCTTAAGGTAGCGGGGCTGGACCGGACTGCCATTGTGCGGCAAACCTCTCAGCGCGTGGCGTCGGGCAACGGGACGGCTGTTTGTCCCGAGGTATACCATAACTGGGAGGGTTGCCCTATAGCCTCTATAAACGGATGCACTAAGGGATGCAGATGAGGAAGCAAAAGGCGTCGAGTGGATTGATCGCGCGACTCGCTCTCAATCCCACGTAGTCCTCATATCATGGCGCGTCTATCTTCATTTAATACAGCATCATTCTCCACATCCTTTTCACATCCCCCTGGCTCCAAGAATTATGCCCGACTCTCGTCGCGCAGCCGTGCCTTGCACTCCCACAATAATCTCACGCCCCATGTCACCCTTGCCTCTTCTGGCCTGCATCCCGCTCGATGACGTGCATGAGTCGAGAACAACAGACGACAGAATCCAAGAGCGCGACACGCTAAATCTCAAACCCCATCTGAATCATGCACCGTGAAAAAAAGGCCAGTTCCTGGAACTCCAACGACGCCGGATATGAGGTGAACAGTAGCGAATCAGGACAAACCCAGATTCAAAAGGCGGCTGCAATGGACCGCCCGGACCGCGTATATCGTCATCTATGCAGCAGCATGGGCCGGCGATGCTTCCCGTTGCAGGAGACTGGCTGGGCCCATGGACAATCCATGTGCAGTTGGGTGTCGCCAGATGCCAGCTATCAAACCGTCTTGCCGCCACAGTCGGGAATCTTGACGCCGTTCTTGAGCTTGCGATCGATGTCCATGAGCCCCCACTTGTCTTCCCATTCCTTGCCCTTTTCGTTGAATCGAATCTTCCACGGCTCATCAAAGGCCTCGAACCAGAAGTATTGGGTGCCGTTGCTCAGCGCCTGGCAGACCCAGTCGTCCATGAAGCGGTTCATCTCCTTGATGCCAGCTACGGAGCCAGGGTCGCACGAGGTTGTCTGAGCCTGGCCACAGTTCTTGCCGCCGTCGCTGGGCCACCCCGTTTCTGCTATAACGTTCTTGTTCTTGTCCGTTTTCCAGAATTGGCCGTCCCTGCCTTCCCAAAAGGACCAAGTCCACGAAGCAGCGGTTTCGGCAGAGACACCGGCAAAGAACGGATGGATGTTGGCCATGACGTAGTCGCTGTCCTTGGCGAGCTCCGTCGTCCAGTCGTCACCCAGGTCAGACGTGGCGACCGGGAGGTTGATGTTCTTGGATGTGAGGTTCTTGCGCACGTCACTGAGAACAGTTGCCAGAGACGAAATGGTCATTTCTTTTCGGAAGAGAATCTCGTTGGCAACGATGAGTCCCTCAAAAGGCTCGGCACCGTACTGATCGAGGATGGTCCACATCTGCGCCAGCTGCCGTGAGTTGGTCGTCTCGTTCTTGTCCTGCCATACCCCCAACCATATCTTGACGTCCTTTTCCAGTTTGAGCTGCTTGACGGCATGGATGACCATCTCGGTCTGGTTGCAGTCGGTGCCGTAGAGACGAATCTTGTTGGTGAGCTGGCTGAGCACCGCCACGTCGCGCGTGACGTTGTTTTGCGAAGGGGGATCCGACATGCAGTCGGGGTATTGGGTCTTGTACGGGGTATAGTCCATGCCGGGAAAGACCTTGTGTAGATTAGGGTCGTTCATGAGTGCCTTGATCTCCTTGCTGTTGATGTTGAGATCGCCGTTTTCCTTGGCGTCGTCTGAGGCAGAATCCGAGCTGCCCCCCTTGCCTCTCCTATTCCCGGCCACAAGAGCGCCGACGACACCTCCGACAATGGCCCCGACGATGACGAGGAAGACGAGAATGATGGTGACCCATTTGCACGTCTTGCTATGGCCTTTTTGCTGCGCCAGCCAGGCTGACGGCTTTTCCTGGCTTGCACCAGCATCCAAGGCGCGGGTGGCACCATCAGGACCTGGTTCAGTCGCGCTTGTTAGTTTGGGCCAGGCGCTTGATTTGCTCGTGCCACGTACCTTTGTTACCCATGAGTCCTCGCGAGGCAGCGCCTGCACCCGCACCCGCGGCCACCCCAACCGCCGCTGCTCTCGCGCCAGACTTGGCGTTTCGGTCCGAGTTGGGCCGGCTGAACAGGGATGTCCGTTGAGGGCGCCTCGAGTAGTTCAGGCCGTCGTCTCCATCGTCTTCAATGTCGTGAGGGTCGACGAGGCCAACATCGACGGCATCATGCCGGGGATTGCTCGAATAAGACTGATACGGGTCGTCGGCCAGAGAGCTCGGGCGGCCGAAGCTGTTCATGCTCCTCGACGGCGAATGTGTGGCGGGTGGTGTGCCAAAGGGATTCAGATTCGAGTGAGAATCTTGGCCACGGCCGATGTATGGGTCGTACGAGGCACCGCCGCCGTAAGGGGACATTGGCTGGCGCGGGGCATCCGGACGGAGGGCTCGGGATGGGGGCGGGGGGATTTGGCCGATCGGGTGCATGGGGTCGGAGCCGGGGCCAGGCGTGCTGTAATCGGCGACGTCGTAGGCTAAGCCGGCCATGCCGCCCGCGGCAGATGCGCTGAAATTGTCAGCACCCGGGGTGATGTTGTTGGGAATACGCTGCGGTGCATACGCGGTAGTTCCGTTGCCGGCGCCTCCGTAAGGACCGCCCGTGTCGTGGTAGCCATACTCGCCGTGACGGCCATACTCGCCGTGGCGGGGTGGCATGGGCCCGGGGGCGCCGTAATCATGATAGCCCCGTGAGCGACTCGAGGTGGATGAGGATGAATCTAGGGCATGTTGGGGCGAGGGACCATCGTAGTAGGCAGGCGCAGCATGGCTGTGATCGCGAGACGTCGGGTTATGGCCGGGGTAGTGACGGGGCGGGCTGTCGTAGTGGGCATAAGGGCCATCGAGGGGATACCTCTCGTAGGGGTCGTCGTGTGGAGCGCGCGCCATGTCGAGGAGTGATGAAGAGCGGACAAGGCAGCGCCAAAGATGCAGCTGGCGGCCCAGAGGCTGGGCCGAAGACGATATGCAGCAGCAAAGGAGCGACGAGGGGGAAGGATGTACGTAGATAGGCGATGGCGAGTGATGGCAGAGGGTGTTGGGAGAGAGTTGGCAGGCGAGTGGGAAACAAATCAAGCGATGACAAGAGGGGATGTGGCCAAGATGAGTTTTTGCCGGATGCGCTGTAGTCGAGCGGGTTGGTTGCCGTGCTGTCAGTTGGCGGAACCGGCGAGGAATGCGTTTGAGTGAGGCGGCGAGAATGGCCGTTGCTGGGGGTGACGTCGGTCTCGACGAAGCGCTGTTGCAGATGCGGGCCCCCGCAGCGATGCCAGCAGTCGAAGGGGTGGAAACCGGAGGAGACGGTGCGGGCGAGGTTGACGAGATATTACGAGTTTGGTGGTTTGAGAGGGGAGGAAACGAGAGGAGGCGGAGGGGAGGGAGAGTGTGAGAGAGTTGGGAGCCAGCCACACACCTTATTACTTGACACTGAGGGACGAGGGGAAACAGGGCGTCTTGGTCGAGGGGCTGTGCCGCCAATCCGGCTTGATATCGGTAGAGGGGACATGAGTGTGCCGCACGAACTGCCCCGGGGACGCGTACAGGCTACACGCTCCCACTGGAGGCTCCTCCTACAAGTTCCTCCCAGGCGGTCGGCCGAGGGGTGAAATGGGGGGGAGGGGCCGCAGGTCCGGGGCAGTTTGGAGCCTCTCTGTACTGTACCGGTAGTACTGTACTGTACATGCAACTACTACCTAGGTACCTACCTACCTTAGGTACCTACCTAGGTAGTGCTTTACTAGTAGTACTTGCCCACTGAGTCGGCTAGCACCGCATGGCACTCTGAAAAAGGCAAGGCACCACAACTCAAGGCAGAAAGCTGCGGCACCCAGCCAGAGACGCCCTCGGGCCATCCCAACAAGCCCACTGTTATGTACGGGGCTGCTAGTTTGCATGCGAATACCCAACTTACATGGAGATGGGTGAAGGGCGAAATCAATTACCTCGTCATCTGGTGTGCAGTGAGTTCCTGGATGAATGGACCACATCGATGTTTGGGGAAAGCATGCCAGCGCTCTGCTGGCGTCTGAGGCGCCATGGAAACCCATCCGCCACACTACATGAGACCCTGTGCTGGTCTGACCCGGCGGCTTCTTGGATACTTGTACGTAGACTCTGCTGGCAACGTTATATACATGCATCCAATATGGCGATGCCAGCCGGACATGAGCCGAGCTGGGTTGGGGCATGTTATATAATTAGTCGGGCCTTAGGGGCTACGCATAAAGTCGACTAGGCCATTGCTCTTGGCGGGCAAGAAATAGGTACTGTACATGGTCAGTATGATACTGTAAGGTACTAGGTACTGTAGTTAGAACGTGGTCGTGTTCATCCATTGTGGCTGCGAAAAAGCTAATGCTAGTATAGGTTACATGGCGGTTGTCGATCTACGCAGGGTTGGGTGGGTGGGGGGGAATTGGACAGGATCTCGTCCGCATTGCACCAGTAAAACATGTGTGGCATCTGCAACGTCTTGTGTCATTTGGGCAATGCGTGCATCCTGTGAGCAGCCCGAGTCTCGTTTGCAGTATTCTGGCCCGATGATGGCTTCATAGTCAATAGCCTGTACAAAATGTACGAATAGGTCACGAAGTAAAGAAATGGAGACAAATGCTGGCCACGGTATGACCAGGTTGGGATGCACACGCACTGAGAGTGCGAATGAAGACGGAGTCCACTTCCTACGGCCCTGACACGGTTCACGCGGCGAGGTAATTACGAGGTACTCCGTGCTTTGGCTCATTCGGCGCCTTGCCCTCTTGGGCTTTTTGTTGCTGCAAGCTGCTCGTGTTGCCTGCATCGTGTTTTTACACGTTACATTGGTGATCAAGAAATATACGGAGTACCGAGCGCAGAGATGCTCTGTGGACGGTAGGCGACGAGGGAACATTTCTTGTATACTCGGTCGTGGACAGCCGTCGATGCGATGCATTGCAAAGACCACGCCATGGTGAGAAATCCGTCTCGGCCGAATAGACGAGGGTATACTTGTACAGTACTGTAGAGCAACGGAGATGTGGAAAAGAGTGCCCCGATGTTCTCAGTCGTTGGCCCATCAACCATGAACCCGGCACAGTATCATATCCCTTTGGCTGCGTAAGGCCACCTAAGTAGCTGGACCCACAGCCCCCGCCTTTGTCAGCAGCTACTCATGACCTAACGCGAAGAGCTAGAAACTCGCAGCAGAAAAGAAGAGCTACGATATGCTCCTTGTACTGCCTCTGCTATCGATACAACCTTTTTGGTGAGATGGTCGGCCACAACCTTGTGCCTCTTGCAGATAGATTGAGTCTGATTCGTTGGTATCCTCACGAGTGACCTGAGGGCGACCTTACCGCAGCCAAAGGGCTACAGTGCGATCTGAAGCAGCTTACTGTACAGTAAAGACGTCTGCACGAATAGCATGTAAGGTAGGACGGAGTAGGTAGGTAGGTACTGACTGTACCGCCAGAATGGGTCAAAGTACTCCGTAAGCCCCGATATTAATATGTACAGTGCAGTACCCTCTTAGCGCTTCCCCGATGTGGAATACGAGCGTGCAGATATTAATAGAAGTCTACATATGTACATATTGCACCGTATCCGTACATCTGCTCTGCACGGCTCTCCATTGAGAACAAATATTCAATTGTGACGACCGACTGAACTGCAGGCTCAACCTCGTGCAAACGCTAGACAAAATGCAGTCATGACGTCGACTCGGCAGATGCCCCTGTTTGATCGACAAACGAGATGCTGCTAGCGGTGCCTTGCCCTGTTTCCGTGGAACACAAGAACAAGGCCATTGCTGTCAAGCTCAATTTTCTGCCTCAACGTCAAGACAGAGGCGCCTGTCAAACGTCGCAAGGACTGCCGACGATTGACCGCCTCGTTCATCACTGCCGGCAGTGCGGGAGCGGCGACTGGCGGCGTCAAATGACAATGGCCGGACCGAGCGATTGATGGGCTGAGCGCAGCCGGATGGATCGTGCTCCCCCCCCCTGCGGCCTCTTCTTCACTTCGCCATCACTGACGTTGGCCAGACCGTGGGCGCATTGACGGTTGCCAACTCGCTACTGGCGTGCCCAAACGCTTGACTGCCACCGTCTACACCCGCGACATCAATAGAGGTTGGCACGGGTCGACCAGACTCTTTGCTGCCTGCCCGCACGCATAGTGCTTATTGTTGTCGACATGCTCCTATCATCGAGGACCGTCACGTTGCCTGTCTGCCTACTTGCGCAACAATCCATGCTGTACGTACATACAAGCTGAACCAACCTCGCAAACTCGCAACCTTGTGAAGGCTCGCCCAGCCGCCGGCCGCTGCCGAGGCTAAGAAACAAGGTTCGCGCCTGTGGCTCTCGCAGCCGCCAGCAGTAATCGTCGCTTGAAGAGCTCGGCCTCGCCTCGCACTAAAATATCATCTCAGCCAGAAACGGTTGCTGCGGTTTGCCCTTCCTCCTTGGGAGAGAATTGGATCGCTCTGCTTGTCGTCCGGTCCAGGGGGACGCATTGGGCAAAGACGCATCATCCATTCACCCATCAGTCAGATCAAGTTGGGCGTCCAGGACGTCTTGTACGACTTGGATGATCATTTTATCCAAGAAATAACTTATTCTTTCACATAAAATCTACCCATCTGGCTTGGCCATAGGAGGCAGCCAAGACACCATAAGCCCGACCCCACGTCCAGGGTCGCCCGACTCCCATCGGCTTCCCCGCTCTCCTCTCTTCCCTTTGTCTCTCTTCCCGTGTGTGTCGATGCCACTGCTGCTGGTGCTGGCCATCGAGCTAGACCGGCTTTCTGATTGCTCCCCCTTCTGCCCATGCTTGCTCATCATCAATCATGACGGTTCATGCTCGCCTCCTTCGAGTTCTGTTGCAGCTCCGTCGTGCCGAGCTGCTGCCGCCATACATACCACACATGCGTGCGTCTGTCCCACCGCCGCCCGCCGCCGCCCGCCGCTTCTTCGTCGTCTCTCCTTTTTCCTCCCCGCCGCGCTGGGCCTAGATAGCGCGCGCGCGCCCCCTTTCCGGACACCCCTGTAGAGAGCCTCAAACGACCGCCGCCACTGACGCAACGGCGAAGTGAGTCCCAAAGGCATGGAGATTCAGTTTTCTCTACCCGTCAATGTTGCTAGAAACAACGTTCCAAGCGAGTGGGCCTCTCTCTCTCCCCATCCCACTTCCATCCATCCATGCAAAGTACACGCCGTACATACATGATGTGTACTGCGTCTTGGTGGACTCCTTGACCTCTGCTGTCGATACTGAGAATCAGGGCTGAAACCTCCTATCTGCATGCAGCTCTCGAGCCTCGACCTCCAGCCCCCCCTCGGCCTCGGTGGCTCAAGGCACCACCCATCGCTTTGCCCTCGAGTCCAGAACCAGGCACACGCGGCGGAGCTCAACGCGAGCCCGCACTGGATGTGCCACCTGTAAGCTCTTGATTTCCTCCAGCCGCCCGCCCTCGTGGAAGAATCCCGAGTCGTGGTTCTATTCTGTTGTTGATATGCCTGCCGTTCTCGTCACTGTCTGCTAACTGCTCCGATCATCTGTCGACAGGCAAGTGAGTTGCTCCATGCCTGCTCTACGATATGGACAAGCCTCGACTCCATGCCTGTTCCCGCGCCGCGTTGCCGTCACAGTGACAGTCTACCTCTTGCCTAACCCTCTCCAGGAAGCGTCATGTCAAGTGCGATGAAAAGAGGCCTGCGTGCCTCAACTGCGTAAAATGGCAAGGCTACTGCGACTCGTACGCCGATGCGCAGACCTTGACGAGCCTACACATCATCCACGCCAAAAAGGCGGCCCGGATACTCACCGAGCCCCCCGTCAGCGCCATCCCGTTTGCCAGCCCGGACCAGCGCACCTACTTTGACGAGTGGTCCTCCCTCTCCACCACCTTTCTCAGCGGCGGCCTGGGCCAGACGAGCCTGTGGACGGCCACGATGCCCCAGCTAACGCTGCAGGAGAAGACGCTGCGCTACGGCGCCATGGCCGTCGGCGCCCTGCGCAAGGCCTACGAGGTCGACGGGCCCGGCGTCACCCTGACCAGCAGCAACAGGCACTACTTCAACGCCGTCAAGTACTACTGCGAGGCGCTCCGGCGGCAGTCCGAGGAAAGGCCCGGCGAGACGCGGCCCAGCGGCGGCGGGCTGAGGACGGCGCTCCTGTCGTCGCTGCTCTTCATCTGCTTCGAGGCCCAGTGCGGCAACATGGCCGCGGCCCTCAAGCACGTCACCCACGGCTTCAGCATGCTCAACGAGCTGGCCACGTGCACCGACAAGGCACCCGGCCTCGTCTCCATTGCCCCGGCCCCGCCGGCCCTGGTGCAGGAGATCCTCGACTGCTACAAGCCGCTGGAGCTGCAGTCCAGGTCTTTTATGGGCTCGTACAAGAGATTTTTCTTCTCATCTCCGCAGCCCACCCCGCCGCTGTCCGCATACGGCGATGCGTCGCGGCCACATCCCGTGGGCTCCGGCTTGCCCGAGGTCCCGACCCAGACATCCCCCGGCCAGCCGCGGAAGCCTCGGCAAGACCCAACTCAGCCGCCCGCGGCCGTTTCCTGTTTCCAGCTTTCACAGACCGGCCTGCCAAGCCCCCAAAGCCAGGACAGCCCGGGCAGCCCGGCGACCGGCCAGTCTCCGCCCCGACCTCTGGGCATCCTCCCGTTTACCAAGCACACGCCGTATTTCCGCCCAACACTCTCGAGGATAACCTCGCTCGACGACATGCCCCTGGTCTTTCGGGACATGGACGAGACGCTGGGGTACTGGGCGCTTGTGCAAAGGGGCATGGTGCAGCACATCCCCATGCTGACGGGAATCACCTCTCGGCTGGCCTTGACGCGAGCGGACAACGAGGCCGAGCTGGAGATGAAGCTCGCGAGCGTAAAACAAAACCCCAGAATGTGTAGCTTCATTGCCGACTCACGATATTGGCTCCAGAGGTGGACCGAGGCGTACGAGCCGCTGTTCCAGGCCATGGCCAGCAACTCAGCCAAGGACCTCAGAGGCTACCTCCAAGCCATCAATCTTCGCGTCGAGTACTTAATTCTCTACGTCTACACGACGACCCCACGCTTCTCCGGCATTGGGACGGCCAAATGCCTGACGCCTCAATACCGGGAAATCAACCGCTTCGCCGAGACGCTGCTGGCGGCGCGGCCGAACTGCGGCTTCGCCATGGACTCGGGGTGGACATGGCCGCTCTTCGTGTCGGCCTTTGCGTGCCGAGACCCGGCCGTCAGGGCGGATGCGACGCGCATCCTGGGCCAGTACCCGATGCGCAACGCGTTGCGAGACAGCCGCGTCTTCCGCGCCGTTGCCCTGAAGAATGAGGAGGTGGAGACGAGCGTGGCCCTGGAGGGCGACGAGGAGGCGCAGTGGCTGCGGCTGCGGCGGCGCGAGGTCGTCTTCGAGGACTTTGGCACGAGCATCATCTACCGCTCGTCGCAAAAGAACCCGCTGACGGGCCGCTGGGAGCTCGTCGAGGAGGCGGCCGGCTTCGGCCTGCGCCCGGACGGGAAGCTGGACTGGAAGAGGGTGCCCATCTCCGACTCGGCGTCAATCCTGTTTGGCGTGTGCTGAGCAGCGTCTGGTTGTGGCAGAGTCGAAGTTGTTACCGGAGCGGCACCTTGGCTGAGATCTAATGACCCTGGAGGCGAGCTCGCTTGTTTGAGCACTTGCGGCATTGCGGCGGAGTCTCGCATGCATTTGATATACCTGGTCAGGCTCGACGGTTGGATGGCTGTGGAGAGGCACGCAGCCTCAGAGTTCCGCGCAGGACACACGGCCGGCCATGACATGCTCTCGGAGACAAGTTGTCTATGGCGATGGTTACGCTGCTTGGCTTAGGGAGTGTTACTCGGTCCGTGCGATGCCTCAATCTGGTGCTGGCGACGGCTGCCGAGGTGCCGGTTCTAAGTGTTTCTCAACGTGTCCTATTGTCCCGGCCGAGCTCACAAGAAGACTCTAATATTTGCGTAGCCTATAGATATATCTTTATTCAGCCAGGTATTCATCAAAGCGTGATTGGTTTAGTGGTAAAATTCTCCGTTGCCATCCGAGCAACGTCGGGGAGCCCTGGGTTCGATTCCCAGATCACGCATTATAGTCTTTCCTCTACTGGTCAGGTAGTTTCACCAACTTAGGTTTCTTTTTGCCGGTTGTCCCCTCGCAGACATGGCCATGATCGAGCTGAAGATTACCATCACCTAGGGGCCTTCAATAGCGCAGATGTGCGGCTTCGCGGTGAGCTGAGCAGAAGTGGCATCTGAAACGAGACAGCGCATCGTGCAGGCCTTGTCGTCCGCCGCCGCAATCGCCATTGACTCCGCGTCCGTTAACCTGCGCAAACTCCCAGTCGACCAGGACGGGCGTCAGGTCATCCTTGACCCTTGGCTGGGGGGCCTTGCAGCAAGACGGACCGAGAGCGCAATAACTGTGCTTGGGGCTCCTATAGTCGTCCACGATGCGACGGAAGAGTTGTATCGCGCGGGATGCGGCTGAAGACGTTCTCGAACGGGCTCAACGGCGGCTTTTGCACCACATCATCCGTCAAGGAATTGGTCAGCCAGACGGCTGAAAACACCTCTGCCAGGGCCATGATTCTGTTGCCGGTAGGCTGGCCCATGGACAAACGGCAAAGGCTTGACCGACGGCGGGGCCAATTTCCTCAATCTCCTACCCCGTTGCGGCGCCCGGCATCGTGGCGCACGTCTTGAGCCACTGAACAATGTTGACGAGGGAGCCGAGGTCGTTGAACACGTAGGTTGAGTACCTCTTGCTCCGAGTCACCAAGTCTCAGATGACACTTCTTGCCCTCATTGTGGCAAATACGTTGCGGATTGTCCCATGGGGCGAAAGCCTGCGCAGATCGAAGAGAGCGCCTCTTGGTCCCAAAGGACCAGCACCTCTGCTTCCACCCCCTTTCTCGTACATATCTCAGCCTCTCGACTCCATGTGTTTGCGCTGCGTTGTACGCGGAGGGAGCATGGGACCTGTTACTGGGTGGGCAAGCTCCATCACAGGCCAGCAGCCTCGATGTACGGCCACGCGTGGATGAGGATGAGCTTCGTGTAAGGGGCATCACCAGTCGCCAGGCGGCGCGGAGGATACAGTTGACGAGTCCCCCGTGAGCCGCTTGACTTGTCATGTTGTGTCCAGGTAGGTGGAGCCAAGGCAAGCTCAATGGTCTGCCGCCTGTCTCTTCTTGACCGTTCTTGATGGACTCTTGTAGATATTGTACTGTGCGGTTGGATGAGTCCCTGCTCTTTGCGTTAGCTGGCTGTAATTCTTTGAGTCTGACGCCAGAGTTGCAAAGACAGACTGGCGGCGCTCTTGGTCTGTACAATCTTGCAGGAAGAAGGCTAACCAGTTGGTTGATTCAAGTTCTGGGAAAGAAATTGTCCGCATAGCTGCTGCCTCTGACACCAATCACGGACGATTCTATCGTAGGCCACGCAACCTCCCGCCCTCTCGTGGAGGAGTATTTCCATGGCTGACCTCTGAATTACGGTGAAAGAGGTCAAGCTAAAGACGGCTGAGGGAGGCAGATGCAGAGGAACATGTGCTCTGCGCCACCGACTGTCGCTACACCGTCGTCACTCCCGAGACCTGAGAAGCGGCAGCATGGAAAGCCACTTGCAAAGAGAAGCTTATGAGGGCTTTCTTGGTCGCCCGGCAGGCCTGAAGCCGGGATTAGCTTGCCAACGAGGTTGCCTGCTTCGAGATTCGACATGCGTGACTCGTCCACGATGCAACGTTGATTACGCGGAGTTCTCGTTGACCGAGTGCAATTGCTTTGGCTTGCCCAAGGGGGTGCTCTTCACGGGTCCAGGATGAGCATTTGAGCCGAGCTGTCTTCTACCCTCGTATCTCTCGGAGAGGGACAATTCCTCAAACCCCTCCGGTCGCGGTGGGTGGACAAGGCAAAAGTGCGGTTGTTGACCAAGCAAACATCGTCTCCTGATGCCCGTTGACTGAACAACCAACTTGAAGTCAATACAGCCGCCCTATTGTTGATTCTCGTTGGGCTGCGCGAGCATCTACATCCTCAATCGACTCAATTGCCCTTCCTCTCATTGCCACCTGGCACCTCCCGTCACTCAGTCAAGGCAGGCACTCCTGCACCTGCGTTGCTCCGGCCAGTCTTCGGGTGCTGGCAGCACCAAGAGGGATTACAGGTCCTGCCTTATCGAATGGGTACCTGAGGTATCAAACCTCGACACAGAAGCCAGGTGCCAGCGGCTGCCTCAGGTAACCAACTTGTTGCCTGCCCGCCCACTCTCCCAAAGCCAGCTGGGCGCTCGTTTCTGCCCTTTTTCTCTCCTCACTCAAGCTCGCCATCTCAAGGCCCTGTCTTTCGTCATCCTCAGCAACCTCAGCAATAACTAGGGTCCAGCTTTTGACCTCAACCTTTCACGCCGTTGCTATTTGCCGGTCTGTCGACGTCTGCGCTCTCTACGCCGTCCATCTTTACCACCACCGGCGCCTTCTTCACTTGGCCTTTCATCCGGGTGCGGCATCACGGCATGCAACCTGGTATGTCTTCGTCATCCTTCCATCCCAAGTCCCAGACTCACGCTCGTCCTCTCTCCATAGAAGATGGAGCTTCCGTCTCGCTCCCAAATCATCGCGCAGCATGTGCAGAGATCCGTCTCCCGTGACACCGCGGCCGGACAGCCCCAAGAATGGCACCGTTTTCCAGAGCTGCCCCTTGCCGCCGAGCTCATGGCCGACGAGTCCCCTGATTTGCTCGAGGTCGTCGAAATGAGACCCGTTCCCAAGTACGATTATCTCGAGGCCCAGTATCGCCTCCATCGCTACGAGGCCACCGAAATGCTTCGCAAGACGATTGTGCAGTTTCGCCAGGATCCTGCAATGGTCGATGGTGACGATGCCTCCGTGTTCACCGAGGTGGGTTGCCATCTCTTCTCGGTGCCAACGATCTTGCAACAAGCCCTCGATTATTGACCTCTCTCCAAGGTATATGTCAGGGGAATCGTTTTGACTAGGGCAGGTCCCGCCTGTCGAGCCATCCTCTCCATGAAGCATCCGCGGCCAGAAAGGCCGGGCAGCCAAGCGGACTGTCTGATGCCAGGCTCGCTCGTGGCTCTTACGCCTCGCTCGGACAGCTTTCGGACAAAGTGCTTTGTCGCAACAGTGGCGAATCGGTTCGAGGGCGTCGATACTCGCCCTCCCGTCGTCGAGCTCTTTTGGGCCGATGAAGGCGACGCCGTGGTCGACCCGACCTTGGAACTTGTAATGCTGGAGCCCAAGGGACAGTACTTTGAATCAATCCGGCACACCATGACTGGCTTGCAACATGCCGTAGCCGTTGAGTAAGTTTCCTCGGCGCCTGCTTCAATACAGGCCTCTCCATCGACGCCGAAGCCGGCTGACCGTCTCCCCAAAGCTCCAAGTTCGACAAATACATCCACCAGGCTTCGACTCGCCATCAACCCGCGGCCTATTTGAGGGAGACGCCTTACAACGCTGCCGTGGTTCCGGACAGCGCGCAACAGCTGGACCCATCCCAGCTCGAGGCCCTCAAGCTGGCTACCTCGCAAGAGCTGGCAGTCATCCAGGGCCCTCCTGGAACCGGCAAAACCTTCGCGTCGATTGTGGCCATCGAGAGCTACGTCCGCACGATGAAGATGATCCACGGGAACAGGGTCGAGAGCGCTACCAATCCTGTTGTCCCCATCATCGTCGCAGCGCAGACAAACCACGCGGTCGACCAAATTCTGGAGCGTTGTGTGAGGCTCGAGATCGGGTCCGTCGCAAGACTCGGAAGGCGTTCTCAAGTCGAACTGATCAACGAGCGAAACCTTTCCAACATCGTGCGACGCTCAAAGGCGTGTAGGCCTGATGGCAGGGCAGAGGCTTCCCTGAGAGGTCTTCGCGGTCAACTCCGAGTGTTGGTGCAGCAGTGCTTGCCAAAGGGACTTCTCAAGGCAGAAGACCTTCACGAACTAGGTATCATAACCGAGAATCAGCTTAACTCTCTGACCCAGGATGACTGGGAGACGGAGGCCGGGGGAGGGGAAGAGGAAGAAGCGCAGAGCGACATGGCCAAATGGCTGGACGAGTACATTCAACAGCGCGATTACCGAAAGGCAATGCAACGGGATGCGGAGACTCAACCCAAAGCCGAGCAGGCCGAAGACTTCCTGCCAATTGACATGACTCGGCCGGATTGCATTCTGAGAGCTCTCCATCGCGACGATGGCGACGTCTGGTGGCACAAAGCAGAGAGACTCTTGGCCCGCACCTCGGATCTGTACCGGATCAAGCCCACACAACGAGGTGCGGTGTACTGCTACCTGTACAAGAGTCTGTTCGCCCAAGTCACGGCCAAGATACAAAGACTCTTTGGGCACTATCAGGAAGTCTGCAACAAACTCAAGATGACGCGGTGGGAAAACAACATCAAGGCCATGCACGCCGAGGGTGTCCAGATTTTGGGGTGCACAACGACCGGGCTCGTCAAGTACCGCGGCATGCTCGCCGCGTTGAAGCCTCGCATCCTCTTGGTAGAAGAGGCTGCCGAGACACGAGAGGCCAACATTGCGGCAGCGTTGTTGCCCTCCCTGGAGCAGCTGGTCCTCGTGGGCGACCACCAACAGCTGGTCCCCCACGCTGATATGCGGGAGCTTTGCCGAGCCCCCCATCGCCTGACTGTCTCATTGTTCCAGAGGCTTGTTAACATCAAGGTGCCTTACTGCGCCTTGCGCGTCCAACGCAGGATGATTCCGGCCATTCGCGAAGTTGTCCAGGTATTTTACCCGAACCTGGAAGACCACGACGTCGTCAAGGACCCCGAGAGTCGACCACCTGTACCGGGCATGGGGGATTGCAGCTTGTGGTGGTTCCATCACCAGTGGGTGCAGAGTCGCGGCGACGGCGGCTTTAGTTATTCGAACCACAAGGAAGCGACCATGGTTGTCGGCTTCGCGCGTTATCTGGTCCAAAGCGGCGTGGCCCCGGAGCAGATCACGGCCCTGGCCTACTACACGGGCCAAGTCGAGTTGATCAAAAGCAAGCTCAGGCAGGACGCGTATCTTGGTGCCCTGGAGTTTGAGTGGTCCGTCAGAACCATCGACGGCTTCCAAGGAGAGGAAAACGACATCATCCTCCTCTCGCTGGTGCGAGGACCGGACTCCAGTCGTAGCAAGGCCATGCCCGGGTTCGTCGCGGACGAGAACAGGGCGGTGGTGGCCACGAGCCGTGCCAAACGGGGCTTTTACATCTTCGGCAACGCACAGAATGTGCTTCGTGGCAACAGCAGGAGCCGGCAGACATGGGAAAAGGTGGTCAGGGCGTTCCAAGGACGAACCGCGTCGCATCTTCCTCTCACGTGTGCCGCCCATGGCACCGGGACGAAAATCTTTCAGCCTGAGGACTGGCGCCTCGTCACGGCAACTGGATGCCTTAAGAGATGCGACGAGAAGCCTCCGAGTGGCCCTGCATTTAACATGACCCCGCTTCCGCACCCTCCGAGCGGTGCTCTGTCTAGTGGCAGCGAGCAAGCTCAATCGGACGTGGCGTCGATGGCAGACGCGGTCAAGGCCGCCATGAGGTACCAGACGAGCGATGACTTGATGGAAGGGGGCATGCGCAAGCTCTTTGCAAAATACGACGCGGCGGCCGAGGTCCTCGACGACCTGGACGTGTCCAGCTCGGAGTCGGGTAGCGGATTGCTGATCTCGCTGGGGCCGGAGTGAGAGATTGAGTTCGGTGGAGGAGACAAGTGAAGGTGGTGGAGGGAGAGGAGAGGCCTAGGCATTGGGCACATTAGGCAGAACAGGCGCTAGCTCCAGCAATTGCATTACACGCCTCTTGATTGACGAGGTTGATGAGGTTCTTTAGCAGCTACATGGGTAGGTAGTTTGAATAGGAACTCACCTTTCGCACTGACTTGATGCTTGTGCTCAACTTAGTAAGGTGCTGCAGGTACCTATCCACCTGTTGGTGGGGTCCGGGGACGCGCGCGAAGCTCGTACGTACATCAATCTGAGGCGCATCGCAACCACTCTGACAGCGGGCGAGCACCCCCACGCATCCATGCCGCACGAGGAGGCGACGAGCGAATGCGACGATGGATGAGGAGGATCGATTTTCGGCGAGCTCGGGGGAGTCGGAGCGCGACAACGAGCATGACGACGCCATGGAAGACGGTGACGACGCCAACAATGACAACGAGGCCGAGGAAGAGAACAACGAAGACGACGACGACGACGACGGCGATAACGAGGCCGAGGGGGAGGACGCTGCCGACGAGACGCAGCAGACGCATAGCGATGAGCCGGCGAGGATCAAGTCGAGCAAGTCTGCCACTCCCGCGCCGTCGGCCATCCCCTGGCGGCCGACTGTCCGGCCCGAAGCCTTGACGGCCAAGCTCTACGATATCGTGCCCACCATGGCCGCGCCCCAGTCGACGAGCATCAACGCCATGGCCATAACACCCGACTTGCGCTACTGGATCACGGGAGGCTCCGACGGCTACATCCGCAAATACGACGGCCCCGGCACCATCAACGGGAAGCTGGCCCTAACAGTCGCACAGAAGCATCCCTTTGTAGACAGCGTCCACAAGGCCGGCATTCTCATGTCTTACTGGGAAAACGAAGAGCCGCTCGCCCCCGGCCGGGGCGATCAGGATCACGTGCTGTCCCCCGTCTACTCTCTCGCCGTCCACTCCGACGCCCTCTGGCTTTTGTCGGGCCTGGAATCGGGGGGCATCAACCTGCAGAGTGTCCGTCACGACGAGGGTAAGAAGATTTGCTGCCTGCAGCAGCACTCGAGCGCCGTCAGCGTCCTGACCCTTGCGCCGGATGAGAAGAGCGTGCTAAGCGGAGGCTGGGACAAGAAAATCTTTGAATGGGATTTGAACACGGGACAGACGAAAAGAAGCTTTGACGGGAGTGGCGGCCAGATATCCTCAATAGAGCTGCGTCCGGCCAACGGAGATCCCGTCCCTGCCGAGGCCGACGAGCCGCTGCCATCTACCACCATGGCTACCAACAATAGCGCACCCCTGCCGGCTGGGGTTGTCAACGGTCAAGTCGACGGCGGCCACTCGACGGGCCCAGAGGGGGACGCTCCGCCGGGCGCCGGCGACGGCCAGGCTTCACCTGCCCACGAGAGCTTATTTGGAGGCAGCGACGCCGGCAGCCTGTTTGGAGAGACGGCGGGGGAGCAGCCGTTTGGACACGACGACGACGGGTTCGGCACCGGCATGGAGATGATGGGCGGCCACGAAGGGGGTATGGACCACTCGGCCGATATGGCCATGGCGGACATGGAGATGAGCAAGGCGCCCGAGAGCGAGGTGGCAGCGCCGGCACCGCAGCCGCAGCCGTGGCAGGACAGCATGGACGTCGATACGACGAGCCAGGACCAGGCTGCCGGCGAACCTGCCGAGGATACCGGCGCAACTGCTCCAGGTACTCAGTCGACGACGTCGCAGCATGCAGAGGGAGAGTTCAGGGAGCCGCAGCAGTCTCGGTTGACCGAGGACAAGGATCTCCTGAAGGGGTCGCAGTCCCCAACCATGATGTCGTGGCAAGCGCCGCCACAGCAGTACGACCCATCACAGACCTCAGCCACGACGTTTCTCTCGTCGGCCATTGACGGGACGATCCGCATCTGGGACCGGCGGGTGCCAAACCCCGTGGCGCGCATCGGAACCCGGGGGGGGGTGCCGCCGTGGTGCATGAGCGCGTGCTGGAGCCCCAACGGCAACATGATTTACGCGGGGCGGCGCAACGGGACCGTCGAGGAGTACGACGTGCGCCGGGCCAAGCGCGTGTGGGAGCCGGAAAGGACGCTCAGGTTTCCGGCTGGCAGCGGCGCGGTGAGCGCGATCAAGCCAATGGTGAATGGGAGACACCTGGTCTGGTATGTTTCTGGAGTTGGATGGCACCCTTTATCTCTCCTTGCCAAGGCTGGGTGCGCAGATGAACATCGCTTGTGTCTTTCGCTAACCTGGGGGCCTTCTTTTCAGCGCGTCGCACGACATTATGCGACTCTACGACCTGCGCGACACCCGGATGATGAAGCACTCGTCGGTTCCCTTTCTCATCATCCCAGGCCCCCCGCGGGCGGGCGTCATCTCATGCCTGTACATCGACCCGACGAGCCGCTTCATGCTGAGCGCGGCTGGGACGCGCGGCTGGGACGGGACGAGCACCGAGGCGCTGATTGGGTATGAGATCAACGTGGTGAGCGACTGAGGCTTTGATTCCCGTGTACGAAGTAAGTTACTTGGTGGTGCAAAGACGACGCTGTACGAAGAACCACAGAGCCCCTCATGTCGTCAAAAGGCAGCGGCCGAGGAGGCAGGCGTTGGGAGTCAGGGGGGAGCTGGGTGGCGATCTTGGATACTTTTGAGGGGGCTGCCTAAACTCTGGTGGATAGAAATACGTTTACTGCATTGAACACTTGGGATCGTTTTTAGTGCTTAGGCTTTCCAGTCTCGCGACGGATAACTCGCTGGGCTCGGGCTCTGCGACTACAGCCTGCCTTCGACGCCGGACGATAAATGGGAGACACATCAAGCACTAACGCCACCTCAATCATACTTCCGGAACAGACCAGTGGAGGGCGCATCGGGTTACAAGAGCAATTACGACATGGGCATGCCCGCTCACTTTGACAGCATCTACTCGGCCACTGGCGCATCGCTGGCCGACTTGAACTCGAGTTCCCGCGCTTCAGGAGACTACCTCTCGATCAGTCGAGCAACCCCACGCCCCTCTGAGACTTCACCCGTCATTGCGAGAGTGAAGCGAGCCTGGCACGTTGCGGACCTGTGTGGGAGGCTTCTTGATGTCTATCTCGGTAGCTCCTATGGTTCAGGAGTTCCTCCCATCCCTTTCCGTGCTCGCCACCCCTTTCTCCTCCCTTCCCCTGTCCAATCCATTATTAGTACCAATTTGCTGGCCGCCCTCCTTTTTTTTGTGTCCTTGCGGTTTCTTTCTGCTCGTTGTGCTCTCGTCCATTGTCTTGTGTGCTGCGTCAGATCATGCGAGCTGGCATATCGTCATCATCTTGTTTGGACGACGCTTTGTGCGTCTTTCGTCTACGCGCGTATGAAATCAAGATCTGCTCGCGTCAATTCTCCAAAGACTCCGATGTAGGGAATACCCGTCGTGATGCTCCTGTTCCCTTGATAGATTAATGCGGTAATGGCAACACAACAGTACTTGCCACGCTTTGGGCGGTTTTGGCCCCCAACTTGGACGACTTCTCCGCGCCGTGGTCAAGACCAGACGTGGAATTGTGACCCAGCTTGAAGGGCGATGATACTTAAGAGGCGTGGGACAAGGACTCTTTCTCTTTGCCCTTGCTCTTGCCCTCCTTGCTGTGGCGCGTGCTCGACTTGGAGTGTCGAGACGAAGAGCTGCCGGGACCAGCCTCGGGAGAAACCAGTGAATGCTTGCTCGACTTACTTTGGGGCCAAGGCGAATAACTGGCCGGAATAGGGATAGGTGGAAGGGGGTGCTTGCTCGACCTGCTGGAGTGTCGAGATGCAGAGCTGCCGGCACCGGCCTCAGAAACAGGCAAGGAGTGCTTGCTCGACTTGCTTGAGTGTCTAGATGCAGAGCTGCCAGTACCAGCCTCAGAAACAGGGGGGTGCTTGCTCGACCTGCTGGAGTGTCGAGATGCAGAGCCGCCAGTACCGGCCTCAGAAACAGGCAAGGATTGCTTGCTCGACCTGCTGAAGTGTCGAGATGCAGAGCCGCCAGTACCGGCCTCAGAAACAGGCAAGGATTGCTTGCTCGACCTGCTGGAGTGTCGAGACGAAGAGCTGCCGGTACCGACCTCAGAAAGAACCAGGGAATGCTTGCTCGACTTGCTCGAGTATCGAGACGATACACTCTTGGCGGCCGGGCTGCTGGGACCGGGCGTCGAGTGCTTGCTCGACTTACCGTGAGACGAAGACGAGTTCTTTGACACAGCGCTCTTTGATCCAGGGCCAGAGGCGTAGGATACAGCGTCAAAGCCCTCCTCGGACTTTGCATCGGCGGAATCGATGATGAGCGGAGTCTCCAAAACCCGAGCCAGCTCCATAAGAGAGAGGGAGCTCGCCGCGGCCGACCCCGCAGAACCCTGGACCAGGACCTCTGCGGCCAGGATCTTGTCCTGTAGCTCCCGGATCTGCTCGTCGGCCGGAGGAGAGTCCGGGTCCAGGTAGTCGAAGACGTTGACCGGCTCGCCCCGGCTGGCGGCCATGACCTTTGCGACTTGTGCGAGAAACCGGGACGCTTCTTCCACCTCCTCGGGTGTCTGCGACTCGATGGCTCGCATGAGTGCCTCCTTTCGCTCCTCTCTCAGCTTGGTTGGCTCCGCTGCCGTTGCCTCTGCGGTCAGCATCTTATTCCTCAGCTCCCGGATCTGCTCGCCGGCCAGAGGAGAGTCCTCGTCCAGGTAGTCGAAGGCGTTGATCGTCTTGCCCTTGGTTTGATTCTTGCCATCCGGCAGTTTCTTGCCCAGCTTGGCTGGTTCCTCCGCCTCGGCCGCGCCTGCTTGCTCGTCCTCCACGCTCTCTTCCGCAATCATTCGACTGTACAGCACTTTCATGGCCTTCTTCTTGAGCCGAGCCTCCCTCTCGCTAATCTTGGCCCTGGCCTTTTCCTGCTTGCTTGCCCCTTTGTAAAAGGCGTCGGGCCTGTCGCGGTACAGTTTCTTGAGGAACCAGGGCTGCAGGTTCCAAAACGCTTCCTTAAATGGCATGAACGGCTTCGTTCTGGGGCTTTTCATGTCTTCACGGGTGCAGCAGACGCGCCTGTGATCTTTGGGCCCCATCTTGGCCGCCAAGAAGGGTCTGAAGATGCCGTTCTGTGGGCTGGGCTGGCTTGGGTTGTGTCTCGTCGAGCGGCGTCGTTTGTGATCTCGGCGGCTGGCGGTAGGCTCGGGTTGCGTGAGGGCCGGTGATCTGGTCTCGTCTCTTGAGTTGAGGGCGGGAGAGGGATACGGGGCTTCATCATGATGGAGGATGATGGAGAGGCGAACTTTATACTGCAAGAAACAAAAGATTAACTGCCCAGGTTACGATGCCGGTTGAGCTGTTCAATGAAAGAACAGGCGTGTTTTGGGAGCAGCATGCACAAGATCTGAAATGCCCGCCGTTTGCAGACTCCAAGCTGAGTGAACAGCTGTGAATCAAGTCGCAAGGCTTCACCCCCTTGACCTCCGAAATCACAGCGTCCTCCAGCGACTTGAGACGCATCTCTGTTCGATGCCATCCGACTAGATATCCAGTAGAGTCCACCGAGAGCCCATCGTACAGCGTGCAATCTTTCGTATCTCGCCTGTGCACTGTCCCTCTCCAGCTTGTTCAAAACAAGTGTGCTTTACTCCCGAACATTGTTCGACCCTGGCCAGGTATATATGGACGTGCCCCTACTTTGTACTCTTTGAGTTGCCATCTCCCCTGTTTGCTTGTTCTCGGAGCAACTTCCAAGTCTTTGTTGCAAGTCACTCCGCCCGCCGAGCTCTCATCTGCTCGTTGTTCACAGCTGTATGGTTCATAGTGTCGAGGTTCACAGTGGAAGCCGCATTTCGATTGAAAAGAGAAGCAGCTCTCGCAAGGCTGTTTAGCCTGTTCCCATGCCGACCTTTCACTTGGTTGCAACGGGGCTGCTTCGCGTACTGTCTGTGTTCAAATTCTGTTTCCTGCATACCTGGGCGCGGGAGGCACAATAAGCAAGGCCAAGCTCGCACGAGTTTGTGTTGTCGGTCTGTTTCACTGTTAATGGACCCTTACCCGGCCGGTCGAGGTGGATAATGCCGGACCCAGCGCGGCCGAGCCGGCCGGCTATCGGGCTGCCAACGCCGGTATGAAGCCCCTGTATCGGCTTTTAACCACGCATTGCCAGATGATCCGCGTCGTTGGCCGAGCCGGGCTGGCTACTAGTTGTCACGGAGAGCTTCGATTGCAAGGTACGTGCTGGCGGCAACGTATTAATTTCATTCAAAGACGTCGTGAAAGAACAAGAGATGAAAGCATATGTTGGCAACGTCCCCAAGCCTGAAATGCGCACCCTTTTCCATCATAAGCCGACTCGGGGCTACGAAGCATCCTGACGGCATCTTGACCGGCAAACACGGCCTCTTGAAAGACAAAACTCAGTCCACAAGACAAGCCCCCGGCTTCGTTTCATCCCCGGCCACTTCGTCTTCACCTCTCTCGTTCCTTTCCCTTTCCCTTGTCGCTCTTAGAGCGCGGAGACTGCTGTTGCTGCTGCTGCTGTCGCCGCCACTCCTCCTGGTGCCGTCGCATTTCCTCGCAGTGCCTAAGCGACTTGGCATGGACCGGGCTGTCTTCAGGCTGAGGCGTGCCGTCGCTCGCCTTGGCCTTGCCGCTCTTGCCCTGTGACTTGTGGGCGCTGGGGGCGTGACGGGAGCCGGAAGAACGGTGGCGACGGTTGTGCGAGCTCGTCTGCTCTTTTTCCTTTTCCTCGCCCTTGCCCTTGTCAACCTTGATGCCGCTGCTCTTTGCGTGCGACTTTGGCTGCGACCGTGAGACCGTGGCGGCTTCTGCAAACTCTTCCGACTGGCGCCGCCTACTTCTTCTCTTTTTCTCTCCCTTTTCTCTCCCTTTTCCCAGACCAAACATCTTTACCAAGTTGAAAGTCGAACAGTTGTGTCGCTTCTATGCGTGTCCTTAGGGTGAGTATCTGCGCGAGAGAGTACAGCGGATTGTCACTTTCGAAGAGAGTTGAAAAAAAGTTTCGATGGCTCAAATGAGCAGCAACTTGACTAAAGAAGAAGAGAAGCATGACGGTCTCCAAGACGATACACGGTGGACTCACTCTTTATATACCTATCCACGATACACCGAATCCGCAACTCGACGCGAGTCTCGTCAAGGTCAGGGTACCGTTCCGGCCAAGGCTTGAACTCGGAGCATCTTTGAAGATACGTTCATCGTCGCGCTGCAGAGAGCGCCGCCTCTGTTCGGGCCGTGGGATGGGCATGAGTTGAGAAGGACTTGGCTGCAACGTATGTGCTCACGCGACGCTGGGCTAGACCATGGTATAGACGTCTCTCGTTCTCGATATCGTTCTTCATGTCATCTCAAGGCAGCCTTTGGTTGACGTGTCGTGGCAGACCCGCGATCCAGTCAGCATCTATCCTTGACATCGTCACCTTTGATAGAGGCCAGCTCTGAAGAGTACATGAGTCTTTTAGACGATTAACCGGTTCCTGGCTTGATCATTCAAGGCCTCGGCAGTATTTAATGACGTCCGGGAGAGGGGGACTCAGCATACAAGAATCCCACCCAACCCGGCTTTTCCGTTTCCAGCCTCTCTTAGGAAACCCCGTGTCTCGCCACGGCGAGCTGTGGGCAAGTCGCCCCATTTCTAATACATGACCTAGAGCTTCTTGCCCTCGTGTTCCCCCTCTCGCGTCCAGGAACGGAATATCGGTAAAAAGAAAGCATCCATGAGGCATTGCAGAGCTGGCCAACCTCCAAACTCCGAGGTTCCAAAAACACACATTAGAGAAAGGACAATATCTTGCTTCCATGTCTTGATCCTTCCCATCTCCGCAGCAACGTGAAAGAAAGACGCAGGGGAAGAGAGCACGCATTGCCTTCCATCTCCGACTCGTCCTTCGGGGGTATTATCATTAGGTCTAGAGGCAGCCGCGGCGCTGCCCCGTGTAGAGAAAGACTATTGTCATCCAATATATCGGGAGAAGCTGCAGCATTGCAAAGGTATACGCGCGATACGACAACACATTAGTAGACTAAGCAAGAAAAGGAAAACTCGTCTCGAGACCGGGATAGGCGGAGCAGCAGGCGGAAGAGAAACTTCGCAGTCAGACAAAATAACAAAGGCGTCAAGACGTGACTCGCGGATCCCCAAAGTATTGCATCATCCCCCAGGCACCTTGATGGCCCGCGTCAGACGGCTGCGGCGTTGTGTCGTGCATTCCGCCCCCTGAAATGGCATCCCAGCCCTCGAATGCAACGGGAGCCGGAGAGTACTCAAAGTCCATCGAGTCGGCACTGGCATGGCCCGAGGACGAGGATGACAGTAGCGCTCGAGTCTCCAGGGGCGAATGTGACGACGGTAATGGCGATTGAGAGGCGGTCAAAGGGGAGTGTGATGCCGCCAGGGGAGAGTGTGACGAGGATTCTGGTGATGGGCCAGACGCGGTCGAAAACTGCTGCGACGGCACAAACATTGTGTTTCGGAACGTGGAAGTGTAGGAATCATGGCTGTTTGGGTTCGGAGACGGCATCATGGATTGGTGCGATGACTGCGAGGGCACCGTGGGAAAGGCTGCGTGAACGTCTTGCGATGGGTATTGTTGAGGCGGACCCATGCTTGTGGCTGGAGGGCCCGAGAACTGCGGTGAGCCAAGAGGCCCCGAGGTCAGGACAATGTCGGCCAGCTCGTAGGCAGACGTGACAATCCACTGCGCCTCGCCCTCGTCGCCGGAGAAGAACTCGAGCAGGTCCTGGAGCTGGCCGGCGCTCTCCTTTTCCAGGAAGCCCTGGGCGCGCCCGGTCTTACTCGGGTGCCAGCTAAACTGAGGCCGCCGGCCGGTATAGTCGGGCTGCTTGCTGTTGACCAGGGCGTCCCAGGCCTCGTGGATGAGGGGCTGGTGGAGAAGGCCGTAAACGACCCTCGAGTGCATCCAGTCCCCCTTGGTCATGCCGGACTCGAAGTGACGGGCGACGTGTTCGACGTGGCGCTCGCGGGCCGGATGGAGGGCGGAGCAAAAGCCGCAGGCCCAGTACTTGCGTTTGCGGAGGAACTTGACCACCTTTTCGGCGTGGGGACACGTCTTGCAGCCATGGCACTGCTTGTGGTGCTGGTTGAACGAGTTGGAGCCCCAGAAGCTGCGGTTGCAGCCGGGCTCAGGACAAGGGTACTTTCTCCAGCGCTCGTGGAACTCGTCCTCGTGCCGCTTCCAGTCGTACTTGCGCTTGAAGCTGGTCTCGCACGAGGTGCACCAGTAGACGTTTTGCCTGCCGGGGCTGGTGGCGGAGGAGCCAACATGGGAGCCGTTGAGGACGGGCATGCCGCCAGCGGGAGGGGGCATGGGCAAGGGGGCCATGGCGCGATTGCCTGTCGTTGCAGAATGCCACGAGAAGGAGGACTGGGCCGAATTTGTGGACCAAATGGAGGCGTGGCCCGAGGAGCCCGAACTGACGGAGGAGATGGATATCCTGGGGCGGTGAGAGTGAGAGAAGGGCGCAGGGGGAGCCATGAAGATGGAGGAATCGGCATCATGAACGCCGGTGGTGGGCCGCTCGGGGGGCGGATTCGGCGAGGCCAGGGTCGAGGGAGGCCAGGTTCGGGAGACGTCATCGGGCAGCGTCTCGGGCTTGATGGCGATGGACGGAACTGGCGGCGGGGCGGCGGAGGGAGGCGGGCCGGAGACGGAGACGACAGGCGTGGGCCTTTCCGAGGCCGAGGGGGTTCGAGATGGGGAGGGCGGAGGGGCGCATCGTTGGGGCGGTGGCGGTGGCGGTGGATGTTGGGGGGTGGGCGAGTGCTGCGGTTGCGATTGCGGTGAAGCGAAAGACTGGGCCGTGATGGGCAGAGGAAACTGTAGCGACTGGCTGTCGTCGACCCACTGGTGAAGGAGGTCCCTGGAGAAGCCCGAGTCGATGAGGACCTGCAGGTTCTTCCTGGCCTCGGCGAGGACGTCTTGGGGCGTCGAGTCGAGATCGAGCTGCGAGGGCGACGAGGCCGAGGACCCCTGGTGGGGGGTGGGCAGCGACCCAGACTGCCGAAGCTGCTGGTGATGTTGATTCTGGTCCATGTCGAGGCTTCACATGAGGGGTGAGTCGACGAGGCGGATAGCGAGAGGACGGCGACAAGGAAGACGCTCCGAGACAAAGCGAGAGATGGGGAGAGAGAAGGAATGAGAGCAAGAAAATGAGCGAGCGAAGAGACAGCGAGCGAAGAGACAGCGAGCGAGAGACTGAGCGAGAGAGAGAGGCAAGGTGGCGAGGTTAGGTAGGCATAAGGAGGAGGGGAGGAAGGAGACGAGAGAGAGCGAGCGGAGGAGAGGGGAGAAAAGGACGAGCCAACGAACGAGGCCGAAGAAAGGGACGTGTGTAACAGGTCAAGCCCACAAGGAGACCAAGCGGGCACGGCAAGGTAGAAAAGGCGCGAAGCTGCAAATCAAGAAGAACACAGGGATCAATGCTGTGCCTGGATTTGAAGGCACAGTCCCGAGACTGATGCGCCCACCTGGGGGGAGACGAGGTACCGCCACCAGGCACGGTACCCGCCGCGATGCACCACCTCCAGGCGAGGTACGGAGGGCACGCCGTAGGTACTCCGTACCGCCCAAATAGGAGGCGCCAGGCTTAAATGAATCCCCCTCCATCCAAGACCCCTGTACAGGACTTGGTGCCCCTGGTGCAATTAGGCACGTACCCCAAAGCCGCACGAGACATTTGTCCGCGTCGGGTACCTCGACGGCACTGCATGCTTCTATGCAGGAGCATGTATATCTTGTCTGTAGGAGATACTGTGAAGACCCCACAGAGTATCGGTATGGGGTGCTACCACTGGATGCTGCCACTGGGTGCTGCCACCAAGGAAAACGGGGGCGTTTCGGGTCAGGGGTGTACACGTAGACATTGCCGGGGTCCACTGCGCTGTAGATTACCCGCCTGCAGTACGACTTGTGCCCTCTGTAATCGGCAGTACCGGTACCCTCAGCGCACAACAAACAGGAGCAACCGACATGAACGAACGAGGCTGTGGGCGGAAGGGATAAAAATAAAAAGGACCCTCTTTCTCGTAACCTGTCATCCTCCTCGCCCTCCGACAGGCCCCGGAGCTCTCGAGCCTGGGAATCGCCGACGGGGACGCTTTGGCAGAAGTTCGAGAGATCTGTAGGTATAGTATCCGTACATGCTCGCTGAAGACTTGGGCGCTCTTTGATGGCGTCGGCAAGGAGTGCCAGGTGCGCTACTCCGTACATGTCCCTTACCTAGGTATTCGGCACGGCAGGTACCTACTGTACGAAGCAACGATGAGCGCATCGGCTGTTTATACCTCTATGTACTACGTACAGGCTCAAGGCAGCCAAGCAAGCTCAAAGCCTCGCAAGGCTCGGGCCTAATTTCTTTTTTTATCCTCTTCTCTTGCGTCTGCCATTGACATCTTTATTTTTTTCATTCTTGTCTCCCTGGGTGACGGGATTCGTGATATAACCTTTGATGAAGGATGGGGGCCGCTTGACAAGTCGCGGTACCTTGGCTTGTACGTGCTGTACTAAAGTACAGTACCCCCTCCCCCCTCCCCTACCTATCTCCGTTGATCCCCGGTCAGTGATCCCCCCAGCACAATGACGGCCGAGCGCCTGTTGTTTTGCACGGCCAAAAAAAGACAAAACCCACGAGCTCGGCTAGGGGACCGCATTCGAGAAGGAAGAGACGGCAAGGAAAAGGACTGAAACACGCAGTGGGAAAAGGGGTGGAGACGAGTCGATGTGGTGCATTGCATCACGGCGCGAGCCCGTGGAACAGGCCATTGACCATCATCGTCATCGCCATATCATCATCATCCAGCACAGGGGAAGGGGTCAACCAACTGCCTTGAGGTACAGTACATACCTACAGTAGGCGGCGCACGTATGGCTAGTAGTACAGTACAGTATCCGTACAAGTGTGCATTCTGACATGCTTGCGCACACACGAGGTGCACGAGGCCATGCTGCGTCCTGTTATACGTATACCAAGGCCGAAGAGGTACTGTACTTTGCCTTGTGCAGACTGTATTCCTTCTCGCGTCTTGACACACTGCTGCCCAAAGAGGGCGTGCAGCAAAGCCCCCCACGGCAGATGCTCCTTTTGTGCTGGCTGAATGATTAATCCGAGTCTCCGCGTCTACTGTAGCTTTAGCTTTTGCGCATGTCTGCAATCTCGCACCTCGCAGCATCAGCTCTCCACGTGGACTCGACCTTGTTGATGCATATTGCCAAGATGGAATGGAGTACTTCGTGCAGTAGCAGTAGAACCAAAAGCTCGACCTTCTTTTTCCTTGCTGCACTCACGGCTGTGGGGGGCCGAAGAGAGAGCGAGACATGGAGGGGCGGGAGAGTCCCAGTGCTGCTTGGCAAACGCCTGCCCTGGATCAAGTTCTTCGTACCTTGCTTAACAAGGCAAGGTGCCTTGCCCTGCTCCATGTTTGTAAGGTACTCCGTACCTTGACGCATTACATGCACTGACTCTAGGCCCAGTCGCTGCAATTGTCGTCGTCCTTTTGTTCTGCTGCTGGTGAAACGTTGCTGCCGACGCATATATTCGTACAGCATGTAGTATCCGTGGAGGTATCTACCTTACCTATCTAGGTATCTAAGTACTAGGTATGCCTTGTACTTTTGGGGGCCTGCATTAGCCGCTGACTCGGTTTGAAGCACCCCGACCCGAGACGACGAGAGAAAAGGCAAGTCATTTGTCAAAGACAACCCTTCCTTACACGCATGTACGACGTACGACGTGATAAGAGGCATCTCTGCATACAGGACAGGCACAAGTGCTGTACAGGCTCTGGTACAAGTACATACTTGGAGCGAATGCAGCAAAGGGGGGCATCTTGGATAACCTTAACACCGTACCTGCACTGATAGCGCTTCTCGGGCAGGCACAAAGTTGTGTTCCCTCCTGGGCCAGCACTAAGGGATTTCCCGGTGATCTGCCGGATCGGACGATTCGCCGGATTTTGGTTCCCTTGCATTCCGGTGAAGATTTGAGTGAAACTCCACGAAAATAATATGAAACAATCTCACATTAAAGCAGAAGCAAGAAAGATGCCTAGCAATTCCATTCAATCTACTTCGCAGTCATCAAGCCACCGTGGCCGCTTCCTGTGGCGTCCCGATCGCGCAAGTCCCCGCATTGCGACTACCATCTCCTGGTCGCGCTCGACAGCCAATGATGTCTTTTGGGACGTGAGGAAGTGGTCAATGCCGGCTTTGGATCTTTACGCAACTTAATGTTTGGCGATTTTGAGTGTTCCGGAGCTGTCGTCGGTTCTGGTGGAGCCGAAATGGCGACGACAATCTCGTCTCGAACGCCCGGACTCTTCTCGCGAGTCTGTGGAGCAACAGAGGTCCGGATCCCATTTCCGACATTTTTTCTGGTTCTTTCGCTTGAGCTCTTTCCGTATCTGCCTGTTTTCTCCCGCTCTTGTTGTCTGGCTTCCTTTGCCTGACGTCTTTGCTCAGTTTTGCCTCCCGCTGCCTTCTCTTCTCCAGAGCGAGAACTTTGAGGTTTGCCGCCTTTGCTGTCGCTCAAACCTTTGTCGTTCTTTCTCCAAGGCCTCTTCTTGCTTCTGAGTCTCCATGGCTGCTTTCTTCAAGCGCGCTTGGGCCACTTTGCAGGGCTAAATACCTGCGCCGAGTTAGGATCTACACGATCGAAAAGGTAATCCTTCAGAGCTTTACCGCGCATTCTGCGCTGCTTTTCGTGAAAGATAGTCTCCCGAAGTCCCTGATTCTCATATCGAAGCAATTCGTTCTGAGATTGGAGACTTTCGAGAGTACTTTTGAGCTTCCGACTGTCTCGGCTAGCGTTTTTTGAGGATCCATCGACTACCTTGTCGACAAGTCGGCGCAAATCCCGAGCAGTGGGCTGCTGCAGGGCGAGCGAGTCAACGGAGCTGTCGCCAGACTCAGACTCATCTTCTGTTTTCTCCGCGATCTGCGACAAAACGACTTCAGGGTCAAATGGGAGGAGTCCGGTCCGTTTCCAACCACTTGCGATGTTCTCCGCCGAGAAAGATGACCCGAATGCGTTCCAAAATAACGACCAGAACTCGCGTTTCGATAGCCCGATGAGTCCCTGTGTCTTTGCAGTCCACTGGATGAGCTGGTTGGTGTATGCGGTCGAAAGAGGGCCAAAAAGGGACACATCAAGGGGCTGCAGCCTGTGCGTGGAATGCGGCGGAAACACGGCAACGATTATCCGATGCTGGTCACACCACTCCAGGAAGTCCATATTGACATGACTAGAGTGTCCGTCGGTAATCAGGAGGCGGTAATCCCGGCCGTTTCGCGCCTTTTCTTTCGTGAACCGGTCGAAAACACCAATGAGCCATTCCTTTCCAAGTTCATGGTTCGTCCAACCCGTTTCTGAGGTTGTGAAAAACGCCGCTTGGTGCTCCGGATCAAACTCCGTGAGCCAGGAGTCCTGAACTTGCCTGGCTTGCCTTGGTAGATGAGAAACGGGGTAGCGCTGTCAGGTCTTGACAGACACATGCCAGGAACGTGATCCATGATCTGTTGCCATCCTGCGCAGCACCGATCAATTTTCCTTGCTTCTTGGCACGAACAGAGAATACTCTCTTGGTACGATTGATGACGCCGAGGAGAAAGCCCTTTTCGTCCACATTATACGTGTTGCAAGGCAGGATGTCGTATTTCTCGATTTTCTCGCCAATCTTGTACGATCAGCAATGAAGGGATGGACTTGGGCACCTACTTACAAGCTCATAGTAGGCTCTGTATCTAGAAGCATTGTCTGCTCTCTTTCTTGCGATATCAAAACCGTCGAACCAAGTGCAACCGAGCTCATCGCTGTTACGTCGGACGAAGCTATACGGCCAGTCCTTTCCGACCTCAATTTTGGCGATATCCTGGGCAAAACTTTTGATCATCGGCAGCGTAGGCGGAATCCCACGTGATGAAAGCTTGCGAATATACGCAACAAGATCCCTTTCTTGCTGTTTTGAGAGACGTGACTTATACAAACTGTCGGCATCCCGTCTTGACCTCTGTTTGCCTTGGTGTCGCCGTCGCAGGGTAGTCTCGTCGCAATTGAACTGACGCGCAGTCTTGGCATAGTTAACAGTGTCACACAGCTTCAGAAACTCAAGCGCTTCATCAATCGGGGCCATGGTGGTGGAGAAATTCAGGATTGAAGTGGAGACGTGAACTGGCGGTGAATCCGGCGAATCGCCCGATCCGGCAGATCACCGGGAAATCCCTTAACCCGATACCCAGCACCTGCCTAATTGGTCCGCCGAGTAGGCTACGGGGTACTCCAAGAGCTCCTCGCAAGCCCGCCCTGAGCAGGTATCTCTCCCGTCGCGAGATACCCAGATCCACTGCGGCTTGTCCGGCTTGAACCAAGTAGCCGTCGGGGTCCGAGATACCTTCCCAGGTGACAACCTGAGGCAAACGAAAAGTGCTCTTTGCTTCTGCGCCTCCCCAAAACATGCCGCTTCGTGATGGCTTCTTCTTCGTCTTCTTCTTCTTCTTCGTCGTCGCCTTCTTTCTCTCCATCTGCCAACTCGCCAAGTTAAAACACTCTTCAGCACCAACGACGAGACTGCTCTGCTCACATGTATCACGTCGACCGACGACGCCGCACAACGCCAGCCTGACGCCAGGCAGTACCAAGTTGTGCCTCTGCCTGATCAAGGAATCAACCTCATCCGCACAGACACCTGAAACAAGTCGCTCACTTCTCGTCGTCATCAGGCGCGAAGAGACCAAGGGATGGGGGCACTCTTGATGTCACGCAGGCCTCAAGAAGGCGCTCGTCTTCCCTTCTCATCGTCACCGGCAGTGTCCAACGTCATGCTTCCCGCCACGAGTACCCCCATCTTGCGAGCCACGCGGTGCCGGGTGTTTCGAAACGCTCCGACGCTTTTGTCTCCGAAGACTCAAGCAGCCAATTGCGTCCTGCCCCAGGCCACCCCCAAGACGTCCAAGCCTTAGCCTCAATCTATCTGACGACAACTGTGGTCCTGAACTGGCCCTTGGACCCAGCAAACAGGGCCAGAATGGGCTGATTTCTCCCCATGCCCCTCGCCCGGTCCTCTGCCTCAATATTTCCCGTGCCGCCAGAGTATGCCGTCTTTTTGCTCGTCGGTCGGTGTCTTCCAGCGACGCTCACCTCCAACCACACATGTGCTACCTATTCCGGTCGACAGTCCAAGTGACGAGATCCGGTAGCAGCTTTCGGCTCTTGCGGACAATCTACAAGAGGCCTCTCTCTCTCCAGACTTCTGTCGCTCTCCTGCTGACCCTCTGCCAAGGACTACGCCGCTAGCGAGTCAGGGCCGCCGCCCTCTCCCAGCCAAGCCGGAGGGACCTTGAGCCTGGGGCTCTGATTGCTGGCTGCCCCGTGCATTCATTGGCCGTGAAGCATCTTCCGCCTGCTTCTCGCCCCATCATTTCAGTCCTTTGACGTGGCTCTGCCCTCAGCCTTACCGTGGTCTGCGAATCAACGCCCGTAGTCGGACAAAGGCCGTGTCCCATGGGTGTCCCCGTCGGCCATCGGGATGCCCGCCTGGTTGCGTGGTCACATAGCACCGTGCCCTAGAGGTGAGCCATGCCGGCCTGAGCACGCTGCCCAGTCTACAGCAATTTTAGTGACTCTTCTGACCCCACGAAGCCGGACCGGGGGACAGGAAAGAAATGTTGGCAGGCCTCGGCAAAGCCCGAATGCATTAATGAGCACCGACGAATAAAAGCGCCGTCAAGAGGTTGCATCACGGGCCATGGCTTCCACATGGCTCCCCTCACGCCCCATCAGTCTTTGCGGGACAGGGCCTGCAGGCGCGGCGGGGCCGGGTCCCGTCGAGGCAAGACGACGAGCCCTGCGGCAGGACTGAGTCGAGTGCTCGCTGCGGACCGTCAGTGATTGCTCACCCAATCTCCGGGCTTCTGCGCAGGCTCATGGCCGGAAACAAGATCCGCAATGACGACTGATCGACATCGTAAGCCCCGGCAGCAATCACTGACTGAGCCAAAACGGTTTCGCGCCCGTCTTGACGAGTTCGTGCCTGGTGGATGCCGACACCTCCACTCTGCTACGGTACTTGCAGTGGATGTGTTAAGGTTTTCTCAAATATCCGCATCGTCGGGCCACGTACGTCTCTGGACCCTCTGCTCCCTCTGTCCGGGAGAGGCGCCTCTTTTTTTCAGCACGTTATGGATCCACGACGGCGTGAAATTGCGCGCCGCAGCAGCCGTGGGCCACGGTTCTGTTTTTAGCCCTCCTGTCCCCGTGTGCTGCACGCACTGCCTGGCATATCCTCAAACACTCGCCCTTGGTCTGTGCTCTAGGAGCAGGCAGGCAGGATTGTGCTATATATATACATGTGCAGGCTGTCAACTCCTATTCTCCGTCCCAGCTTGCGGGCCCCACCGGGCGATGCCAGCACAAAGATGAAACGCCTAGTCGTCTCTCCGCTCAAAGGCAAAAGCCATGTAGCTTGCGACGAGCTTTCCGGAAATGGCCGTCGATCAGGGCTATGCCTCGCCCCCATCAGACCCTCCCTTGGCTCGTGCACGCCGTCTCCGCTTTGTTGGCCCCTCTCTGGTCGTCGCTGATGATGACCCTGATTGCCTTTACAGCTTTCCCAGCAGGTCCCAAACAGGCGTGAGACCTGTCGTATTACGATATTAAACGCCCTCCGACGTGTCGTCTGATGAGGCCGGCAGCTTATATTCGACATCATGGCTGTCTGAGGAGGATGTGTTCTCTCAAGCCGGACCTCCGTGTCCGGGCACGGGGTAGAGGGCCATGCGCAAGCACATGGGCGGTTTCACCAGTGCAAAAATTGCTCTTTTCGTTGGTAAGCATGAATAATGGACAAACGGAAGGGCACGAAAAGGGCCCAAGGTCCGAAAGGGGGCCATCTTTCGAGCTGCGGTTGGCCAGTCCTTGGTGGCACGAGACGACGCGTGTGGACGCTCAGTGACACACGGATGGGCGGCGGTTATGCGCTGGTGCTGAAGTAGTAGTTTTCCCACAGGTACTCGTAGTCCTCGAGGATGCCTGCGACGAAGCCGGGCATTTTGCGCGTGAGGCCTCCGACGACGCCCTTTGTGACATTGTCGTAGAAGGCGCCGCGCATCGCCCACCAGGCCATGGCCCACGCGCGCTTGTTCCACTCGTCGCGCTCGAGCGCCGTGGTGCGCAGGCTGCGGTCGCGGAGCTGCCTGGCGGCGTACTCTACGCCGACGCCAACGAGCCAAGGCGTCCACGACTTTGCGCCGCGGCCGCGGGCCTGGGCGGCGGCGTAGACAAGGGGCGCGAGGATGTGCAGCACCTCGGCGGCGTGACCGGCGCCCTGCAGGCGGTTAAGTAGCTTGGAGGCGGGCTTGACGTCGTCGGCTGTCAGCACGCGGCCGAGCAGGTAGGAGCTGATGTCGGCCGGGTCGGGCAGCGAGGGGAGGCTCATGCCGGTCCGCGGCATGGCCCACTCGCGCTCATGGGGGTGTTTGCCGCCGTTGACGTCGAGGAACATGGGCTCGTCGACGCTGCCTTGCTGGCCGCGGTCATGCTCCCCATTGTCTTCACCCTCGCCGTCCCCCTCGCCGGGCAAGACGGCCTCGCGCTCTGGCAGTGCGGGCGAGAGGAGGGGCCGGGCGCGGGTGGCGCGCAGCAGCAGCAGACGACACAGGGCCTTGGCCGCCTCGATGGCGACGACGACGCGCCAGCGGGCGGCGTTGCCGGCGCGGCGCTTGGCGGCCATTTCGCACAGCAGCTGCGTGTAGACGAGCATCTGCAGGGCGAGGGCGACGCGGCGGTACAGCGGGCTGCGGTGCGCCCAGAAGCGCGTGTAGCGGGCGTGGGCGGAGCGGGCGGCGGCGGGTGGCGGCGGGGGGTGGCTTGCCGAGGTCGTCGAGGTGGAGGAGGCGCGGGTGAGGAGGTTGTCATGGTAGAGCGAGAGGAGCTGGACGCCTGAATGGATCGACTCGGAGGCGATTTCGGCGTCGCGGAATCGGCCTGTGCCACAGACAAGTTACCAGGTTAGCCTCTTTCTCTTTCTTCCCTTTCTCGCCCCATCCTGTCACATCTGACGTGTTTCTCTCCCTTCAGGCGAACAGGCAAAAAAGAAAAGGTCAGGGACGAACCGGGAATGATGTACGTCAGGCTGCGCAGGGCGCTCTCAATCTGCGACACCTGGCCCGCGTTCTTGGAGATGAAGTCGTCGTATAGCGCCAGCCAGCGCGGCGGCAGGCTAAGCACCTGGGCGACGGCGTTGTTCGCACGGCGCGGCGGCACGGGCTTTGCCTGCGGCTGCGGCTGCGGCTGCGGCGGCATGACGGCGGCCCTGTGTGGTCTCTCTGTCTTCTCTTCGATATCCGTCCTCGCGCCCTCTGCTCTTTCTTGTCCTGCCCTTTTCCGACCGGCTTGCAAAGTCTCTATCCTCGTCGCGACGGGACACGGGGCATGACGCGCCTCTTCTCCCTCGCTATCGTCCTTCTCCGGAAGATGCGCTGGCGGGCCGTGGTCGGTTTTGCGGCAGCGGCTCGACACGCGCCCTTTCTTGTAGTCGCGAGCCGGCTCGGCAAGAGGGGGTTTACCGAGGATCATGAAGCGGTGCGCTGGGCAGTGTGACGAGAAGAACAGCAAAGGCAGTTGCGTGAAATGAGGTGCGTCGAGGGGAAAAAAAAGGGCTGGGCTGGAATGCAACCGTATGTGCAACGTGGACCTGGGCCGAGGTTCACGCCGCGGCCGCCCTCGGCGCAGCAGCTGATAAGATAACAGCAACGTGAGAGCCTCGCATATGTATGTATGTATGTGTATTTTCCGTCCAGCGGCCGTGAGGCCGCTCAGGTCCCGGTGGGGCACAGGACGTGCTGAGCTAGTAGGCTGTCTACAGTCTCCTCTCGCAAACGTAAACAACCACCATCCAGCATTTCATCGGCTCTGAGGCGCTCCGTGTTGAACCTGGTGCCCGTCAGCGGGTCGTGCAGGCGCGGCGGTGAGATCGCCATTCAGTTTTGGTCTCAAGGGACCGTTGTCGGAGACTGCAGAGCGCAGCCTCAGTTGGCCCGGCCGGGCAAAGGGTGTTGCAGCACCTCTGCCTGGCCGAATCCGGGGATTTGAACAAAGGAAAGAGGTGAGGAAAGGTGTGATGCAGCCGCCTAGTGGCGAGGGCAAGCCCATTCAAGAAGGAGGACGCCTTCGCCAGCTTGACGAACCTGTCGAAGTCTCTGCCTATTGCGCGATTGACTGCTGCAGTAGGTGAGGGCGTCAGCCTCATCCGATGCCGCGGCTCGATCTTTCGGCAATAAAGACATGGTTTGGCTCTTTTCGTCGGCCACATGAGCACGTCAGTCGCGCATCGTCGTGGTTGAACCTCTCGTGGTAGTCGGCAAAGTCCCCGTGACGGGTTCTGGCTGCAAGCAGGTGGTGGAGAAGCGGTCGGGAGTTTGAGCTCAGGGGCAGCCGGTCGTCGGCAAGGTGCAGTGGCTTGTACTGTTCGGGTGCGGAGGCTTCCCACCAGGCTTTAAATGCACTTTAGGCTGCTGCCTGCAGCCCTGCGCAGATATGCCAGTGTCGGGACAGCGCCTGCGGGCTCGGGTTGAGAGGTTCCTGCTTTCGCTAAGGCATCGGCCTGCTCGTTGCCTGGGATGCTGGTGTGGCCGGGGATCCAGCGGACCTCCGTGGCACCGTGTGCTGTGGCCAGGGCCTGGAACTCGAGGAAGACATCCTGGGAGGAGTCTGCCGGCATGCCTCTGAGGCATGTTGCCGCCGCGATGTTGTCGAGACAAACGACTACCCTCTGCGATCGTGGGAGGCTTAGGGCAGCGCGCAGGCCCTCGAGCGCGCCTTTCGCTTCCGCATCAAAAACCTCAGCGGGCCCAAGTCGGCCGCAGCCACTTAGGACGGTTTGCCCATCCAGATGGATGGCATAGCCATAACCGACCGCTGCATCCGAGGAGAGCGATCCGTCTGAGTAGACGACCAGAGTGTGTGGTGGCACTGACCGGAGCCAAATGCGGAAATCCGCTGCTGACTGGTCTTTCGGGGCGGTTTGCAGAGGCAGCGCCTGATCGTCGCCGAAGCGGCGAGGAGGAGAATTGGCCGCCTGCTGCAAGGCAGCAGCTGGTCACTGCGTCGAAGTCGGGTCCGGAAGCCTTCTCGCGGCACCTGGTACTTCAGTTTGATCGACCTGTGGATGACAGGGGGCTTGGGCCGGACTGTACGTTTCGCAAGCGGATGGGCTTCATCGAGAGACTTGAGGCGGGCCGCGAAGCGCATGCGACGCCCCTCGAGCAGTTGTATCACCGGTGGAATGCCGCTCTCTCGATGGAGGGCATTGATCGGCGTCGTCCTCCAAACAGGCAGGATGGCTCGGATGGATGTGTGAAGCGACTTGTTCATCTTTCGGATGAGTTGCTGTATCCCGGATGGTCCTTCTTTTGCTGGCTGGGTCCATCGCGGGCTGGTTAATCCGGGTACCATGCCTCGGTGCCGTGGAGCAGCACCGGTTCGATACATGCTCTTACGGCTCTGCGAACGGCACCGGGAAGAGGACCATGTTTGGTGTTTGCCAGACTTTTCAAGTGATAGGCCACGACCTGTGCCTTGGCTGTCCACTTTTCCACGTGTGTCTTGAACGACAGGGTGCTGTCGAGCCAGATGCCTAGCCATCGCAGTGCTCGGTCAGGGCGCTTCTCTGAGTCGCCGTGAAATATAGGCGGGGCAACTTTAGGTTTGCTTCGACAGAAATGCATGACCTCAGTCTTCATCGGGTCGAAGGCGATGCCGTTGGCGGCGCCCCAGGCCACAAGTTCGTTTACATAGCGCGACGCTCTCTCGGCTGTCTTCTCCAGGAGTTACCTATGCATAGGATACCCGTGTCGTCTGCGTAGCCGAAGCGCCTTCGGCTTCCCTAGGCGGTAAATTGGTTCCGTGTACAACAGAAAAGGATGGGCGAGACTGGTGATCCCTGGGGGAGGCCGCATTGGAGAGGCGAGCTGGGCGTGGTAGTGTCCTGGTATCTGACGCGCGCCGAGCGGTCATGCATGAAAGAACCAGCCCATCGAGCGAGATGTTCTGGCCACCCCTGCTCACGGAGGCGAAGGATCAGCCTGTTGCGGAGGACAGTGTCGAAGGCTCCCTGGATGTCCATAGTCACCAACGTGGCAACTTGTCCGCGGGCAAACGCCTCTTCAATGTCATGCAGCAGAGCGGCAACAAGGTCAACGGCAGATCTCTTCGGGAGAGCGCCAGCTTGTTGTGAATGGAGGACTCCGTAGTGGACGGAGGCCCATGCCAGGCGGCGTGCGATGAGCCGCTCGAGACCTTTGCCTAGGCAGGACAGTAGGGAGATGGGTCGCCAGGCACGAGGGGTCGAGAGGTTCCTTCGGCCTGGTTTTGTTATCATGACTACTTCGGCCTCTCTGAACGGCTTCGGGTGATGGCCGATGGTGAGGCAGCCTTCGTACAGCCGCTGGACGTGGCTTCCGATAATATGCCATACCGCCTTGAGCATTTGTACCGTGATGCTGTCGGGGCCGGGAGACGTGTTTCCTGTCCGTAGGGTTGCGTCGCGCACTTCCTCAAGTGACGCCTGTTGCGTGAAGGAACGGTTTTCGTTGTGTCGACTGGGATCCACGGATCTGGGATGTCGTCGTCCGCCGTGCGCCGCTCGAGCGTCGCCCGCCGTAGGGCATTGGCTTTGTCAAGCTGCGTCTCGTAAACTACATCGCCTACTTGTAGGGGCGGAGGCTGGAAAGCGCCCGGTGATCTCAGCCATCGGACCGCTTTGAATATGGAGGCGCTGTCAGTGAAGCTGTCGATCAGATTGCGCCAGTAATGTCTTTTGGCTCGCCGCACGACTTTCTGGAAGTCTCTTTGCAAGCTGGACTTCCCGATTGAAGCCGAGAGGGTAGACTCTCCTAATCGCGCGGTATTCCGCCGCGGCGAGGGCGCATTCTTCTGTCCACCAGGGCGCGCTGCGTGCCCTTTGCGGACAGGGCGACCGGCGGCCTTGGCTGCCAGTTGGAGAAGTTCCACGAGCGCCAACGCCAGGAATCAAGCTCTTGGGAGACGAGGCCGCGGCCGGGATAGCTGTTGCTCCGGAATCGACCATTTCGGCGAAACGAGCGAGCTCGTCGTCAGAGGTGAGGCGGACCTTTCCTAGCGGCACCGAGGCCGGAGCCAGGTCAGCGAGTGTCACGCTGAGCGTGAAGTGGTCAGAGCTGGTGGCCAGGTGTTCCTCCACGACAGCTTCGGATAGTGGTATGTTGGAGAAGGCGAGGTCTATTGTGTTGCCATGTGGGTTCGTTGGCACATCGGCAGGGTTGAGCAAGCTAAGGCCGTTCTCAGAGGCCCAAAGGCGATGTCGTCACCTCGGCCATCGAGCCGGCCGGTTTGCCAGCTACTGTGTTTGGCGTTGAAGTCGCCTGCTACTAGGCACCTTCCTGGTGTGGTCCACTGGAGGAGCATCTCCAGTGCTTCATCGTAGTGCGGTTGTCGATAGAAGTTTACTACTGTTATGTTGTTGATGGTGAGCCAGAGAATGTCGCGGGTCGCCACAGGCCTCCTCTGATCTGTCATCAGGCAGGGACTCCGCCGGACATAGGTCATTACTCGAGGTCGGGTGCTGTTGTCGTCCCAGCTGTCGACTGGGAGAAGGTATCGTAGGCTGGGTGGGTTTGGTAAGACATCGGCCGTCCTTGGCTTCCGTCCACGGCTCCTGGAGGAGCACTATGTCGTATCGTTCAGAGTCGGCGAGGGCAAGGGCGCAGTCATGTGCTGGCGAGATCTTGCCTACGTTAGCTTGGAAGACTCGCAGGGTCTTCTTGTCGCTTTGGTTCACGCGGGGATGTCTCGTCATGGAGATAGTGCAATGGGGCTGATGCGTCGCTTCTTTGAAGGAAGCTGGTCTAGATTCGTTGCCCTCGCTCTGAGGCTGAGGTGTCGTGGTTACCATAATGAATGGCGGAGACATGGTCCTGGTCGAGCTTAGGACTGAGGTTTCGCTCCTGCCCCGTGACCTGTCATCTGGGTGCTCGGCTTCCTGGTCGTCGGGCTGAGCAGTGCTCGGAGCTATGGAATTGAGAATCTCGGAGGAGTCTCGTTCTAGCTGTTCGGGTTGGTCTATGCGCTCGAACTGTTGCTTCCGCTGAGCAAATAGTTGGGTGCCCATCTGTCGGACGAGGGTTTCTCCTCCTTCGTCAGGCGGCGAATGACGCCGTGTGATCGCTTGGGGCGTGCAGGGCATTTCGAGAAATCTGCGGAATGGGGTCCGAGGCAGTTTGCGCACTGCTCGAGGGCTACGCAGGTTTCACCGTCATGGCCGTTCCTTCCGCAACGCTTGCAGGACGGTTGTCGGTCACAGCTGTGTCGAGCGTGGAAATCCCAGCATTTGTTGCACTGGCTGGGCATGCTGGATCTGACGATGTGTCGGGCAAGTCGGCTGGAGCCAAAAAGTCTCAAGGTCTCTGGGTAGGCTCGAGGAAGGACACAATAAGCGTCTTACTCGGAAGGTCGCTTGAATCGTGCCGGCTGGGACGGATGCTGATGGGTGTGAGCCCGGTCTGGCAGGCGATTTCGTCTTTGACGGCCGCCTCGTAGTTGACTTCATTGCCCTGCAAGTCCGTAAGTCTTCGGGGGCAGTTGGGCACGACGTACGTGTACCATTTGTGACTAATCTCCACCGAGGTCGCGTCTAGGTCCTCGGACCATTCCGACTGTCGCTGGACGATGAGGTCCCTGATGGTAGCGTCCGTTGTTCGGATGGCCCATCCGGGGTTTACCTTGAAAGCTGCCGGGACCCGGTGCAAGTCGATGCCGACTTTGGCGGCGATGTGGGTCCGAATTGCGTAGCTGCTGTGGTCTCGCGCCGGCGCTTCGGCATCGAGCCGCACGAAAACACGGTCTTCTTTTGGTGGGGCGGGGGTTGGTGGTTCCTGGGGACGGGAGGTTGGTTGTTGTGGTCGTTGCTGTTGCGGGGCTGCGGCGGCCGTGGAGTGTGGCCCCGAGGGCTGGCTTGCAGGGCGACCGGCGGCGACGCTGCTGTAGGTCGGGGCAGGTGCGGAATTGAGGTCGGAGAGCGCCTGCTTCCAAAAGTCGAGGAAGCTGTTGGAAAATTGTTCCGCAAAGCTGTGTTCAAGGCCGGACGTGTATTGTTTCGCAGTCTGTTCGAATGATTCACAAAGGCTCGGAACACTGTCATTTTGGCGTTGTAGGCATTTGTTTGTTCAACTGCGAGCTTGTTGGCAGCTTCAACGATCGAGACCGGCTGGAGGTTAACGGACTCGGCCGAGCCAGGCCGGTTCGGGGTGGATTCACGCTGCGCTCCTTCCGTAGCGGCGGCATTGGAGAGTCTGATAAGGGGCGAGGACGGCGTCGCCGCCGGTCGCCGAAACGCGGATGTGAGACCAATGGGACGGCTCGCAATGGGGGAACTGTGTCGAAGCTGAGATGCACGGGCTAATCGCGCGAGGTTGGGCGGGGTATGGACACCCAGATCAAAGGGATCTGGGCTGGCATGCGAGCTCGTGGCAGATGCCATGGCTGCTGCCGAAGCCAGCGCAAAGCGCGGCTGGAATGATTAACGTGCAGTTGTTAGGCGAGTTGGTGGGAAATTGCGCTACTTTCTTAACAATTGCATGCCAAGAAAGTAAGAAAACAGGGGAAGGTGACCACGCGTTGGTGAGAGCCTCGCATGGCCCCTTTTGAATCGGTATAGGGTAGGTAGGCAAGTGCCGTCAATTCATCACATCGCACCGCATCATATCGCATGTGGATGTGCATGCATTGCTTGTCCATCACCGTGTTGATTGGCAAATGACGACACATATATCCCATGTGTTTGAGCTATGCAGCTTGGAAAACGAAGCCCAAGGGCTGGCGAATGGTTGATATCCTAGACGCCACCACATAGGCATCAAGTCAAGATAGCCTAGGCGAGGCAAATCCCTTTCCCAAATACTGCGACGATAAATCGAACGAAAGCAGAATGAAGCGTATGTATTGGCTCTCTACAGGTGTATTCAACGCTGTCGTCCCTGTTGGCGGAACAAGAGCACCACTCTTTCCCCGGTATATGCCCCCTTTTTTGATTTTGGCTGCATCGCAAACCGCCAAAGAGCATATCCGTTCCACTGTGAAACATGCCAAGGCCTTGCTGGTAAAGTTACTGGCCCTTCCCTCAAGCCTCCGGGTATTCGTGGCTGGCACATCGAAACTTGCACACATGTACGACAACAGGTGCCAGGCAGATGCCCTCGACGGCCACGACTCGGCAAAGCGAGTCCATCGACTCTGCCCCCTCCGTACGCCTTTTACTCACCCCCGCGCCAACGCCTCACACCCTCATAACCATCCCTCGCACCACGAGGACACAGAAGCAGACGTCTCCCGACCGACTTCCTAGAGCAGCGCGAACCCCGCCTGCTCCAGCTCCTTGCCCGTCGGAAGCATCGGCCTCCCTTGCAGGGGAAACGGCCAGAAAAGCGGATTCTCCATATTGTCCGCCGACTTGGCCGTCACCTCGGGCTCCCCGTCACTAACCACTTGCCCTGTGCCCCAGCGGCGTATAAAGTGCCCCGTCTTCAGGTTGGGCGAGAAGAAGTTGAAGCTACTCGTGTACGGCCGGTCCAGCTTGTTGTACTCCTCGGGCGCCAGCTTGTTCCTGTCCTCGTTGCCCACGTCGATGCTCCACTTCTTGGCCAAGTAGCGCAGAATATTGAGCGCCTGCTCCGCAAAGTGGTGGCACGGCGCCATCTGCGTGAGGTCCGCAATGCCCTGCTTGAGAGTCTCGGCAATCCGCGAGTCCCTCATCACTGCCGGATCCACCTTTCCTGGCTCGCCCTTGGTGCCGTCCGTCTCGGCCGACGCCCCGATGGCCAGGTGCATGATGGCCGAGGTCAAGACAAAGTACGGCACAAACGACGGCGTCCTTTGAAGCGTGTAGAGCTGTGAGTACGACGTCAAGAGGCTCTGGATGGCGTCTGCTGCCTGCAAACACACGTCCCGCGGCAGCACCTTGGAGCCTATGATGCGGAGCTTGATCAGGGGCCGGAAGAGCAGCAGGATGGCAAAATGGTAATACATACTGCGGGACATCATTAGCCACGGCCGTCGGGCGAGGGTAGACATCTCATCGCGGTACTCACTGGGCAAACAAGACGGCGGGGGTAAAGTTGTGGCCGAGGCGCAGCACCTCGGGGATCTGATCGTACCAGTTGAGGTATTGGGTGTAGATGTTTAGCAGATCCCTCGCCGTCAGCGGCTTGCGGGGCGAGTGTAAAATGTACAACGACTGGTGGACCAGCTCGCTCAGCTCGCAGAAGCACGTGTAGACGGACCGGACGTTGGACGGCTGCTCGCACGAGCGCTGCAGTGGCGCGCCTAGCCAAGGTCAGCAAGTCTGATCACAATACGTTCGTCGCTGAATCTAAGTCTCACCATCGTCCGTGTAGGGAACCCAGAGAGACGCCTCAATGTCGTCGATGATGGCGGGCTTGTGTGGCAGACGGATGAAGCACGAGCACTGCGGCAGCGAGCCAGTTGCCAGAGACCATGCACTACAATCTCACCGTCAGCATACGCCGTGCCATTGTGTCGACAGGAACCGCTTACTGATCTAGTGCGAAGGCGCCCCAAAAGGTCGCTGCCTGAACGGCGAGCTCATCCTCGTCGCCCTCGTAGTGGACACGGTGCAGGCCCATCTCAATGGCCAGCCGGATGCTCTGGCCGGCATAGTACCAACTCTCCGAGTCTCGACCGCAGCTCGCTTCTCGAATCGACATGATGCCCAAGGCCTGAATCGTCGTCAGCGAGTGGTGGTCCGTCTCCTGGTTCAAGAGGCGCTGCGACTCCTTGAAGAAGTGATCGCCCGACGTGTACGGGTCGTCGGGATTGGCCCTCGTCATCGGGTGGGTGGAGAAGCGGCAGCCAAGGGCCAGCAGGGCGTTGATAAGGATGGGCGAGCAGTACCGATGGCGGCCGGCTTGGAAATCTAGCAGAAAGTGCTCCTTGCTGAGCGAGGCAAACGTCGGGTATTCCCAACAAAAGTAGAGGGCCAGCAGGTGCTGCACCAAGTTGATGTCGCCCGTGATCTTGGTCCACGTTTCGGCAGAAGACCTCAAGCCCGGCTCGCTCAGGGGGGACAGGACCTCTGCGAGCCCCCGATATCTCGGCATGCTGTCCGACGCCTGATCGTGATGCATGCTCTCTGCCCAGGACCCGACGCGGGAATGCGGCGGGCCTCGGAGATCGGTCTGCCAGCTCAAGCCATCCGCGTGGGATTCACTCCTGACAGACCCAGCCTGGCTGTGCGAAGAAAAGTGCCAGGGGCTGTTGTGCCCCAGCTCGTTCATCATGGCAGGCGGGTGGGCCGTCAGGGGGCTCAGGTTTTCAACGCCGAGGCCCCCGACAGGCCCTGTGCTGCTTCCACCAAAGGCGGCGACGGCCCCCACGGAACGGACGGCGGATCCGGGGCCGAGCTCGCGGTCAACGATAGATGTCAAAGGGGGGAGGACTGTGCCGGCGGGCATGGTCCCGTTGAGCCATTCGGAAATGTTGTCAATGGGCTGGCCGCCGCGCAGCCTCCGCAAGACTTCCTCCCATAGATCTGGGCGGACGAGAGCGGCGAAGACGACATCGCTGGAGCGTTGGTGTTGTCGCAGATTCTCGATTTCGCTGCGGAGGTTCTCTTTGGACTGGCGCACGGGGATCTCGTAGACGCAGTCGATATCCTTTTGCGACTTGCAGCGACCGCAAGGCTTCTGTCCGTCGCACTTGTGACAGGCAAGAAGAAAGTGAGGGTCAGCTTACAGACATGGTGGGGGAGATTGACAAGGGAATACCTTGGCTCGCTTCTTTCGACACTCTGTGCATGCATTTGGGGTGACGACGCCGAGACCGCGGCGGCGCTTCGAGTTGACGAGGTTTGACGCCGAGCCGGGAGCCGGGGCGGTGGCAGGCTGGGACTGGGCAGACTGGGAGGTCGAGGCCGTCTGGGGCGTGTTGCCGGTGCTTGGCTGGCCGTCGCCCGAGGGTGTATGGCTGCTGCTGTGTCTGTCCATGGCGACGGTGAAGGTTGGATTCACCCCTGCCTGGCTAGCTTGAGTCGATTCGATAACCGGTCAAGGGCGCCCAAGGGTCGATTTGGTACTGCTGCAGCGTCGCAGAGTGAACGACATAGTTGTGCGGAGAGAGAAGCAGATGAGGGTTGGGGCATCGACGGAGATGTCGACGTCTGTTATCGCGGCCGCTTGCGCGTGAATGGACTCATGGGGAGACGTCGGGGCGAGATGACGGGCAGACTCGTTCAGACTCGTTCGAGTGACGTGCAGACGGGAAGAAGGAGGGAATATGGAGGCTCCTGTGGATCCGCGGTCCGGACGGACGCCGGCAGGAAAAGTTGAAGAGGCTGAGGATGCTGAGGATGTGTCTTTTTCCCTGCCGGCCTCCTCGCGGGGTGGGCAGGGAGCGTTTGAAGATTTGTTGGCGGCCTCTTTTTCCGCAGACAAGGGGCAGAGTAGGGCGAATTGCGCAAAGGGTATGCAGCTTCGAGAGGGAGCTGAGGAGGAGGAGTGAGAGAGAGGCGATGGTGGTTGGCGAGAAGGATAGCACACAGTTGCGGACGGGTGCTCACATTTGCATGGCTGCCATCTTGTCGATAGAGGCATGCATGTACTCGGTACTTTGCACATCCAGCGAGGTACCCACTCGGGCTCGACGACCAGGTTGCCAAAATGCCCAGCTCTGGGGGACATGTCTGGGCGCTGCACGGCTATTTTATGCGCAGCGTGCGAAGCGATCCAAGAACCCGTTTCCCGTTTCATAAGACTATTACTATTTGGCCAAGACCAAATGTCTATTTTGGCCAACGGCACTGTGGACAGAGGCAGCAGCCGGGCGAGTACAGTAGTTCATACCTAAGTACCTACCTCTAGGCGGTAAGGCAGCGCCGAGAAAAGCAGGGCCATGTGCTCGGTACATGCTATTGGCCAAATCGAGATAGAAGTACCTTGATCTTGAGCAAATAGTGATACCTCGTTCTCATGAAAACAAAGAGACCGATTGATCGAGGCCGTGCCGACACGGCCTGACGATGCAGGTACTTGCAGGTCGACGTGGACGTGCAGACGAACGCGTACTCGATACTTGGCCCCTCCAAAGCCGAGGTACGCTTTTCTGCTGGCAAACTGGCTTACCTATGTACTGTACCTCTCAATACCCCGGCTTGTATGGAGCCTCGGTGAGCCTCTCAGGAACGCTCGCCAGTACCTATTACGCGGGGCCCTTAAGGCCCTTGGCCTGGGTACAGATGCCTGGGTACCGCTCGGAGTCGACTCCGGCCTTGTCCCGACGACTTGTTCATCGAAACGCACGCAGATTGAGCAGGACAAGGGCCAAGAAGGCCTGCGTATTACTTGCCTCTGCAGACTCTGCCCAAACAACAAACAATGCGATAAACGACCGCCTACCAGGTCACCAACCACCACAACGCCACAAGCGCAACGCAAATCCCTTGCTACAAAGGTCCCTCCAAATATTATACAGGATATTCTGTTAACCTACAGCCGCGCTCCTCACCCGCCCTTGCTGGCGCCCCGGCTGTACTTGACTGGGCTCATCTGCCGCTCTCCTTTGCTTGGGCTCCTGCGCCCAGACGGCGTGTAGTGAGCCATGGCTGGCTTCAGGTTGAGCGGCGACGTGTCCGTGTCGGTTCCCTCGTCTAGCATTGCCCGCCGCTGCATCCGCGGTGTCTGCACCGGAACCAGCATATACCCCGGCGTAATGCCCGGAGATCGCGCCGCCTCGTGCCCCACGTCGCTTGCCTGTGCCGGTGCCGACGGGACTACGGGCTTGTGTCCGCTGTGCCGGCTGAGCGCACCCACGTTGACCGTGGTGCACACCAAGATGAAGGCAAGGAGGATGCCCTGCCGTCGCGTTAGTCGCTTCTTCCAAGACGTCACGCGAGGGAGCACCAACCCAGGCCTTGAGATGCATCGTCTCGGAAAACTCATTGATAATCTCGGCCACCTGCTTTGCCGTCACCTTGACCCTCATGATCGACTCGGGGTTCTGCATCATGCACTCGTACCACTTCTCGCACATGGGCATTAGGGCCGGACGGTCCTTTTTGGCGCACTCGTTCATCTTGTACTGTGTCTGGCACTCCGTCATCTTGCTCATGAGCTCCTGCCGAGCGAGGTCGTTGGCCTTGTAAATGTCGCTGCGCACCGTGCTCACGACCGACCACCCCAGGTAGGCCAGCACCGACACGAGAAACAGGTTGGCCCCCAGCTGCATCCACCGCTGCACGTGGTCCGGCGTGTTGGGATACTTGTTGAGGGCGTAGAAAAAGGACTCGAAAGCGCCCTTGGCCTTGTCCTGTTTCTCGTGCTGCTTTGGCCGCGTCGAGCTTCGCGAGCGCCCCTCGCTGTCCGTGTCGAATTCCGAGTCCCATGCTTCGCTGTCTTGCGCGTGGCGATAAAGGGCGACGCTGCCGACGTCTCGGTCATAGTTGTGTCGTTTCCGCTTCCTCATCCCAACCGAGAGGTCTCTGTGCGCTCGAATCTCCCCCTTGCCCGACGCATACTTCTTGGAAAAGAGCCCCGTCTTGCCATATCGACTGGTCTTGTCAATCTTCAACGGCATCAGGGTGCCTCCCATCGTCGCATCCATCCTGTGGTCCGCCTCTGGGGTGTCGTTGGGATAGTCGAACATTTCCGTCGGCGCGGGGCTCTCTTCGGCACCCGATGCCTCTGAAAGCACCACCTCATCGAGAGGTCTCCTCGGCGTGGTAAAAGCAGGGTTTCGGAAAGGCGGCGCAATGTTTCTCGGCGGTAGCTGAGGGGTAAAGCGAGAGGTCTGGGGTGGCAACGGCTGCGGTTTCGACGGCGTGGAGAGGCTGGCAAACGGGTTGTCGCGACGGGGCGGAGACTTGACGGGAGAGGCAAAAACTGCGGAGAGTGCGTCAGTCAGGCTGTTACCGAGCCGAGGGAAGCCCATGGTCCGTGGCCTGGGCTTGCAGGTAGCTCACTGTTCCGCGGAGCCTTGCTGGCCGCCTGTGCAAAGGGACTGGTTGGGTCGAAAGGGCCGCGATCCTGGTATTCCCAGTCCATGGGGCCCTCGAAGCTCCTGGTATCCATGGCTGCTGTTATCAACAATCGATATTGACTATCGTGATGGTTCAAAGTCCTAAGTGGCATGGAGTTTGGTTAAGACATTTCCGCAAACCAGGCGGCTAGAGCAGGGAAAGTAAACAAACCGGGAGTGGGGCCTAAGCCCAATGGACACGGACAAGGCTGAACGCTTATGTCAGCAATTCCAACGGTCCGATCCCTTGAGCTTGGCCCAAACTTGCAAAAAGGCGAACCTGCAACCGCATCATCTGAGCACCGTCCCCCCGTCTTCCATCAAGAGCGAAAAGGCCGAGAAGCATTTCGGCTCGAAAACAAGTCGTTTTAATCTCCGGATTGATCGCGTCTTGCCTTATCGTTTTTAGCCGCGTGCGAACAACGAGAAAAGCTCCATCATGTCGGACGCGGACTCGCCTGCCCGCTCGTCAGCCAACGAGCCGGTCGACGATGGGCAAGAGGCCACATTCCAGGATGAGGTTGCCGCCGCCGACTCCGACCGCGACTCGGATCTCCTCTCTGAAATCGACGAGAACCAGTTTGAGGACTACGACCCGGAAACGGCCAACATCGAGGACCGCCCCGTGGACATTGACGAGGATATCGCGCGAACACTCAAGGCCACCAAGCGAAAGCGTACAGACGGCGATGTGCCCAAGAAGCCTCGAGAGGGTCGGCGGGACAAGAAGAGGCGAGACCGAGATGACGAGGTTCCCGTGGAGGACGACACCCCGGCAGACACAGGCAAGACGACGCAGAGGAGATCGAGGCGAACGGGTGATGGGGGAGAAAGACGGCGGACCAAGGAAGCTGACGCGCCACCAGAGCCGGCCAACGAGGAAGAGCTCAGCCCGGAGGAGAGGAGGCAACGGGCCATAGATCGTGCGCTCGACGCCGCCATCAAAAAGGGCGGAACCACGAAACGCAGACGCAAGGACGAAATTGTGAGGACTACCCTCGCCCGTGGCCCGTCCCGTGAGGACTGACACGAAGCGCTAGGACCTCGAGGACGAAATCGACGACCAGCTGGCACAACTCAAGCTGCAAATGGAACGGGCTTGCCAGGCCGACAATGCGGCTCGCGAGTCTGGCCAGCCAGCGCTGCACAAGCTGAAGCTTCTACCGGATGTGACGGCCATCCTCAACCGCAACAATGTGCAGCACGCGGTGCTGGACCCCGACACCAACTTTCTCCAACACGTCAAGTTCTTCCTCGAGCCACTCAATGACGGGTCTCTGCCGGCATACAACATCCAGCGCGACATTTTCTCGGCGTTGACGCGGCTGAACATTGAAAAGGAGACGCTGCTAAGCAGCGGGATTGGAAAGGTGGTGCTGTTCTACACTCGCAGCAAGAAGCCGGAGCCGAGCATCAAGCGCATGGCTGAGCGGCTTCTGGGAGAGTGGAGCCGGCCCATTCTGAAGCGAACCGACGACTACAAGAAGCGACACGTTGAGACGCGCGAATTCGACTACCAGTAAGTGGGCGGGCTCCGTGTTGCCATGGAATGAGCTGACAGACGTGTATAGGGCTGCCAAACTTGCGCAACGGCAAAAGGCAGGGTCGCAGTTCAATCTCACGCAGCGGCCGTCGCAGTCGGCCCGGGATGCGTTCTTGGCCCCCCAGAGCGGTGGTAACCAAGCGCGCATGGCTAGTCTTCCGTCGAGCTACACGATTGCGCCCAAGAGCACCTTTGACGGGTCGCGAGGGCAAGATCATCGCCCCCTGGGTGCCAGTGGCATGGAAGCGTTTAGGAAGATGACGCAGAAGAGCAAGAAGCGGGCGTAGGGGCAGGGACATGGGATTGGAGTCTCTCGGGATCTGGCAGTGGAAGGCCCGCTGAGGTTGAGCAGCTTGGGGTTTTGGCGGCGTGAGAATACATGCATGGCTGGGCCTGGTTTGGCCTTGACACCTGAAACTGTGACATTGCCTCGCGCGCGTGACGAGGTGGTCAGGGACGAATGTCCAAATGGCGCTGAATCCTTGGGTGAGATTGCGCGCCGGAGGGAGTCGACGTTGGCGTGGCTGACGCGGAAGCGCGAGCTGATACGAAGTGTGCTCCGTGGATGGTGGGAGAGAAAGGGACAGCCATGACGTCAGCAGGGAGCGGTGGGGCTCGCGGTGGACCGTGGGGAGTGCATGTCGTGCAGGGGTCTGGTGATGTACCTCGTTGCCTTGAGTACAAAGTACTTGCTTGTTGATAGTGCTAAATTCAACAGACAGACTACTAGTATTTAGATGCAAGATGCTATGACTACTTATCTATCACTACAGATATATAATACTCGGTCTATTTGCTGTCTGTTTCACCGTTGTAGGGCTGGTCAAGTGGCTGGCAGATACGGATAATGAGCTGCTCGTTAGCCGCTACCGGCAAGGCGGCATTGGCACCCACACGCCACGCTCAGGCGCCCCAGCCATGGAAACCTCGTGCGACAGGTGTCAGCTCCCTCTAACCTCCACTGTACAGTACACGTCTGTTAGCAGCTTCGACTTTCAACCCATCTCATTCTCTTTTCGCCGGAGCATTTGCCCAAACTTGAATCCATCTGTCGCGGGACCTATTGCGAAAGAAGCCGCCGTTTGGATAGTCTTATTCGGCAGCTGATCCGTCCTTCCGACTGCTTGAAAAGGGCATACAGTAGCCACTCTCCTGCGAGGCCGGTAGGTTGCTTAAGCAGTCGCCCTCATTCTCGTCAGCCCAAGTAATGGCCTGTGTCATGGCCAATGCAAGTGGTGTTCGGCCTTGCCTGCTGTACAGATGCAAGCTTTGTGTGCTTGTTCATCGCACCCGTCCCTCTTCTCTCCCCTTTGCGTCCCCTGTTCCATTGTCTGGCTGACGCGAACAGAGAGGGAGGGGTGGTCTTGGACAGCTGGGCGCCTCTCTTGTCTCTCTCTGGGCTCTACACGCCCCCCACCGCGACACGGAAACGGGCGCGAATATTAAGGTGGCTAGCCCCATCGATCCCCTCGGCTTCTTCCATTTCATTGCCCTGCTCCCCCAACCATCGAATGCGCGCGGCTCCTTGCTGCCGTCGAACCTCGCGAGCCGTCCTCCGTGCAAACGCAAACGCGGCGACTCCCGTCTCGAACCTCAATCGGCCCCCGAGCCCTGTCGACCCAACAGCCTTTGCGGTGACCAACTCTTGACTCTACGCGCAACCACGACGAGCATATCGGAGGCGCCAGAATGAACGGCAGCAGCCAGCTGCCCGGAGAGGGCCAGAAGCCGCCGCTTGCCGGCGAGGCGAGCTCCAACGGCGGCAGCCTCGTGGCGAGGAAGCGCAAAAAGGACGTCAAGCCCATCATCACGACCGATGGCGCCGGACAGCCACTACACAACAACGATGATGACGAAGATGAGGCGAAACCAGGGTATATATGCTCCCTTTTTTCTACTCGATGCATGGGTTTTTTGCTCTTCTTTTTGGCGGCCTTGAGCTTCTTGCTCTGCGGGTGGGGAAAAGACCACCCCCGCTCCATGCCCACCAGCATCATCTTGCGCCGCAGCAAGCGCTTGCGGCAGCGGGGCGCCCGTAGCGCGGGCCGCAAGCGAACCCAACGTGGAATTCATGCCTCGCTCCCTTTCCTTGGGCAAAACGGGGTGAGACATGGCGGAGAAGTCTCGAGCGCAGAGAGGTTGGATGCGGGCTTGACTGAACAGGAACACAACCACCATGAACCCCCTTTCCCCCCAGCTCGTTTTACCCCCCTTGCCCCCCCCCAATAAGCCCTACTGGGAGCAGCCCAATTATCATGATCCACGGGTTTCTTTTGCCACACGGCGGGAGAGGGGAGCAGCTGAGTTGCGTGGCATCGCATATAGTAAGTCTAGCGATGTCTGCTGATGGCGAAGACGTCCCGTGCGCCTAGTTGGCGCCCACCCACCTGCCTACCCTGTACCCAGCTACTGTGGTCGAGGTAAGCACCTGGACGGGCTTGGCGTCCCCGGGGAGCTTGCGCGGGCACATCCAGTACTAGCAGGCAGCTGCCCCGGCCGCAGACATCCAGTAGCTGCCCCATGACAGCGGTGCCTGGGTCCGTGTTTTAGGCGCTGCTTGCGCCGCTGCTTGCGTTGGTTGCCCTTTGGCCCAGACATTTTCGCAGGTACCTTACCTAGGTACTAGTAGGTACCCACATTGCTTGTACCTGCGCGGGTACCGGGCACCGTTCCCCCTCTCACCCTCACTCACTCTCGCAATCCCACCGCGTTCTCTCTCACCTCACGCCTCCTCTTTTCCACTGCTCCCCGATTGCTTCCGCTCTCCTGGGTCCATTCTCGGGTGCGCTCTGGCCTGTATCATCTTTTGCGCTTTCCATCTCTCCCCTCCATTCCTGCTTGGGCCACCGGCAAGCGCCATCAGCAGCATCGCCTTGGGCGTCACGATTCTCTCGCTCTCCGCTTCTGGACGTCTCGCTCTCCGCTGTCTCTTGGTCAACGCTTCAGTCGCCCTTAGCGCGGCTCACGCCATGTAGACACGATGAGCTTCCTCAAAACCAGGTCTTTCTCTCTCTACCCCTTTTTATAGACCTTGCCGGCTGCTCGGCCACCATCTGTCCAACCGAAGGCTGGCTCTGCCTTCGTCAACTCTATGCCCGCTAGTGCGAGCACTACTAGTAGTAAACATGGAGCACTGACGCCCCCGCCGTGGCACCTCCATGGCAACCTACCCACCCCCACCCGCTTTGTTCACTCGCCTCGCCTCTCGCGACTGCTGCTAACTTTTGCTTCCCTTCTCCCGCATCCGCAGGTCGCATCACTTGTCCGGCGCAATGGCCCCCTCTCCCTCATCTTCGTCCGTCGACGACCCCGCCGACAACACGGCCGACGAGGAAGATTCCGAGGACTACTGCAAGGGCGGCTACCACCCCGTCCAGATTGGCGAGAAGTTCAAGGACGCCAAGTACACGGTTGTGCGCAAGCTAGGCTGGGGACACTTCTCCACCGTCTGGCTCTCCCGCGACAATTCCAATGGCAAGCACGTCGCCCTCAAGGTGGTGCGCTCCGCCGCCCACTACACCGAGACGGCCATCGACGAGATCAAGCTGCTCAGCAAGATCGTCCAGGCCAACCCCGACCACCCTGGCCGCAAACACGTCGTCAGCCTCCTCGACTCATTTGAACACAAGGGCCCCAACGGCACCCACGTCTGCATGGTCTTCGAGGTCCTGGGCGAGAACCTCCTCGGCCTCATCAAGCGCTGGAACCACCGCGGCATCCCCATGCCCCTCGTCAAGCAAATCACAAAGCAGGTCCTCCTTGGCCTCGACTACCTCCACCGCGAGTGCGGCATCATCCACACAGACCTCAAGCCCGAAAATGTCCTCATCGAGATTGGCGACGTCGAGCAAATTGTGAAAAAGGTCGTCAAGAGCGACCCCGGCGACAAGGAAAACAACCGCAACGGCCGTCGGAGGCGGAGGACCCTTATAACCGGCAGCCAGCCCCTTCCCTCGCCCCTCAACTCCACCTTTAATCACTCCAACCTGTTCCCCTCGGTGGGCTCCCAGCCCAGCCTCGCAGGCGTCCTCAACGAAGGTACGATTCCATCTGCACCCGGGGCCACAAAACCGCGCTAACCCGACCTTGTCAACAGGCACTGGGAGCACCAAGGAATCCTCGCCCAAGTCGGCCGACGAGTCGCAGAAGCAGCGGGAGAAGTCTGCGTAAGCCTACCGTCCCCAACGCCCGAGACCTGCCTTTGCCCGCTTGCTGACCGCCCCCTCTCTTTCCAGGGACGTTCTTAGCCGGGAAGTGTCCGGCATCTCTCTCGACAAGTCGAGCAGTTCTTCGGCCTCGACTGGCGAGAAGCGCAAGGCAGAGGATCCGCTTTCCTTTGAAATTATCAGTGTCAAGATTGCGGACCTGGGCAACGCCTGCTGGGTCAACCACCACTTCACCAACGACATCCAGACCCGGCAGTACCGCTCCCCCGAGGTGATTCTGGGATCGAAATGGGGTGCCAGCACCGACGTTTGGAGCATGGCGGCTATGGTAAGTGGCCGGGTCGCGGCGCCTCTTGCATCACCAGACTGACCATTTGCCACAGGTCTTCGAGCTCATCACCGGAGACTACCTATTCGATCCGCAGTCTGGCACCAAGTACGGCAAAGACGACGATCACATTGCCCAGATCATCGAACTGCTGGGTCCGTTTCCGCGGTCGCTCTGCCTCAGCGGCAAGTGGAGCCAAGAGATATTCAATCGAAAGGGCGAGTTGCGCAACATTCACCGGCTGCGGCACTGGGCTCTACCCGATGTGCTGCGCGAAAAATATCACTTCAAGGAGGATGAAGCGAAGCGAATCTCGACCTTTTTGACGCCAATGCTGGAACTGGTACCGGAGAAGCGCGCAAACGCCGGGGGGATGGCGGGGCATGGCTGGCTAGACGACACGCCCGGCATGAAGGGCCTCAAAGTCGAGGGCCTCGAGGTTGGGGGAAGAGGAGAGGGCATCGACGGGTGGGCGACGGAAGTGAGGAAACGATAGGGGGTCGACAAACTCACGGATCGAGGCAATCTGCACACCACTGGCTGCCACGCCATCGTTGCCCTTATTGCTGTCCTAGTCCTCTTGGTTGCCTGGAGGGCCCCTTTGCGCGTCCTCGGCACCACCGCGCCACGTTCCTAGGCGGTGGGATGGGAGGACAGAGGGAAAGGAGAGAGATGTGGGGAGACCAGGCATTCGGGAGGGAAAAGTCAAAGCCGGAGCTGTACGGAGCCCATTGCACTGCTCAGCCGCCTCTACGCCTTGGCTATGGGCAGGGAAGCGTCAGCTCCGGGCACCAGAGGTGTCGGCCGATGCTTTTTGTTACGCAAAGGGATGCGGGTCGAATGGATGAACGACGGTATGATGGCTCGCGATGGAAAGGTCTAGGGCAAGGGAGGGACAAGCATGGAGCACGCATGATAGATAGATCTGGCACCTGTTCTGTACAGGGAGAGAAAGAGCAATGTTGGTCCGCGATGCATATGCGTCTGGACTCGACGGTGCGTAAAGGATTGAGGACGACAGGTCATGGAATATCTGGGAATAACGAGGACAGACGTTGGTAGGGAAGCGAGCATGGTGGCGGCAAGACGCGAACTGACTACCTCTGTACACAATACACGGCGTCTACGTCTCTGTTTGCCGGCGAGGGCAGCGCATCTCGTTGACTGGACATGGGCAAGTCGCGAGCTTCCGGTTTGCCAATCCTCGCTGCCGAAGGGATAAGCGATTGGATGCATTATTTGGATTCTGGGCATCGTGATGCTTTTCTCGCAGAGCAAACAACATCGCTTTCTGGGCCTACTTTTTGTTCTTTCCGCGCCGTGAGCGCATCCCCGCTGCCGGGCCGCCGACGTTCTTCTTCTCAACGCCAGCATCGCCGGCCGCACCGTCATCACCGTCGTCATCATCGCCGCCATCATCATCGCCGCCGTCGTCATCATTGTCAGCGCCAAGTCCTTTGGTTCGCTCGCGCTTGACGCTCTCGTGCTCATCGCCGTCGACCTGCCGGCCACTCAGGACCTCGCGCACAATCTTACGGCCCTCGTCGACCTCGCCGTTAGCGGCGCCGCAGGCCATGCACTTCCAGACGCCCAGGCCGGCGAGGGTCTTTGTGCCGGGGGGGGCGAGGCCGTTGACGAGGCGGCACGAGTGGCAGACGAGGGCGATGCGGTTCTTGGCCGCCGTCTCGTCCTCGCCGAGGAGCACGTCGAAGAGCCGGTCGTACCAGTGGGACTCGGACCGGGCGTGGTGATGCTGCGCCGCGTACGAAAGGGGGGGCGGGGCGGCGTGGGCAAAGGCGTTGGGCGCGAATTCGGCGCTCGGGTCGAGAGAGCTCGCCGAGGGAGGAGGTGGAGGACTGCCTCCTTGTGACGGAACAGGAGTGCCGGGCGCGGCGGGGGCAGGCGAGCGGCGCTGGATGTTGGCCGTCGGGGGAGGCGGCATCGTGGTGCGGCTCGGGGTCCCCCTTCCGGGGGTGCTCTGGGCCGACTTGTTCCCCCTGCCTGCGTCCTCGGCGTCGCCATTTTTCTTCCTGCCACTCTGCGGGGTGCCCTCTGGGCCGCCGTACTTTTCAATGAGCTCCAGGGTGGAGTCGTACTTGGTCATGTCCTTGAGCTTCTGTATGGTTTTCGCGCGCTCCGCCTGCTGCTCCTTGAGGCGCGCCTCGAGGCTTCCGATGCGGTAGCTGTAAAAGGTGGTGTTTAAGGCTCGGGCACCGTAGATGCTGTGGAGAGCGGTCGGTTAGCACACCCGGGTGCATGTATTGCGTGAGCAAGCCAGAGAGCTTACACCACCGGTCCTCCGGCCATGCCCGTCCACTCATAGATGCCGAGGTTCCTGTAGCCCACGACGAGGAGCAGGACGATGGCGTAGACGAGATAGGCAAAGGAGAGGTACAGCGTCCAGAGGACCTTTGCGCGGCGGGCACTGGTGCGTCGCTGGTCGAGGCGGGCCTGCGTGTCGGTGATTTTGGCGGACAGCGCGGAGAGCGTCTTTTCAAACGAGGCCGGGGAGGAAGCATCGCCCTGAAAAAAGACTCCTCGTAAGCTTTACTCTGGAGATGTTCTGGTTTGTTCGGCTGGCCGGGCGAGGCAGGATTGCAGACCTTCCAGGGCCAAAAGGACACCATGTTGAGCAACCTCGAGCCGACGGGGCGCCAGGTGGAGGAGGGTGGTTGGTGAGGCCAGGCGGCTATGAGGGAGTGAGGCCTCGAGAAGAGGGCGAGCAGGCGGGGAAGCTGAAGCGCTGAGCTGACGCTTCGTGGAAGCGCAGCTGCGGTTGCAACTTGGTCGGTGTGGTGACGGATGCTCGAGCTCACCGTGACCAACAAAAGAGAGAGGTGCGAGAAGTGGCTGATGCTTACGCGAAGCCACCACTGCCGTGCACCAGCCACAGACTAAGGACCCGTAGGCCAACGGCTAAGTTGTAGCTCAACGGAATTCTAAACATATCGGGTTTTGATTCTCACACCCTCGAACCCTGGACCAAGTCATGAGCGCAGTCCTGCCCGTCATTCTGCTCGCTGGATCTGCACACACACCTCGGCGGGCGACGCCTCTCTTGATGCTGGCGGCGTACCGTCACGCAAGAGACTGACTGATGAGGGCCGTTGAAGGCGAGCCACCATCATGTTTCAAGTCGGTCACCTCCTACGACGAACCTAATGAGTGCATGTGCTGACGGAGCACTCCAGAGAATAAAGGGCGCAATCGACCGGACCATAGCAGAGGAGCAGGCGCGGCAAAAGACCATATCCGAGAGCACCACATCGTCGAGGTCCGGGTCCGCGTCCTCGCGCCGCAACGACGGCCTCGCCACAGCCAAGCGCCACTCGCGGTCCAAGAAGCCGTCCACGGACGCGTCCGACTCTGCCCCCAACCCCGACCCGGCCGTATTCGAGGCGGCTTTTGTCATCGACGACAGCGACGAGCCGAGCCGCACCGCGTCCCCTAAACCGCCCCCGCCCCCGGCCAAGGACGACGACACTGCCCCTGCTGCAGCGGTGCAAGACAAGACTGAGGAGAAGAAGCAGGATGCGGTCGAGGAAGACGTAAGCGAGGCGGATAACAAGACCAAGGAAAATGGCGCGGGCCACGAGGAAAACGCACCACCCACGCCGGCGGCCGAGGAACTGAGCCCGGAAATCAAGCAGCGTTTGCGCAAATTGGAAAAGCTCGAGGCGACATATCCGGGTAAGTCTGTTTGCTACTCGCCAGGCCTCCCCAGAGACCGACTAACATGACCTGTGATACGCAGAGCTGCTCCGGTCCTATCGCGTCGCCCACAAGCGTGCGACTGCCATTGAGCCCTTTGAAAAGGCTCTGCGTGAGATCACGCCCCTCACCTCCATAAGCGACCCGGACGCCTTGATCGAGTACCTCAACCAGCTCAATCTGCGAGGCGACATGGTCATGGAGGAGCTGAAGAGAGTTTCCGCGGACAAAGACGAGCTCGGCAAGAAGCACCAGGAGGCGCAAGACAAACTGAGCAAGTTGGAAGAGGAGCTCGACGCCCTCAAGGCCGGCAAGCCCACAGAGCCTGCGGCGGAGGATGGTATCAAGTCTAAGGCGGTGGGAGCTGCAGACGGCGATGAAAAGGGGCCTGAGAAGATGAAGTCGCCCGTCGCGTCCGTCTTCAGCATGCTGTCACCCAAGCAAAACGTCCAAGACGACGACGGAACCCAGGGCAAGTCAGAGACTGAGGATCTCTTCTCCTACGACGACGAGGTCCCGCAGCTTCAAGCCGACATCGCGGCGAAGTCTGGCGAGATTGAACAGCTCAAAAAGGAGATTTCTGACCTGAAGACGGAGCTCTTGACTGTCAAGGAGGATAGCGCGGGTCTGGCAACGAGGCTGGAGTCTACGACCCAGGAGCTGAGCGAGGCGCGCGACACTGCTGCTTCGCGCGCGTTCATGCAGTCGCAGCTGGATGCGAGCAACGAGGAGATTGCGCGCCTGACTGGGCGGCTCGACAAGTCTCAGGCCCTGCTCAAGGACCTCGAGGACAAGGCAGACAAAGAGATGGAGGCTGCCGCGTCCAGGGTCCGGGAGACGGAGACGGCCTTGGCGACCTCGGACAAGCGAGCGGCAGAGCTGGATGCCGAGCTGGCCAAGGCCAATGCTGCAAAGACCGTCTCCAAGAAACTCATCGATGAACTCAGCGCTCAGATCCAGGGGCTCAAAAAGGAGAAGGAAGAGGCCCAGGTTAAGATGACGGAACTCTCCAACAAGCTCCAGAAACAGCCAGCCTCTACAACCCCACCGGCCCAGCAACTTGCCGCGTCTGCCCCCGTGGCGGCGGGCGGCGCCTCGAAGAAAAAGGGTAAGAAGAAGAAAGGCAAGGGAGCCGCTGCTGGCGCACCCGCGGCCTCGGATGAGGCGGCAGGCGAGGCAGTGGCGTCGACAGCGGACTCGCCTCGCCCGGACGAGTCGGCCGCGGCGACTCTCGAGACGGAAATCTCCAAGCTTAAGGAGGAAGTCAAGGACAAGGACGCGCAGATTGAGCGGCTCTCCACGAAACGCAAATCCGAGGAAGACTTGCGCGACGAGATTGAGACGCTGCAAGATAATCTGCTCACCATTGGGCAAGATCACGTCGAGGCTAAAGAAAAGATCAAGGAGTTGGAAGCGGAGAAGGCGTGGTTGAAGAAGCACATTGCCGAGCTCGAGGGGCAGATGGGCGCTTCAGCGTCAAATGCTGCCGCAGACGCCAAGGTTCAGAGCGACTTGGACGACCTGCAAAAGGAGTATGACGAGCTCAAGAGCAAGTCGGCCGCTCTGCAATCGGACTTGGGTGCTGCGCAACAGCTCGCCCAGACTCGGTTCAAGGATCTGACTGAGCTGCGGGAGGTGCTAGAAAAGGCACAGCCTGAGCTCAAGAGCCTCAGACAAGGGTCGGCCGAGCTGAGGACGGCCAAGGAAGACCTCGCCGCCAAGGTAAAGGAACTCAAAGAGATGGAGAGGAAGGAAAAGGACCTGAAGCTAGAGGCTTCGCGCGCTCATCAACTCTGCGCCGATCGTGACACGGAAATCAAGGGGCTTCGGGAACGGCTCAAGGCAGAGGGCATCGCCAAGCAGCAAGCGGACGAGGCCAAGCGCATCGCAGAGCGCGAGCTGCGGCGCGCCGAGGCCGACAAGGTGGAGCTGAGCGCCAAGGCAGAGAAGGCCGAGAGGGGGCTCCGGCAGATCCAGGACGAAGTCAACAAGCTGCGACCACGAGTCAAGGAGCTAGAGGAGCAGGCGCACAAGCTGAGGCGGGAGAAGACGGCATTGCAGGAGGAGGCCGAATTCAAGGCGCAGCAGTACGCCAACGCTCAGGGCCTGCTGAGCAGCATGCGCGACCAGACGGCCGAGATGTCTACGCAGATGAAGGAGTCCAAGTCGCAGGCCGAGTCGCTCGAGGAGGAGCTGGCGGAAGTGCAACGGCTGCTCCAGGAGCGGACGCGCGAGGGCGAGACGATGCGGCGGCTGCTGGCAGACGTGGACGAGCGGGCGGACAGCAAGGTGAGGGAGATGCGCGGGCGGATGGAGGCGGCGATTGAAGAGCGGGACAGGATCGAGGACGAGTCGAGCACGTTGGCCCGGCGGAAGTCGCGGGAGACGGAGGAGCTGAAGCACAAGATGCGGGAGCTGGAGCGCGAGGTCAAGACGTTGGGCCGCGAGCGAGACGAGCTCGAGGAGGGGCAGCGCGAGTGGAAGCGCCGGAGAGAGGAGCTCGAGGCGGTGGAGAGCAAGGCGGAGGCGGAAACGGAGGAGATGCGGACGACGGTGTCGCAGCTGCGGTCGGCGCTGGACGCGTCGGAGGAGCAGCTGCGGGACAACGAGAAGCAGCGGGCGGACCTGCGCAAGATGCTCGACGACGCGCGGCAGCGGTACGAGCGCATGGCCAAGGAGCTGCGGGCGGCGCAGGCACGGCTGACGGCGAGCCCGAGCCGGACGTCGATGGAGTCGAACCGCAGCGGCGCGGGGGCAAACGGCGGGGCGGCAGCGGGGGCATCGGAAACGCTGTACCTCAAGACGATTCTGCTGCAGTTTCTGGAGCAGAAGGACAGCAGGCTGAGGGCGCAGCTGGTGCCGGTGCTTGGCAAGCTGCTCAAGTTTGATAAGTAGGTGTCCCTTCACCCTCCCCTTGATGGGGAGTGTTTGATGGGCGCGGCGTTTACTGACAACGGACGCAGGACGGAAGAGCTGAAGTGGATCAACGCGGTGCAGCATATAGAGGTGCGATGAGTTGGGTTGAGGAGGGAGCCTCCCGGGGTGCGGGGAGAGGAGGGTTGATACTTGATGGAGAGAGACGAGGCTTCAGCGTATGTATGTGTTGGGCTGAAGATGTCAAGTCTCGAGATGGGCCCATCTATCTTGTACGAAGGCATGACGGCGAGGCCTGGGCTGGGCTCTCCTGGCGTTGGGGCTTAGAGACGGGGTGACGATGCAGCCTTGGGATGTATGGGCATGTACAACAGGTCTGCTGGGACTCGTAGAAGATGATGAGAAACGAGTAGAGATGTGCTGTTGGCCAAGGGTTTGAGTCATGGTAGATGTAGTTGCTCAAAGACAGCTGTCCTGCTGGCCGACTTCCCCTCCATCTCACCTCCAGACACACACATGTCCTTCAACATCTACCCGTCACCACCTCGGCCCGTCTCCAACGCAAATGGGCGCCGCCATCTCGCACATCCGCGACGGCGTGTCGCTGGCCGCCGCGAGCCTGCACACGCTGTCGTCGCTGCACGCCAGCTACCAGCAACTGCTGCGCCGCGCGTCGCGCCCGCCGGGGCTGCCGGTTGCGTCCCCGACGGCATCGTACTGGCTCGACGACCCGCCCTTTGCCGGGCTGCCGGACATCCAGGGCGCGCTGCCAGCCGAGGCGGACGTGGTCCTTGTCGGCAGCGGCATCGCGGCGGCGGCGACGGCAAAGGCGCTGCTCGACCTCGACGACCGCGAGCCGCCGCTGTCCGTCGTCGTCATCGAGGCGAGGCAGCTGTGCGGCGGCGCGACGGGCCGCAACGGCGGACACGTCAAGGTGACGCCGCACCACGAGTTTGCGCGCCTCAGGAAGCGCCTGGGGCCCGAGAGGGCGCGCGTGCTGGTCCGCTTTCAGCTCATGCACCTGCCTGTCTTGCTCGGGCTCGGCGACGCCCACCCACTCGGCGAGGTTAGGGAGGTGCAGACGTCGGATCTGTACACCGACAGCAGCGACTTTGAGGGGGCGGCGAGGGATGTTGAGGCCATGAGGGAGTGGATGCCCGAGGTTGAGGTCGAGGTGCTCGAGGGGGACGAAGCTAGGGAAAAGGTATGGCCACTCCTGGCTCCTGATGCTTGTCAAACAGAACGCTGACGGTGACCCTCACAGATCGGAGTCAATGGCCAGGTCGTGGGAGCCATTTCGTACAAGGCCGGGGTACTTTGGCCATACCGTCTCGTCACGTCCGTGTGGAACGGGCTGCTCAAACAGTACCCAAATCTAGCCATTCGCACACACACGCCCGTCGAAGCCATCGTGGTGGACAAATCGTCGCCGCATCCCTACCGCCTCCACCACGGGAGCGGCGTCGTCGCAGCCCGCCACGTCGTCCACGCAACCAACGGCTTCGCAGCACACCTGGTCCCCTCGCTGCGCGGCCGCCTTACCGGCGTGCTCGGCCACATGACGGCCCAGCGACCGGGCGTCGCCTTCCCCGCGTCGCACGGCCGCCGCTCCTGGTCCGTCCTGTACCCGGGCGGCTTCGAGTATGCGGCGCAGCGGCCGGACGGGCCGGACGGGACGCCGGGGGACCTGCTGATTGGAGGGGGGCTGTTTCGCAGCAAGGACCAGGGGCTGGACCAGCTGGGCGTGTGGGACGACGGGCGACTCGATGCCTTGCCGCTGATGCACCTCCGCGGCAGCATGCAGACTGTCTTTGAGCCGCGGTGGGGGGACGGCGGCGGGTTGGTCAAGGCGTGGACGGGCATCATGGGCTTCACGGGCGACACGCTGCCGCTGGTGGGCCGCCTTCCCGAGGACGATGCCCCGCCGGCCGGGCGCGCGCGACGAGGCGAGTCGCGCCCGGGGCAGTGGATCGCGGCGGGCTTCAACGGCGAGGGCATGGTGTGGGCGTGGCTGTGCGGGACGGCCGCGGGCGTGATGCTCGTCGGCGCGCAGGAGCGGGACCTGGCGCCCGGGGACGGCAGGCCCGGCGGCAGGCTGGCCGAGTGGTTCCCCGTGGCGGAGCTGGCGGTGGACGAGGCGCGGCTGAGGAGGGCCGAGTTGAGGAATCTGCTGAACGACGTTATGTGACTGGCTATCCCGCGGACTGTGCTTTGTCCGTCTGAAGGGCAGAGCAGGTGTTGCACATGCCGCCTGCTCGTGATGCATCCCAAGGCGCATCAGGTTACAAGGCTCACCAGGTTAATGGTGGTTTTCCAGGTGACGGGGCTCATGCCAGAACATCAGGGATCGAGTTTCCATGGGTCACGTACAGACAATAGAGGAGGATAGGGGCCAGGGGGGCTGCGTGGCGTCTCTACACACGCGTGTATAGGTATACAATTCGTGGACACATACTTCGAGAACCTTGGGCATATGGCCGTCACCACTGGGGTTTCCCAATGTGCAAGGAACCTGTAGCCAACGCACTTCGTCTTGAATGCCTGGCTACCTAGTCCCCTGAGAGGCGGAGAGGGAGGTCGAGGATACCCTCGCCGGCGCCTTTATGAGCGATTCAAGACTGCATGTAGTCAGAGAAGACGACAGCCTTTACCTTGTATTCTCTTTCACGCAGTTCTCCATCTCTTGTGCCTGCTGTGTCTCGGCCGCATCTGCTCACGGGGGACAACGTTCGGGCATCTGCGGCAGCCCATGCGACCCGCCCCGGCGTGCTACCGCATGCTTTGTGCATACATCATACATGCATGTTATATGCATGTTGCTCTTATACATCCGGCACGGCATCGACGTGGGGTTCCGGCTATTGACGACCAGACTGATCTGGGAGACGACGTCGGGCCCCGGACGGGTGGTGCCACTGACGGCCTCGGCTGTCAGCCTGTCGGCCGGCGGTTGGTTACACTTTCTCGCTTCCCCGACTTCCGATGTCCTCGTGACGGTGCAAACGGGGTGACGGGTTGCAGCAGAGGAGAGATGCGGCCGGGTCAGCCCATTGTGAGGTCTCTCTTGCGCGAGAGCCCGGATCCTACTGTGCTCGGCCTGCGGAGTCTTGATGATTCCTGGTACACCAATCAGAAGGTGCAGCATGGAGAGATGCCCGTGCGTCGTCTGAAGTATTACAGGACAACTACGTCTCTCTCTCTCTGGGCTGAACGATGTCGTCCCTTCTTGTCATGTCATGAGATGTAAGCGGTAAGCTCTCTCCACATCGGCGCCGATGTGATCCTGTCCTTGCCGGTTTGGGAAAGGGTTGGACCCGGACGGTTTCGCCGTTATAAGACGCAGGCATCCATCTACAGCGCCGACGAGAGACAGACGCGGGGAAGGGCAGATGGCGGTGCGAGATTCCGACGGCAGCAAACACGAGAGCGAGGCAGGCCTCTTTCGCCGGACGGCGACGACAAAAGGAAAAAAGCAAGGCGCGGCTGCGGCTGACACTGGCGATGCGGCCCCTCGGAGACGCCATTTCGCCTTGTTATCAATCTAGACTCTCCGGGCCAAGGGCCAATATCCAGGCCAATATCCAGGCCGTCCGACGCCAATCTATTATCGCGGAAACCAACGGGCTTGGGCCACCTTCTCCGCACGACGGGGACGGCCGAGGTAGGTACTGTAGGCGTGTGATTTTCTCCCCCGGCCCAACCTCCACTCGAAATGCTGCCCACACACACAGAGACCGAGACAGTGCCGATCATGTACATGCCCGCATACTGTAGACGATGGGAAAAGAGGGGGAGGGTGGCAGCCGTCGTCGGCAAGTCGTGGTGACATGGCATCAAGGCCTTTTTGCCCTGCTGCAACGCCGGGGCAGCATCGACCATGTAAGCCCGGCTTTCTCTCGTCCCGGGCTCCACACCAGAAGCAGCCCATCGTCATCCTCTTGTCCGCCTTGTATGATACCTCGTGTTCCTGGAGGCAACGGCCCTCGTGTCGTCGGGCGGGAGACCCGGGCCCACGGAACTCGGCTTGCGCCTCCCTGGGGGATGTGACGGGACACTCGACGGACGAGATATTTTGCCTGGGTGAGATTCCACTTATAAAAGACATGCGCGAGCCGCCCGAGGTTTTGTTTCCGATCACGCCTCTGGCAAGTCGACAACCCCCCCTTCGCCTTTTGTCACTTCGCATTGCGGTCAATTCAAGTCTTCATCTTTCCCCTCGTTGAAGAACCATCGTCGTCGCCATCATGCTGTCCTTGAGCCACGCCTTGGTGCTGCTGCTCGCCGGCACCGGCGTCATTGCCGCCAGTGCCAGCCCCGAGAAAGCGTCCCGGGTCCGACCGGCAGCCTGTAAGTCGCGCAGCTCCTTGTCTCAACCGCCCGCGTCGCATCACGCGCTGCGTCCGACTCAAGCCTAACCGGCTCCGCAGCCGCCATCGAGACGCCGCAGCCGGCGCAGCCCAACATGGTGCCCAACTGCCAGGCCTTCTACCTCGTGCGGTCCGGCGAGACGTGCCGCTCCATCGCGGCGGCGCACGGCCTGACCGTGGCGCAGTTCCAGCGCTGGAACCGCGGCACCGGCCCGGACTGCACCACGCTGCTGGCCGACGCCTACGCCTGCGTGGGCGTCACCGACGAGCCGACGACGACGCCGCCGCCCACGCCCGAGCCCACGCCCGTCGAGACGCCGCGTCCCATCCAGCCCGGCATGGTGCGCCAGTGCCGGCGCTTCCACTATGTCGAGCCCGGCCAGAGCTGTTTCGAGGTCCAGCAGCGCTACGGCGTCTCCCTTCAAGACCTGGTCCGCTGGAACCCGGATATTGGCTACCAGTGCACCAACATGTGGGCCAACACCTGGCTCTGCGTCGGCGTCGCTTGATTTGTTGCTTGAGCTTTTGCCTTGGTTTTGCTCGTGCGCGCACAGGCAGCTCGTTGTGTATCCCCTTTACTTAGGTATCCTCGTCTTGACGCTTGGAGCAGAAAGGCATTAATAAATATGGCGGTTTCTCGGGCTCTTGCAGCGGCTCGGCATGCTGTGGGGGAGTCTTGTCCAGCAACTTTTAACCGGTTCCCCCCAGAGATGACGGGCGATCAGGCCAGGCCGGAGGAGCTGAGCGGCAGGACTGTTCAGGAATCACTGTGCTGGCGGGGGGACAAACGCCGAAGCCCAAGCTCCGGCGTCAGATTGGGAGTCTTTACGCCGAGAGCAAGCGCAACGTGGTAGTGGTAGGCATTTGTACTTTTGAAGTAAGATGGCGGGCGGATGTTGGCATTAGCTAATAATGGGTGACTGTGCCAAGGCCAAGGCTCCAAGGATTTCCTCCGGGTGAATTAAAATCCGTATGCGCATCGTCCAAGCCCCGCCTTGATCCGCCGCATTCACGAACTCACCCCAGAAACGTAGAAAGTGACAACTTCGGCGCGTCCGCAGCCAGGAGGCGTCGCCAACCGCCCGCACCCTTTTGCCACGGTGCCTCCCGACATGGAAGGGCTGATAATCGTCGAGCCCGTTCCGCCATCGCCGAAATGGTTCGTCCCGCCGGTCGTTGCTCCTCCGCATGAGCGCTTGCGCCGACCCCCTGGCCCGCTCAAGCTCCGACCACAGGCAGGTTCCAGCACGAAATCGAAATATACGCAGACAGTGGTACGCGTCTCGCCATCAAGAGACATATCCCGGCTGATCACTTAAACATACGTTCTGGTTTCGAACGCGTTTCATCACCGCAACCGCCCATCCGCTACGGCGCGACTCGTCCGGAGGGCTGTCCATTTTCTTCCACCTTCGTTGCGCACCCGGTTCGAGGCGTCCTTTCCCCAGTGGAGCCTACAGTCCCGCCTTGTGCTGAAAATATATAAAGAGGGCTGGGACGAAGAGTTTGACACGGAGAAAGCTGCATATGAAAAGGTAAAGCCTCTGCGGGGAATCGTAGTTCCCAAGTGTTACGGTGAGCTCAAATACAAGGGCACCAGATCCCTTCTCTTGTCCGACGTCGGTGGGGAAAATCTGGCAACACCCGAAGGAGCCCTGCTAGAGGTGACGGACCTTCGTCGTATGCTGCACGATGCCTTCAGCGCTCTGGCCCAATTCGGCCTATCGCACGACGACACAAAACTGGACAATTTCCATGTCGTCGGAGACAAGGTTATGGTTCTCGATCTGGAAAGAGTGGATGGTAATCTATCTGATGAACGGTTTGCCTTTCACATCAAGTGTGATGTCAACCATCTCGCTCAAAAGTACGAGGACAACCAGCATTGCTTCTACATCGATGGACTCATCATGGTAGATACCTAGGCTTGTCTTGCTTTAATATGGAAGTATATATTTTGACCAATATACCATTCAGTGTACCTAGCTGCTGTTGCTGTCTTCGCCTGGGCCACTGCTATTTCCTGTTAGTAGCTATCCGTTCCACCTTCATACTTCTGCGCAAAATATCCTGGTTGGGATGCTGACCACATCACGAGCTGCATCCGGCTGCAGGAAACTGCATACCCACGCAACTCCCTGGATAGCCTTTTCTGGGTTGTATTCTCAGAAATATCCCCAGCTTGCCAAAACTCTGGTTTGATTGGATTTATTTTCATCTCTCCTATAGCGAGAGCGACTCTGTGGTTTCAGGCAGCGAGCACGACGTTGGAGATCTCGGAGTGAAACCATAATTCGCAGTCGGCCTCAGTCTGTAGCCGCCATCGGCGTTCATTCAGAGGCACCGCAGACGTATTCATCCGCACAGTGTCGTCATCATATAGGGGATGGCAAGCCGTTTGGAAGTCGGCCTGTACCCACCCGTTCTCGACGCGGGTGAGCACAATGATATTCTTGATGGAATGGTACTTGTCGGCCCATTCCTTATTAGTGCCTGTTTGGAGGTCCGTAACTTGGACTGGATTCGTCGGATTCTGGACCAGCAGGTCACCAATAGTGCTCATGGCGGCGGCGATCTGGGTGTGATATTCTGAGAAGTGGAAACTAAAAGAAGACGAGGATTTTGTATGAGAGCGAGGGGGGAGGAGGGGGAGTCAGGGGACGACGGTTGTGCGACATCAGCAGATGAGCTGGGCTGGAGTCGCTGGACAACCTCACATATATCATATATGGGGGAGTACATGCTGTCACGCCTGCACTTTCCCAACATGGAGTGCAATACGCCGGAGCAACTTCCCCTTCTTGCTCGGCTTGTCACTGTCATCAGGTCAGGAGTTCAGGACTGTGTAGTCGACACTCGACGGCAAGCTCCTCGTTCCCCGCAGTGTGTAGACTAATTGCTGCTTCGCTGGTGCTGGTAAACATGGTATATATGGATGCCTGGTTGCTCTGCACCTTGGGTATCGAAACATGTTAATGCCCTCTTCTGGCTTGGCGGTTCTGTCGTTCCTCCTGGCCATTTTCAACCCTTGCTGGACCGTCTATTCCAAAAGGAAGGACTGGGGCAGAGAGAAGGAGAAGGAGGCGAAGGAGATGGCGTGTCGGGGGCCCTCATGTCACGTGGCTGCTGACAGCCGCCAAGCAGACCTCCACGGCCCGAGTAACTTAGCGAGCTAAGCCAACTTGGCATCTTCATCTTCAATCAACACCACGATGCACCCATTTTGGAGTCACCGCCTCGCGGCCGCTGCCTTCTTGTTGTGCACGACAGGGCGGCAGTTGCCCACCAGGCTTCGATCGCCGAGCTCCACACGCAGATCATCCAAGTAAAACAATCCTGCGACTGCCAGGCGGACGAAGAGCGCGGCGGACAGGCTTGGTTGGAGGCGGCCCCAGGGTCTCTCTATAAACGAGGGAGGCGCATGGCAATAAAAGGACAGCGGGGGTGGACATGAGGAGCTGCTAAGAACGATCCCAAAAGACACCACCCCAAGAGACCGTCGGGGGGGGATCCCCTACCCGTATTGACAATCGCCTAGTGGCAGGCTTTGCGGGCGAAATGGGGATGGGATGGGACCGAACTGACGACATCGTGTGAGTTGATGGCCCTGTCGGGATCATTGTCTGCAATTGGACCCTGTGGTAGCAGAACGACCGATGCAACAAGGCTGTCCAGACGATCGAGGAATAGGTTGACTCCTTGTCTGTTGCACCTTTGGCCTTGTACACAGACCCAGGATCAGCCTTTCGGTTAAGAGAACTCGCCGACGCAATGACGAAGGGATCAATCTTAATGGTGGCAGCACCGTCGCAATCCCGTCGCGGTATGGGCCTTGTCGAGATGATAAACCCAGTCCATAAACCAAGTCCTTCAGCAGGGGTTCGGGAAAAGTGGTGCAGCTCCCTACAACTGGGATGAAAAGCTGCCAGAGACGTCAAAGGTCCTTAAATACAGGCGCATTCGATCACTGGGATACTCACCCTCCCAGATCTTGTTCGGGATTGGGGATGGATCAATGGCGCCGTGGACCTTGTCAATCAAGTCAGCCAGAACTGCGTTGAGAATAGGGACATGCAAATGGCCACTGAGCGGAGAACTGGCTGACCTGGTGATCCAACGCATGGCTGCCATGGCAGCTACTCATGAGGACATTAAGAGGGACGTCCAGCATCAAGCCTGGAGTTCCACGAAGACGGTCTAACGAAGCTGATGCTGCGACCTACGAGACTGGAGGGACATAAAAAGCTTTGCTGCAATATAGCTACTCTTGATTTTGTGCCCAGTCTTGGTGGCCCTCCTGTGGTGGCTGTCTTTGCGACTGCAAGCTGCAAGCTATGGTAGAAATTATAATAGATAATTACAGCCACGCAAGAAGCAGTCATCTTCAACAGCCTCATCCTGCATCCTGTAGGGCTGAATGGCCTGGTGTCAATGCTATTATATCCTCCCGCCTTTACGGCCTGGTCCATGAACCCGTGCAGCCAGTCATCGGCCCGTCTACAACGGCAGAATGAAAATAAATCAGGCAACGTGGATGTTTCTAGGAGCGTGCTATGCCTATCGTCCTCCTTCATGGTCGGTCACTGACCGTAATGAACCTCTCGTGTGCATGCCGAAGCCCCCTCATGAACATCATCCCTCGAAGTAGTAATTAAACGAGGAATCGGTAAGTGTTTCCATTTGGGCCAGAATATCGCCGCGACTGCCCATAAATTTCTCAACTGCGGGCAGTATCATGAAGTCGTCGTTTTGGAGGCCTTCAAACGTCGTGGCACACCCGCGCTCGTCGCACCACGTAATGTGCTTGGTCTCTTGGTCGGCAAAGTGGCCATAACTGTCTGGGTCCAGTGTTTCGAGCCAGCCTGCCAATTTTTCGGCGACTCCATGCCGCCGGATAAACACCTGCCAGTGCAGGCGGATCGGAACATGAGCCTGCTTTCCGGATTTGCAGTTGGTCAGCTCGGGGTCTTCAGCCCGTGAGTCGAGGTATATTGCGGCGTCGCAAACGCGACACAAAAGCCTCCGCGATCCTGGCAAATAGAGATGTTTGCAGTCTTCAAACCTGTCCAAGCGGCATAATCGACTGGGAGTGGTTTGCAGATGTGGACAGAACACCACGGGACAAGATTCGTGGAGTCGTTGGAGCTTGGCTAAGCAACGTTCCCAGAAAGTGCCTGTGGTGTCTTCGTCGAGAGATGCAGACCATTCGATGGAAACTGTATCACGCGCGGCCCCGACCCCGGGCCCGGCCTCGCATAGAATTTTCGCGTCGAGGACTGGACACAGGGGATCTTCGCATCGAAGCGTGTGGCTCCCGTCCTTGCTTTGGACCAGATCCCGAACGTCTGCGAGAGAAACTCTGACATGGGGGCAGACAGTGCAGTAGCCTTGATGGCTGATACACTTGCGGCTCAAGCCCGATTCCTTGCGCTGAGACTCCGAGAAGAAGAAGGCGGCATGCATTTCTTGACATGCGGAGCAGTACAGCATGTCCAGGAGGGCGCCGACGCGTGCGGCGTAGTTAGGGGCCGCTCTCGCCTGTCGGCAAGGTTCGCAAAAGGAAGGTCTCTTGCCTTGGCCGGCTGGTGCTGCTGTCATCTGAGCATCGACGTTGTTGTCCAACAAGCCCTGTCGGCATCCATCCAAGGTCGGCATCGGGGCGACTTGGGCAGGTTCGGCAGGCTGCTGGATGAGTGGGATCGTCGATGACGCCTTAGGTAGGTCGGCCGAGGCATGTTGAAGCTCGTGATGTCCAGGAAGCTGGTAGCCCGAGGTGATGGCCTTGTCCACTTCGTGCAGCAGGGTCAGCGCTTTCGGCGGGTCGTTTTCATCCTGCCGGGGTCGCGCTTTCTGCTGCTGCGGCAGATGATGACGATGCTGAGCCAGTAGCGGTTCTTCCTCTTCGGCGTCGTTGTTCATGCGTGCGCTTCGGCCTCCACGCTTGCGCAATAGCGACAGATCTCGGCCTGTCATCTTGGAAAAGGAGACATTTGTAGTCAGAGCAGGTATGTGACAAGAGTCGAGGTGAAAAATGATACAAGTATTGAAGTAAGTATCCAGACTAGAGAGAGGACTATAATAAAGAGATAAAGCAAGGCAAGGTCGAGGGACCTCCTTGATAGACTCCCGGACGTTTATGTCATTACAGGCGGAGACCAGCTAATCATCATCAAGGCAATGAACCCCTCTCAAAGTTCAAGCCTCAAGGCAGCCACACAGGAAACATTCGTCTTGGTAGCAGCCTGGCTAAGTGAGTTTATATATCTTCTGTAGTCTAGTTCACCCCCTACACTCGCCAGGGCTATTTTCTCTCCATGGAGGTTTGTCCTGGGAGGCGTGCGAGTAGCCGCTCTAGCTTTGCATCTTTAACCGCAGGCATTGGCCGCCTTTGTCCATCAGCGCCAATATTTGTTGTCATGAGTTGGGGCGCGTCCCTGGGGCGCGTCAAGAACGGTGCTTCTATCTTCCTCTCAAGGCCTAGAGAACCATCTCCTCATGAGGACGCGGGGGATTACAACACCTCCGGGCCAAAGTCGTCGCTATCGCCGCGGGTCCGGCCGGCCGCGCACAACAGGCCTGTCGATGAGGGCCGGGTGGGGCCTCGGCCACGGTCACCGTCGCCGGCCCACTGATGCTCCCGGCGCCTCTCAATGGCCGGGCCTCATTGTGACCTCGGGCAGAAGGTTTGGGTACATGAGCCCCTCCGGCCCCTTCCCTCGAGCCTCTCTTTCAAGGCGGAGGCGGCGGAGGAGTCGTGGGAGCGTCGCGTGTGCGCGCCGTGGGGTGTTCGGTTTGGTGATGGTTGCTTTGCTCTCTTCAATCATAGAGGCCGTGTCGCGGCTGGGCCACTGAATTGATTTTCGCTTCGCCGTCGACGCTAGGGCGAGAGTTGTGGCCCCTCGGAATTGCTGTAAGAGGCGCAGAAAATTACCTGCAGCCACGCAATAAGCATTCGTCTTCACACACCCCTTCTTGTATCCCGTAGGGCTGAATGGCCTGATGTCAATGCTATTTTTATCCTCTCGCCTTTACGGCTCGGTCCATCAATTCCGTGCAGCCAGTCATCGGCCCGTCTACATTGGGCTCTTGGACTAGTCAAGAATCTGTATTGCCTCTGGCTGCGCATCTCATCTCACACACTTGCGATAAAAACCAACCCCCACCAGACGTCAAGCCAGTCCCTTGGCCCAGCGGGTTGCGCCGTTGGCCTCCTGGGTCATCAGTGGCCCGAATCACCCTCAGCTACAGTCCAGCCTCAATCTGCCTTCGCCTTGCCCGCCGGGTCGAAAGAATTCAGGGAAGAGACGCCAAACATGCTATCCTGAGTCCGCACCTGCCAAATCAAAACCTGCGCCGTGTCTCTCGGTGAGACCAATTCCAAAAAAAATGATCAACGGCAAAAACTGGGGTGCCAGGCAAGGCCAACTCCAAGGGCCACTATAAAAATCTCGAGTAAGAAAACGTGGAGTGGGGTGACGTGATCGCAAATGGGGTCAGCCGTGTGTCGCACTCCGGGTATCGTCGACAAGTTCCCGATGCTCTGATGTATCGAACTAATTCAATGTGCCGTGCCGTGTCGTGTATTCCATGCTGCCCCTCGTCTCGGGGAGCAGATTCAAGGAAAAGGGGGGAGAATCAAGAACAAATCACAACAGGAAACTGCATGTGCCGAACTGGACCAGCGCAGAGGCGACGATTGAAGCGGCTGCCAGTCGCATGGCTCCCGGGCCGGCCACCATGGGTTCAAACGTCATTCGTAAATTAGACTTGCTGGCTGTAGGTGTTTCGAGATAGTCGTGAGCGTTAAAATCGTGAGCAAGCTTGTCGTCGACTGTACTAGCCCTTGTCATGCATGCATCGTGGAAGCCGGCGAGCTTTGCGCTGGGCGGCATCGTCTCCACCGGCTTCTGCGCGTTCAGGGCCTCACAGGTACTTGCGCACCCACTCGGCGTCGAGCCAGCCCACCTTTTCAAAGGCGGTCCAGAGCTTTGACGCCTTGTTGACGTCAATCTTGCACGCCTGCTGCGCGTCCGTCTTGCGAAACTCCTTGCCGGTGCGCAGACACTGGAGACGCCGCTCAAAGATGCGCCGCTTGCTCGTCAGATAGGTGGCGCAGTCTAGCCGGAGGTTGCCCGCCAGCATCACTTCGTCCGTATGCAGCAGGTGGGCGTTTGGGTCATTGGCCAGGTCAATCGGCTGACCCTTCCAGTCCACCTTGAGGCTGTTGGGCCGGTTGGGGAGCGAGTCGATCGGCGGGCAGTAGTTGGGCAGCGCGTCAAAGTCCTTGTCCTCGCGATTGGGCGCGACGATCCGGCGGGACGGCTCGGGCGTGGCGCTAACACGACCGGCGGGTCTCGCTGGTCGCGCGGGAGCCGCGCCATGATTGCGGATCTGCCGCGGGGCACCCTGGTTCTTGGTAACTCGCTCGGCACGTTGCGAGCGGGCAGGCTTGGCCGTAATGGGCTTGGCCGGCATAATGGCATGGTATCGCTGGGCGCCTGCCAGCCGGTCGGCCTCAAGGAGGGCTCGCTCCTTGCGCAGCCAAGCCTTGCGATCCGTCGTGTAATGCTTCATGACTTGAGAGCGGAACATGAGGGCCAGCTCATAGTCCTCACGGCGGGGCGGTGCGACGCCCGCAAAGATGCTCTGCGACCGGGCGCGCACATGTTGATCGACGATGCGCCGGTGCTCCAGCTCGGCCGGCGCAAAGAGCGGCGCCTGGGGAGGGCTTGACGGCGGAATATCATCGGAGGGGTACAGGACGGGGTCTTTGATGTGCTGGCCCGCCGGCGGCACTCTCGATGAGGCATTTGCGGTCGCGACGGGTTTGCTGTAGGGCGAGACGGGGGGCGACATGGGGAGTGGCTGCTTGGGCGAAGACGCATGGAGGCCTTGGGCATTGTCCACCTTGGCCGGGCCTCTCTTCATGGCGGGCGCGCGGTGACTGAAGCTGTCGTGAATGGCGTCTGGGGGCGACATGAGGCTGTTGATGTCGAGCTTCTTTGCCTCGATTGCAGGCGCGGGCAGTGGCGGCGGGGCCATTGAAGCCCGCGAGCGGTCGATTGGGTGTGCGATGGAAGCCATGGATACAGACGAGGGCCGCGGATGAAGGTAGGAGAAGAAGGAGGAGGAAAATGAGAGAGGACGTGGCTGATTGATGGAAGTGGCAGTCTTGTCGAATATGGTGGAAGACTGCGGGTGGCCAGGCGCTGGTTTGTCAGCCATGTCGGGATGGCTATGGCCGACTGACGTGGTTTGGGTGGCGAAGAGACGCCGCTGTGAAGCGCTAGTAGGAAGCAGTCGGTCGGAGATAGGGGGCGGAAATAAAGTGTCGAGGGCGGAGTTTGGGTGCCTGGAAAGATTGAAGCCTGGAAAGGGCGGGCGTAGGTGGAAGTAAGAGAGCCGAACAGTCGGATTTGTTTGCGATGGTGCTTGTTTCTGGGCGGTGAGGTCTGTTGACGAAAAGGTGGGGTGAGGTGATTGATTGTCTGAGCGTGCGTGAATGAATAGATGAGTGAATTCAATCGTCAACAGGCGGTGCGATTCGACGCAATCGATTGGCTGGGCCCATTGGCAAGTTGAAGATTGCAAATGGGAAGCAGGAAGAAAAGACGAGGGCTTTTGTGCCTTTTGTCTTGTTCCGCTATGACTGATGCGCCGATGACTGTGAATCTGACACGCACGCAAAGCAGGGAGTCGTTGATACCCGATGGGGACCTGGACAAGCGTTTATGTGGCGGGCCAGAAGCAGGCCTGACGCAGGCACACACGCGAGCGTGCACACGCCCCCCCGCGAGGACAAAGAGAGAGGGACGAGAAGACGTGATTGGGCCGCCCTCGTTAGCTGCTGGCTGAAGGAGCTGGAGAGCAGAGAGAGACGACGACTTGGGGCGGAATTGGTTGGCTCGTCTGCTGTCGGTTTGTTTCGTTTGTCGTGGATTCGTAATGGCCGATGCAGTGCCAGGCTGGCAATCAACCAGATGGAACAGGAATTGGGCCGGATCAAAGCACAGACGGCAATTCGTATGCAATTCGGGGCGCGAGGCAAGAGTGAGGAAGGGGAGTCGAAGCAGGCGGAGTCTGAGGTGGTCAATGGAAATAGGTGGGTAGAATAGCGTCGTCGGCGAAGAGGATGACTGGTGGTCTCGAGGCAATCGGGCCTGGTGATGTCGAGTGGGAGAAAAAGGTGGCGATGGTGGTAGTGGTGGAAGAGGAAAAAAGGAAGAGTGATGGGGAGAGGGAGGACAAGCGGCGGCTTGTGTTTAACGACGACGCTGAGAGAAGCCTTGGAGGCGCGCGAGAGAGAGAGAGGAGGAGGAGGAGGAGGAGAAGGGGGGCGTGTATCATGGGAAGAGGAGGGGCACAGGATTGGGGCGGGCTGGGTGGAGTGGGCGCAGCAGGCCTGGGAGGATGACCAGGGGGCGTGTGTGTAGAGTCAGCATGGAAAGCAAGTGCAAGTAGAGGTACTCCGTACATGTCAGGAAAGACTCTTGCTGCTGTACCGGCACTGTACGGAAGCCGATCGTATCTCGATTGCCCACCGGAGGCTTCTTGACTATAGTCCCGGTGCTGAAATTACGCATGCTAATGTGCTGGTTCTACCTCTGCACTTAGGCATTCGATGCCTTAAGTATCGACAGACTCTTTACCAAAACCTATATGTGAGTTGTCGCGGAGGAAAAGACAAGGCAAGTCTAGACCTTGGCTTGGCCACGGCAAAGACTGGAGCCGTGGCCAGGGGGCCGCGGCATGTCGTCGTCGTCCTGGCTCCAAAGTAACTGTCCACCCACCAAGTAGCGGTCGGGAACTGATAGTGGGTACCGACCACCTCGGCACTGCCAACGGAGCCTACCAAGGGGTGGAAGAAGAACACGCCCCCCTCTACCAAGTACTAGTATACAGTATACACCAAAATCTCGAGTGCAATATGGGTATTCTTTACACCGTATGCCTCCCTAGGTACCAAGAGGGGCGCAGGCACTGCAGCTTCATCAGAGTTGCACAAGCCCTCTCTACAGTTGTATACTGTACTTACGCTGTACGGAGTCTGCACAGAATCTCACCCATCGCTTGGCTGACGAAACAAGCGGAGGGCCGATGGCGAGTAGAGACAGACAATCGTGCACTGTGGAAACTTTCGCACTGTGCACCACCAAAACCCCACCAAGTGTCCGTCTTCAGGCTTAACATGTCCGCTGGGCACCTGCACAGAAAGCTTCCATTGCCTTGGCCAAGCCGACACTGGACAATGATAAGGCGACTTTTGCCTGCTCTGCATGTCTCGCTACCTTGGCACCATCAGCGGCATCTTCCACCCAGGCAACCCTCAAGGCAACGCGTAAGGCAATCAAGGGCGTGGCCGCTAGCAACACGCCCTCCATCAGCCAGTCAGGTGCCGCCCGGCGCCCAAGGTCATCAGGCACACCAGGCCCCACTACGGGATGTGATTGGCCCGTCCAAAGATAGCACCTGCCTGCCTCCCGCAAGTGCCCTCGGACACACACAGCCCAGGCATCTACCGTACAGTTGACGGGCGTCTCTCGTCTTCGACACGACCGCCTACGACACGACCGCCTACGACACAACGGCCCGACGCGCCGACAACCACCGGCACATGCTCTCTGCCTCGCGATCGCAAGCACAAGCACTCGGTTTCCGAGGCCCGACGACAAGCGGGCCTTTTGCAACCATGATGAAGAGGTGGCCATGGCATTAATGGCCTCTGGCCCATTCTGCCATGACAAAAAGTACCCCTCCCCCGCATTGAAGCCCTTGATGCGCATTATTAGTTCCGGGATCTTGCGCGATGCTCGACTCTCGAGGTTGGGGGCGCGTGCAAGTGGAGAGCACAGTGGAGAGAGAGGGGCCAGATGTCGACACCGCACAACGGTCGCCGCCATCAACCAACGCCCGCCTCATTCTCGGACACGAGCGAGCCTTGGTCGTGGCCGTCGCCTGCCAAGGTCAAGAAGACAGCGCCCGGCATGCATACGTACATACGGAAATAGGGCTGCCGCATTCCATGCGTGCTGCGGCGAAACTCTATCGCGTCGTGACTGCACTGCTACTCGGATATTCGTACACACATTCGTCTGTGTACCTGTCGCTGCCCAAAAGCGAGGCAAGCATGGCCGGGCGGCAAGTGGAGGCCGAGTGGCCCATTCTCCTATGCCTCGATGCTAAAGACGCGCCTTTTTCAGCTCCCCACACGCCCTCTTGCCGTGCTTTGTGTTGGTTCTACGTGTTTTGGAGATGCAGAGGGCTTCTTTGTGATTGACCATTGACAGGAGAGAGGTCGACGACGGCTGTATGAGCTTCTGTTGGAACATGGGAGGCCGCCGGGGTCGCCAAAGTCAATTGGCCAAGCCTGCGCCGATTGGCCAATCCTTGCTGCCTGTGCACGGAGTACTGTGCTGTGCTGTAAAGACGTCCTGCCACGCCCCCCTCCCCCCGGCCCCGTCTGTTCGTCCGTCGGCCAACGGGGGGCGTGTGCGCAGAAACGAGGCCAGATTTTCCCTTGTTGCCGCGACAAGCTCGGAAGAAGAAGGAAGCGGGAAGAAGACGCACTCTCTTAACCCCGGAGCAAGTCAGAGAGCAGGGGACGACGAGAGGAAGACGCGGAGGAGTCATCACCGCCAGAGGGTGGTGAGTCACACGCCAAGGAGCCGAAACAGTCAGCCCACACTGTGCATGCTTGCAAGGATGCCTGGTGCCTTGGGGGAGCCGTCTGCCTATCGATAAGCCAAAAGACAGAAACACACTCGTCTTTCATGTATAGTTACTGTACAGTACAATTGCCTCTTTGCACCGATGTTTCGTACACCAATGGGCTCACTAATTGGGCGAGTTACGGGGCCGGGAGCGAATTTTCCGAAGCCATTGGCAAAAAAACAAACGAGAGGCAGAAGCGCAGGCCACTAATTAGTGGTTACTGTTAATTACAGCAGTGCTGAACTGACCGCTGCGCCTCACGAGTGCCATTGAGTCTGAACTAACACATCATGTACTTACTGTACCTCCCCTTGTCCATCACTCCATCACCCGAGGCGATACCTGATGAGAGGTATCTACGAGGCTTACCGCCGCGATTGATAAGCCGACACTTCTTCGACATTGATTCTCAAAACTGTCTCTTTCTCTTTATTCCATCGCAATGTCTCTGCTATGCCTCCAGTGCGACATCGTGACAAGGTCGGATGATGAGGGACGGCATGCCCTCGCGCGGCCCGTTCGGTCACTTGACGGCCTCGATGGACCCCTCTCCGTCCCCCGCCCCCCTCTTCATGCTCGCTTTGCTCCATGACTCTAGACAAGAGGGGAAAAAAAGAAAAGGGTGAGACACGGTAGGTGCGTTAACGTTCGGTCGCTTGCTAAAGAAATATGGCGCGCTTTTGCCCCCTCAACCCCTCCATTCCAAGTCCCCGATGGAGCATCGTGACCCGTCTAGAGCGTCCAGGGACGGCATCCCGTTCTCTCTCTCTCCGCGGCTCGTCCGTTCACCCGGACGCCTCCCTCTCGTCGCCTCGTTTCGACGGCAAAGTCACAGGCTGTCAGAGGCTTACCCACGCGAGTCTTTTCCGAGCAAAAACCCCGTCGCCCAGGCCCAGGCCAGCTGACCTCCTCCGGCCGAGACACTCCCAGCCGAAATGGACCCCTTCCCCCTCCTCCCGAGCCCGACGTCTCTTGGCTGCCGCCGCTGCAGTGCAATGCTCGCCCGCGATCCGTCTCCATCTCTGCATCGCGGTATGTACGTACGGCAGCTAATATGTATGACATGCATGCATGCATACATCGACCTACATTTACCCAGTGGTACTCCGTATACTCCGGACGCTTGGCCATGGAAACGTGCATGTACATGCTTGTAGACGCAGAGTTTCCCGGTCCCGAGGAGCAGATCTGGAATCCATGTTCTACAAACGGCGTCGCAGGCACTTGAAACAAACTCTCACGTCTACTCTTTCGTTTCGTCCTGCCAGAGCAGAGAGTGACTTACAATGCCCCAAATGGGCGTACTCCTATTTTGCTCGGTATAGCGGTATTTTACCAACTTGACACGTCCAGCACTCTTCAAGTTATTCGCCAATGCGATTTCCAGGCTTCTACCCCTTCCTCCCCCTTCCCGCGATCATACGCTTTGGCGGCGAGACGACCGCCACGAGCGAGTGCTCTCAAAAGACGGATAGCCAAGACACTCTCCCCAACTCACACCTATCTTTGCTCGAGACTCTAAAAGGGAATCGCACCCTCTCCGCCATACATCCACAGGTCGAACATTTCTTCACCAGCAAGCGGCCACCACCGCCTCTCCACGCGCCGCGCGCTGACCCTCGCCGGCATGCTCTCCGAGTTCGCCACGCCCGCCTCCTCGTCGGTCTGCGGCGCGACGCGCGCGTCCTCGCACTCGACCCACGTGTTGTTGCTCGTGTACTTCTCGCCCGTGTCGGCGGCCCTCCAGGTGTCAAAGTAGCAGTAGATGAAGGTGCTGCAGTAGGCCTCGCGCGCCTCGCGCGTCACGTTGGCCTCGTGCGGCAGGCACTCCACCAGCGCCGCCATCATGCTCACGGGCCGCGAGTAGTACGGCAGCTTGCCTTCTCCCTCGAGCGGCGCGATGGGGGCCAGCAGGGGTCTGGTCGGGGCGCGGTGCGGTGCGCGGAACCGGTTCCAGAGCTGGTGCATGCGCCGGCCCTGGCCGGGCGTGAACTCGGTCTTGCAGGAGCTGCCCTCTGATGTTAGCCTTGGTCCATGACTTGCTGGCTTCACATCCCGGGGCACGGCCTACTCGGTGGTGGCGCTCATAAAGTTGTGAATGGGATCGAGGCCAGGCTGGTCCGGGCACGAATCCAGGCCCTTTGGGCAAATGCCCAGCGACGCATTCCCCGTTGCGGCCGGCGTATCATCAACCAGGTCACCCTTGCCCTCGCAGCCGCCGATGGACGGGTCGAGCAGTCCGAGCCAGTGGCCAATGACCCGGACCGCCGCCTTGCCTTCCCACGTGGCGGCCTTCCAGCCGAGCCCGCCGGGCACCGTGTACGACGCAATGACGGCGCCGTCGACCCTGTACGCGCCGAGGTCTAAGGGCAGCCGCTGCGGCGCGTACGGCAAGCCTAACTGTGTCGAGTTCGCGTCAAAGCGCTCGACAAAGTACAGGTTGAGCGTGCGGGCATCGCCGCGGTTGTTGTCCCACATCATGCGTATTCCGTCGATGTCAATGCTCCAAAGGGGGTCAACGACGCGCTCCGTCTCGACCAGGACAAAGGTGATGTTATGCGGCGCGAAGCTGCGGTTAATGATGTCCATCTGCCCTTCCAGGGCCTCTTGCTATAGACACAAGTCAGAACACCAATGTGCAGTGCTGGGATACGTATCTAGCAACGAAACTTACGCTGAGATGCTTGCCGCTCGAGGTGGCTACAAGATGCGCCGTCACGTTAATGGTGAGCAGTGCGAAGCTCTCGACCTCGCCCGTATCTGATCGTTGGACGAGCGCCCCGTCATCAGTGGCAACCAGGGCCGGTGAGACATCAACGCCCACGCCGCGGTGCTCGAACGCGGAACCTCAACTGGCGGCAGCCGAAGCCGCGAGGCCGGCCATCAAGGCCCGAGTCCAGAAGCACATGGCGAGGATAATGCAAAAGGAGAAAAAGGGGGGTTTGTGTCGTGGACAAAGTCTGAGTGGTCTCAGGCTTGAGAAAAGAGAGCACGGCGGCAGGGGTTATATATGCCTCCTGGTCCTACCGTTGCATCTCCCACATATGCTACACGACCCTCTCTCATTCTCCTGCTGCCCGCGCTCTTTAGTCCGGAACCGCCTCAAGTTGGCTAGACTCTCCGTTGCCTCCGTCGTCGTTACCGCAGCACCCACACCCGAGGATCACACTCGGCCTAGGGTAGCGTCCACAACCAGGCTCGGGCTCGCGAGGCTCGGCGCCGACGTGCTTTCGTCCCGACCCACAACTCTCTGCACATATACATATATATGGCAAGGTTTCTGGGCGTGCTCATAAGCTTCAATTTAGGGTAGAGTTACAGGGGGCGGACCACATCAGACGATTAATATAGTTATTTCAAACTGATAGGAAAGCGTGCCAGCTTGAAGGTACCTTTGAAATGGAAAATCACGCACGATATTGACATTTGCGCCAAGCAACTCTCGAGAAGGAGTTGTAGTTGAGAAATGGCCCCCTTAGAGAGACAACTGACCCGATAAACTTCCAATGGCCCAGGGTAGTGAGATCGCCAGCTCAACTCAGCGCCCGCAAAATCAAATTCCCACGTTAATTAGGTCTCCCATGCGGCGGGGCCGCGTTCGGCATTTGGCAGGACGCTGCGAGCGGCCAAGTCTTGGCGGCGCCGGCGGAGAAGCGACATGACGCAAGGGCCCAGCGTCTACGTGGCATGTCGGCACCGCGCCATCTCGAGATGGGCTCATGCGCCGGCGATAAGACTTTGCTGGGAAGATTAAAAGACGGATAGGGCCCGGTGATTCGGGAAATAGATGGCGAGGCCGAGGCCGGGGCGGTGGCTGGCTTCGTATTAATCAAAGGAAGGGGCTTAACCTCGGTGGAAATGGGGTGTTCTCGAGCTGGCCAGGGGCTTGGGTTGATGGAACAAGACTGGAGACGACAAAGACAGCATCTATACTACGACCCGACGCGGTAGTCTCTTCGCTTAAAACCAAATTCGAGTTTTAGTAAAGTCTAGATATATAACTGATCTAAGATATGTCGCTCATTAAATAAATAAAAAGACGTCTACGTGATGATTAAAGTCTTGAGCCTTGTCAGCTATACGGCTAAAGGCAACTTGACGCTTTTTAAATAGACTTTCGTATGCAGCAGTGAAGGCCTCTAAGCTGGCCTTGTCCTTTGCAAGGGTCCAGTATATCTCGTCTATTTTGTGGTCGAGTTGTATTTCTTTCGACATATATTTCTATTTATTGTGAAAGGCTGGAGTAACCAGGTGAAGGACCCAATTTATGTTCGCCTCCTGACTCTATAGCCGCCCAAAGAGTCAGTGCACTATTCAGCTTATAGACGGGAATAAAGCTACTTACTCCTTGGTTTAAGCCATCGGTGTAAGACCAATCATGCGATTCGAATGGGGCCGCTGCGGCCAGTCCGGCGAGAAAGGGGACGAGAGTCGAGACTTTCATCTTGGATAGAGCTGTAAAGATGGTATAGATGGAGCTAGAAAGTCTGCGAGCGGAAAGCTAATGGAATTATTTGACGCCAACGCGCCAGGGACCTGTCCAGGTGGCTGTGATGCAGGGCGACTGGGGTTGTTTGGCTGCTCCCATGATTATTGGGCGGGGGCTAATGAAACGAACAGGCAGCACGCGGCTACGAGTACCATTTGCGGTCATGTAGTAGGATTTGTTGGTCATCAATCACTTTCAAATGGGCCGTGAAAGAGCGGCTAGGTTATTTAACAAAGAGAGAAGCACAATATAGAGCTAGCATGCCTCGCCCCGGCTTCAAAAATATGCATCGTCCTTCCGACAAACTTGATTCCGTTCAATTTCTTGGCCATAATTATATAACTACCCGAGATAGGTGCGGGCACCAACGTGGAGAAAAATGGTATGAACCTGCCGATCCCGAAGATTGCCCAGAGGCCGTTAGAGCGAAGCGTCGCAACCGCCGGACCGGAAGACAATTGCACTGTGCCTCCCTTGCCACCGTTTTTGTCTCGATCCACGGTGTTGTGCCAGAGACAGATGTTACGCCAACCGGAACCTTGCACCGTTTGGTTGGTGGTGCCACCATTGCGGCTTTATGAACAGTGCTGGAGCAAAACATTGCGTAAATCCTACACCGGGATTCGATCGAAGCCCATGTGGGCATACGCCCTGCAGGCAATGTGAGAATCATGATCCAGCTGGACGTTCATAAGGTCTTCGACTGCAGTCTCGGTTCAAAATACAGCTTGCACTTGTCGACGCATGACTTGATCATCGACGCCATCACGGACGGGCGTACCCGCAACGGATATTTTCTCTCTCTTTCTCTCTCTGTCTTGTCGGACGCACAAAATTCAAGGTTAACTAGATAGGCTACCCAGGACACGCCTAGGAACCACTTAAGAATCTTCAACGAGATATTCCTCACCTCCTCGATTGATTCCAACCCACGACAACTATCGACAAAGCGCCTTAATCTTGTCGACATGAACTCGAGGATAACGCCTAGCGCGGCGCCCTCGCCCCCAGCTCCGTCATATTCCTTCGGGACAGGGCTGGGATTTTTTTACCTCTTTTGACTACAACATCCTTCTTTCACCTCATTCGCATTCTCAAAGGTTCTATGCAATTAGCCCAATAACGTAACCACGGCGTACAGCTGCCAGCCACCTGGCGGCGCCAAAGGCGAAACCTCGCTAGAAACCTTTTTCTACCCACCTAGATTAGCAAGCCCAAGCAAACCAAAGCGGCAGCACACCGCAGTCAACAACAAGCCTAACACTTCAGGCACCCAGGCGGCACATTCCCCAACACCTATAAAAAGCACGACCATCCTCCGAACTTCTCTCCACACGCACACGCATATCAACACAGGGACGACCTTCCTGACAGCACAAGGTCCCCTTCCCTACACTTCACATTCCTTCTAATGCGATGGGCATCTCATCCCCCAAGCACCCAGCCATGGCCACCACCGAGCATCCGAACACTCCCCCCATCGAACAGCCCAACATCGAGGAAGCAGCGCAGGCAGACATCGATACTTCCGAGCAACCTAAAGTTGCTGGATCGGCCGACACCTCAGCCCCAGGGCAAGCCGCCCAGCATCGAGCTGCCTTCGACGACTAGCATCATTGCCTAATTCACGTCAACGGACAATTCCCGCATGGATACACACAAGATACCATGCGACAAGTCGGAGGAAGGGTCGTCGCAGGTCTCTTCACAGAAGCCCGCTATGAATATAGACCTTTCTGCCTTCCGCGCGTCTCGATCAGAGGACGAGTCCGAAACTATGCATACGCACCGACGATTGCGGAGATACATACGACAACCGACAAATTTCACGAGCCAGCTACAGTCATAGCTCTCGACGCAACGGACACTGCCACCCTCAGTGCACTCTTCAATAACTATAGCCCCGACGTTACTAGTATGAACCATAGTACCAAATCGAAGAAATCCGAAGAAGTCCTCAACGCCTTTATCGATCCCGCAAGACGCTCAGTCAACCAACTCAGCCCAGTAGAACAAATTCCCGCCGGCACATCGACGATCCTGCGTGTCGAATTCTCAGCCAACAAAGACGATATCATCATCATCCCATGGCGACACATTTTCAACGACGCCGCAAAAACCCTGCTACTTTGATAAACATAGCGATAGGTTTCCGAGACTTGATCAATGGCATAAGATCAATTATGCAGCTCACGCTTTTTTCCCAATCTACGGACGCGCCACCTTCCAAGCCAACTAATCAGGTCTTTCCCTTCCCATTGCAAACATCAACCCGTTCTTCAAAGCACTAGTCAACACGCGCAACGGACTAGACGACCTCGCTTTCGGGAACGTCTGCATAGATATGACCAAGCCCAAAGCTCCACTGGCACCTCAGACGTCCTTCGCCAATACGGACCATCGCACAGTAGCAACCATTTTCGGAGCAGTCGAAGAATTAGAGATCGACGATGACCTGGCCAATAGGCTCTAGGAGACATCCATCCCAGCGGTCGTCTTTACAGACCCATCGGACAAATAGCAAGCCATACCGAACGACGCAACGTCCTTTAGCATTGGCGCCGACGGGGCTTGCCTAGGTCACTTTATAGTCATCGGACATGAAGCAGTGGCAAACTTGCTCCCGGACGTTGGCGATAAATATTGCCTCTACTTCAACGTCACACACCAGCATCGAGCTCGCCCTAGTCGAGCCGGATTCACACCTAACCTAGTCGACCGCATCGCAAGGGACATATTCAAAGTCTTTCGCGATGCCGAGATAGCAGGTCAGGCAGCTCACGCCAACACGGCAGCGCGTCTACGTAAGGAAACTCTCAAGCAGGGGCTTGAGAGCACAGTAGAAGAAATAGGGGCATAGAAAGGTGAATTTAGTGATGCATGTCTTGGTCTATCTATTAGGATAAGGGAGGGGCTTATATAGGTATAGTGACTATATATAGCTAGCTAAAAAAGGGCATTAAGATATTCCTATACCTAAGTTAGGCCTATATAATATCCTTAGGCTAGGGGATTTATATTAGTTAGGTAGGCTTCCTTAGGTATAACTATTAGGTCTACTAGGTATAACTATAGCCTCTTATACTTACTCTCCTTAATATACCCCCTTATTACCCTAGCTTCTAGATAATAAGGTAATAGGTAAAGGAGCGTTTAGTTTAATAAATATAAGGCTATTCTAATATTAAATTCGGCTACTTTATTATTTATTTAAGGAGGTTATTTAAAAATAAAGGAGGCTCTTAATTTTATCTTATAAAAAGGGAAGGTAAATATAATAAAAGGGAAGTTAATTTAGTAGCTAGTGCTTTATACTATATAAGTATATTATACTAGCCGCCCCTTTTTACCTAAGGAGGGTTTAAATATTAGTTAATTAGGGTTATATAACCTACTCTTACTACTTAACTTAGTAGTTAAAGGCTATTATTATTAACCCTTCTTATAAGGGATATAGCTACTATAAGGCTAAGTAAAAAAGAATAGTATATAAATATAAGAGTCTTTAACTATTATAGGTAATAGGCTTAGGCTACGGCCTAAGCTATATAGTTATATATAGAGGGCCGGATCCTATATATATAAGGGCGGGCTAGCCGCGTATAAAAGAGTTCTATATAGTTTATTAATATTATCCTATAAATAGTACCTATATATACGCCTCTACCTACTCTATAATAGTATAAGCTATTAACTAATAGATCTAATAGATATCTCCCTAGAAAAGGTGCCGCTTCCTAAGGAGCACCCGCTACCCCTAGGCGGATAGGAAGTATTATAGCTATCTTAGAAGCGATTAAAAGCGCGACGGCTAGCGAGAAGAACGAGGTTCTCGCTATACTAAGGGAGCCGTCTATAAGACTAGCGTTAACCCCTACGACCTTAGTAATATTAGTTATAGCGGCGGTACTACTAATATAAAAGCCGCTTTCTTAGCTAACTTAGGATAGTAAGCTTAAGTCCTTTTACTTCTTCCTTAGCCGGCTATAGATAAAGTTTATAATAGATAAGAAATAGGGCCTAAACGGCTATTATAATATAGCGTAGTAAGGATATTATAGAAAAAAAACTTCTTATAAAACCGATATACGCCTATAGCGGGTATATATCGCGACTAAAATACTAACTAATACTAGGAATTAATTTAGTAGTATTAATTACCCTTAGTAGTAATACTACGCTAAGGCTAAGGGGTAGGTAGATATAGTAGCGGCCCTTAATATACTAGGCTTAATTAAAGCGTATAGCGTAAAGAGACGCTACCTAAATTTATATACCCTAATAAGGCGAGTTAATAAACCTAAAGCAGCGATATAATACTAGCCTAGGCGCCGAGCGACCTTATAGAAAAAGTAATATATAACGAACTCGCGGGCTTTATCCTAAGCGTATAGTTTAGTAGGGTATAGGTAGTAGTCGAACGGCTCTCTAAGGTAAAGAGCCGCGCTAGTAGTATATCGTCGGCGGTACTCTACGCGGATAAGAGCTTTAAGACGATAATCTAGGATATAATTAAGGAGGTAGTTAAGGAAGAACTCTGCCTAGGTATCGCTTTAGGCCTAGGGGGCCCTAAGCGAACCTAGGCCGCGGTCGTAGCCGAGACTAAGGGACTAACTTAATATAAAGCTATAGTAAAATAGGTCCTACTATATTATAAATATAAGATTATCGTAGTCTTTATTAAGGCACCGCTTAAAATCCTAAGCCGCGAACTAAAGGATATAGTAAAGGCGGTAAATATAGCCTTAAAAGCTATAAGCGCTATAGCGGTAAGGCGCCTTTAAAGCGGAGATATCGCGGTTATATTTAATATTATAGCGAGAGCCTATTAAAGGGACTAAGGCTAGGTTAAGGCTATATTTAAACTAAAGGCTATAATCTCTTACTATATATATATAGTAGTCGCTAAGAACGTCCTTTTAAGGGTAGCGATAGTAAATAGGGAGCGATTACTCTATAAGATTATAAAGGTAAATAAAGTTAAGGTCTTTTAGGCCTAGGCGCTATACCTTTAATCTAAGATATTAACGATAATAACTATACTTATTAAGGTTAGTAGCTTAAAGGAGGCTAATAGGCTTTATAACCTAAGCTTAGTTCTTAAAGTATAGATCTTTTAATATAAACCTTATAATAAGTTAGTTTAACTATAGAGGTACTATAATTACTATAGATATAGCTATATCGCTAAGCGATATATATCGATATAAATCTATAGTTAATATAGGAGTATAGTATATAATAGAGGTAAGGATAAATATAGGGCTAAGAAAGGCAAAATCCCCTATAACTATATCTTATATTAAGGGGACTACCTATTATAGACCTAGACCTACCCTATAGTAAATAAAGCCTAGGAAAAGGTAAGGGAAAACTACTTATATTAACTTTAACGGTTTATAAATACTTAGATATACGCTAAGTAATAGGTACTCCTTACTATTAAAACCTAGGGCGTTCTTAAATCGACCGCGGTCTAAAAGTAAGGACTAAGTAGACCGCGCTAGGATAAGAGGTCGAGCTTAAAATACCCGCCGGCTAATAGGGCTAAGGAGGCCGAACTAAGTATAAACGATATTTATAGGTATAGTAGATAGAGAAGCGCTAAGAGATAGAGCGCCTCCCTCCTTATATAAATAACCCCTCTTACCCCGACCTTACTTATATATAACTAAAAGTATTATTCTAGAATATATAAAAGAGATATAAGCTAGCTCGGTTAGCGCTTTACTATTAAGCTAGCTTTAACCTAATAGTACTATAAGAAGTAAAAGCTATACTAAGAGGCGGCCCCTCCCCCCCTTAAAGCGGCGCCTTATAGCTTAGTCTATAAAAAGGGGAGGTATACGCTATATATATATAAAAGGCTTAAGCTAGGGACTTAGTCGCCTTAGTTTAGACTAAACTAAAGTAAGGTAATTTTTAAGGATAGTATTAAACTATAGGCGATTTACTTACTATTAAGGGCCGTAAGGGTAAGAGCGCTATATAACTTAAGCGTAATTAAACTAAAGTACCTTATAGTAATAGTAAGGGACTTTAATATCTATTACCTACTTTAAGATAAATATAATAAAACCTTAGATAGCGTAATATAACTTATATAAGAGGCGATAAAGCTATAACTTAAACTTACTACCTTAAGAGGGGAGTATATAAGATTTTTCTATAGCTAAAGGGATAGTACTATCGACCTAGCTTAGGTAATACTAAAGACTAGAATATAGTATACTAGGCCTAACCTAGACTTAACTAGGTTAGACTATATCCCTTAAACTATTATACTATAGGTCGATACCTAGGCCTAAGTACCTAAACTAGCCCTAAAGTAAAAAGAAGTAAAAGTAAAGCTAGTTAAAGCTAAGACTATATCTTAACTAAGACTATACTAGCTAATATTCTAGACGCTTAAGGATATTAATAAGGACCTAAACTATATCTTCGCTACTTTAGTATAGATCGCGATAGCTATAGTTCCGCGTTAAGGGTAAGTATTACTTAAGGGTAATATATAGTTTACCCTAGAGGTAGGGAGGGTAATAAGGGAGGCTAAGAGGGCGAGGAGGAAGTATAAGTAAGAAAGGAATAAGGCGAACTAAGAAGACTTATATAAGGCGTCTATAG